GGGGGCATGTATGGGTACACGTGTCGTAATCGTTTCTCTTACCTGTACCAGTATGGTATTGTAGCGGGTGCAATTCTATGTCACGTTTGAGTAGTTACTGGGTATGCTGAATTTTCTGCCACGTACATAATTGCTTTATTACTGAATAGGCGGAAGTAAACTATTTCACAAACTAAAGGCTATAGTTGGAATTACTTGAATGCCCCCTAAACTCCGAGATATGCTATCTCCGCTGAGTCGTAAACCGTACTGCTCCTCTTCTAAAAGCCCTATAGCTAAGCCTATAAGCAAACATGAGCTGTACTGGAAACTTCCGCGGGGATTTAAGGTTTAGTCGGCTATAGGTGCTACTTAATGGTTCGTTATTTTCTCACTTAGATCCCTGGATTCCGGCAACAGCTGCCAAAAAGGGAGGCTCCAAACGAATGTGTCTGCGGGGTTCCCGGGTGCTGACATATTACTAAAGCCGTCAGAGCCATGCAGTGCCGATTTCACCTGTGAGTGCGTTGGACTATGTATGGTGATGACTCAGTAATTCCTGTTTGGGAAGTTTGACCCGCAGATTCAACGCAATTTCGTAAACTCTGTTTTGCCTTTCTTGCTTCCCACCTTATTGGCGGCTATGCTAACTAGTTAGTTCTCGTAGGCCAATATAGGGTTGTTTTATGTCCGTAAGGATGCCACAGCAGTTGGTAGTACGCTCCGAGGTAATAGGAACTTCCGGGTAAACTCAGCGCAGACGTATTAAATATATTTTGCACTAACGTTGTTAGCCAATACCGATGGTATTTCCAATATTAACGGTAAGGTATAGGGCTAAATTGAAAGTAGGCTGGGCGGGGAATGGGCTCCTGAATATTTGTGGGAGGAAGAGATGCATGATTTTCTTAAGCAGAGCGGTCCAGTAGATCTAGAAAATGAGCCTTTATCTTTTTTTTTTGAAGCTCAATATGCCTAGAGGATGCTCGGATGAAATGGACACCATCGGCGACATTTGAGCAATGTCTGAGGAAAAATTTGACCGGGGGTTCTGTAGGGATATGTTAGATTGTACGGGTGGTCAAAAAAGTCGATAAAACATGGATACGATACAATCGGCTAGCATACCGTTCAGTTGACGGCGTACTTTAACTTTTATAGGAGAGAGATACTCAGAAACCAATAGCGGCAAGTCTGGGCAAGCTATATGCACTTATAGATGACTGAAACTTAGTATCTAAATCGAATAATGGACCAATGGCCCAAACTTGTAGTTGCCTTTTCCTCTCTTGTTTATAGACAGTATATCACCAACAAATTCAGAAACCATACATAGCTGCTAAGGTAGATGCCAGGTACGACTAGGATTTCAGGAATCCCCGAGAGCTTAGGATTATTTATCCCTATCTGGGAGTCAGGTATGGACTAAATTTTGGTTAATTCATGGCTAGTCAAACATGTTCAAGAAAGCTACCCACACTCCTTAGTGTTGCTCATGAGCTATGATCACGCTACCACAAAATTTTGTGCAAAATGTTATGTAGATGTTCAAGATATTACTGATACCTATAGATTTTACCTGTACTCAAGGTCCAGGCCCAGTTTCTGCCATCTGCTCCACCAAACTTCCTCCCACAACTGCCAAAGCAAATAAATCAAGCTTACCATCACCGTCTCATCCTCCAAACTTAGTGTTTTGCGAAGCATACTCCATTTCTATACCTCACACCAACACTGTAATCACGGGTAACATCCACTACCCTCAGTTCAGCTTTTGCCACTGGCCGCCATTATTCGCCTATCCCCAATGCAAATCCGGTAGCCCTACATTCCCACTCTAACAAACAATACATTATTCTAGTTCTTGGCCTTCTTCTTCGACGGCTCCGCATCCGAACCGCTCATATTTTCATCACTGACACTCGCATCTGAGTCAAACTCCTCAGCAACATCCGAGTCGTCACCGGACTTGAAATCATCATCGTCACTCTCAGTGTCCATGTCAACATCGGACGTCTCTCTCAAAGCCATGTTCAATCTCAGCTGGGCCTCCTTGTCGTCGTTCTTGACCCTCACACCCTTAGCCTCGATGAACTTCTGCAACGATTCAAGCTCCTCGCGGTCGATAGACGAAAACACATGGGAGCCTCCGGTGCCCTTGAGGTTTACCTCAAGATCGAACGTCTTGGAGCCAGCACCGGCAGCGCCAACTCGTGACATCGTCACGTTCGTAATTTCTTTGTACGGGATGAACACTGTCGGCTTTGTCACAAACAAGAAGCACGACGCGAGCGGGTAGAGGTACCCCTCGCTAGCCTTCAACGAGCAGGTCACACCCGCCATCTGGTACTTTGACGTGAAGTCGGACACCCCGACGATTGGCTTTTCGGCAAGTCCCTTGAAACAGTGGCTGATGACCATGTGCGTCTGCTGGTCATACTTCTTATGTAAGCGGTCAGCGTACGTTGCGGCAAACTCCGCGTCGTCCACGTTCAACTCGACCTCGATCTCCTCGGTGTTGGCAAACTGCATCACGAGGAACGGGTAACGCGTCTGGCCCTGGCGTAATGGCGGGTCAATCTGGAGCACAAGGAGGTGGTTTTGGTCATCCGGCTTGGGCAACAGGAAGATCTTCTCGATCTGGCGGTACTGGATCTTGTAGTCGTAAGTTTTCCCACGCATTCTAAGCGAGGTTGGGTACATGTCGATGTCATAGCGGCCGCGTGGCGTGAGGAGGAGAACGTCAGAGAAAGAGACAATGGCCTCGCCCGCGACTTGTCCGATATCCGCCTTGTCCTTTAACTGCTCGTAGAAGTAATTGGCCGCGGGTTGTTCTGTAAGTTCGTCGTTGGTGGCTTCACCCTCGCCCGTGGCCTCGATACTAGCCTCGCCGTTAGCCTCACCTTTGCCCTTTTCGGTCGTCCCCGGGATGTAAAACCGCACCTCCACCAACTCGTCCCCTGCACGCTTATCACTTAAGTTAAGCTCCACCGCCACTTCGTTCTTCCCCGTGAGGTTCAGGTTGGAGATCTCGCTGTAGGGAATCTCAAAGTCCGGTCTATTGTTCACCGAGAAGATCAACTCGTGCTTGCCGAGATCTGTCTTTCCCCAGTTCCACCCGCGGAGCGAATGCTCCCTGTGCTCCAATGCCACGTCGAAGTTGCGCTGCAACTCGCTCTTCAACGCCGCAAAGTCAGCCTGCGCGAACCCGTCGAGCATCACCACGCCCTGGTTCTTCGTGTGCACACGCAACTCCCAGCCACGTGCACCGCGCGACCAGTACGTCAGGCCTACCTCTTCCGACGGCAAGAGGAACGGCTGCTGGTTCGTGACGGAGCCGCCGGTGGTGACTGCTGCCGCTTTCCACCCGAGTCCAGAGTCCACGATGCGCATACGTCCGTATGTACGCGATTGGTTGAGGTAGATCTTTTCAAAATCAACGGATGACATATTGTATTTGGTAGGGGAATGAAGAGAGAAGCGGAGAGCAAGATGGACTTTAATCGCGTTTATTTTTACGCGCTCAGTCATGGCGTGTCGCAAAAGGCATTTGGTTGGCGCACGACAGTCGCGCCCTGTCTTGGGAGAATCAGCCTGTTTCCCCCTCGAGTCCAAGTTAGAACACTAGGGGTTGTTCAGCCGTGAAAATATTTACGCTGTAGTCAATGGACTACAAGGCCACCACTCATTTGAACTGATTTTCTTTATTCATAAAAATATAATTTAAGATTCATATACTTGGCGTCACGTCATAGTGAATATGATAACCCCACACATAGTGATTCAGCGATAAATCGAAACCTCGAAACCACCTACTGGTAATTATCAGCTCAATTGGAATGAAAATGCGAAATTAGGTACCTTTGGATCACTTTCATCTTCCGTAGCCTGTTTTTGTTGGTTAAGTGAGCCCAGTCAAGTTTCCAGGTTTAGCAAACATACATGTATCTCGGCTTCAAGTGGTGCCATGGTAAGCATACAGTAATATGGTGCTTCTTCTCGGAATGAGTTTAGGAAATTTAAGATCTCAGAGCTTTAACAATAGATTTATTGTCCGGGATAATTTCATTTTGTTGCAGCAAATCGAGATTCCATGGCCTTGACCCGGTTTAGTGAAATATACGAGAAACGATGGTAAAGGTTAAACACCTCTGCTATAGTCCATTAGCCCTTCTATTAATCACTTGATTCTTGCACTTCCCTCACCTCACCCACTCACGGAGCTGAGAAAATAAATAATCTCACTTTGATCGTCATCCGAATAGCAATGGATCACCAAGGCCTCCCCTCGACTGATGATCAACACCACCTTGGAGCAAAAATCACACATCTTGGCCCCGAGACGCCAGTCCTTGAGTTTAACATCCACCGAAAGCGGCTCGTCTGGCCCTACCTCATGCTGGCTCTGGCTCTGGCTGCCCCGTTCGTCCTCACTGACATCCAACAATGCGTTCCACGACATGGTTACTTTCAATCCGTCTTCTTTGATGGTCAAGCCAAGATAGCCGTTGCGCGTGCCGGTCACCGTAACCTTATCCGTCCGTTTATATCGCTCTATGCGCTTGAAAAGCGACGTAATTCCCAGCGGAAGCTTGATCAAGACATCTACTTTCGTGAGGAGAGGCTCCAGGATTCGCTCGTCACTTTCCTTGTTCAATACCCGCACGGGGATGCGGAATGTGTTCGTAATGAGGTGTCCGGATGCGTTCTGTTCCGTATAGAACAATGCCAAGCTTGCAGACCGCTGACCGTGCACGGCGTTCTTCCGCTGAAGTCGGATATTGAGCTGGTCTGAGCTTGCCGTCTTGTGAAAGCTGCGGAGGACCTGAAGGAGCGGCTCGATGTTGAGTTCAACCGAAACGATGTTGTCACGTACCGATTCGACTTCGTAAGTCAGGAACGCCGTAGCGGCAATAGTGCTCCAGATCTGGGGCTCCGAGAGCGACGCAGAGATGATCGTAAGCGTATCGGGGGTGAACCGGAATACACAAAACTTCCGGATTGCAATGATTGCGCCGAGCGTGTCTAAGGTATTAGTAGCGGAGCGAAGAAACGAGCATAGCTCGATGATTTGGGTGGCGCTACCTTCCAGTATGGATGGTAGTAAGGGTTAAAAGGGGATTCACACACGTTTAAGGGTCTCGGTTGAGCCGGTAGTTATTTTCAACTTCATACTAGAGAGACTCTGAGTTTTAGGGACATAAGATCCAAATGAGGCAAAACAAAATGGTTAAAAGGGCTCTCTGCATGTAATTAAATCTGTGGCACGTGAAATGCTTGAACTTGGTCGCGCAACGCGTGAAGGCAGATGAGAAATTGCGATTTTTTTGATTCGTATTCAGGGTTCAAGTTGTACTGTTGAAATATATTTATAAACATCTGTGGCTGTGAAAGTAACCCTCAGTCCCAAATAAATGGCTGATATTCCAACCTTTTGGTTATTGTCTTTGAGCCATGACATTCCATGTTCTGGATCTTTGATTCAAATCAAAGCTTGTTGTACCGGCCAATAGATAACAATAGTATATGGAATAGATACCGGCGTGTATTTCAGTACGTGTAGCCCCATTTGATGTGAAGCACTTATGTTGATCTAATCACTATATAGCACCTAAATCAACCGACGCATCCTTGCCCATGTTTGATGCCGTACACCTCACCTCTCAATCTTAAGTAGCAAACTGCAAGGGCTAACAATTACAAAATACCCCAACTGGTCCAGTACTTTTAATAGAGAGATAAATGCTTGCACCATACTACGACCGTAGATATCACATACACCGTTACTTCTGCAATCGGCATAATCTCGAGCCGCTCTCAAAAATACTAGCTATTTCACTTCGTTCCGGTTAAGAATATGTATTAGCTATACACGCTACAGATGTAAAGTCTTATAATTACAATTACACCATTGCTTTTGGCTTGGTGTAATCGCACTCAAAGAAAGACTAAGATTGATCTTGCCCCTTGCGAGTATCTTACCGCCGACAAGACAAGTCGAGCCATTGGTAGTTATCGATAAAGCATCCAGCTCAAGATCTCAGGGTGGAACATGAGACCGAGCGAGGCACAGGGCTGGTTTGGGAGCATAAGAAATAAAAAGAAAAGGAGTTTACAGGGAAATTGAAGACCGGAAGGACACATTCATTCAAAAAAGGGGAAAAAAATGGTATTGGGTCTATCATTGCATCGTTGGAGGTCGTCATTCATAGCATTGGATTTATTAGAGATTGGTATCTTCCGGTTTGTAGTTGTCCAAGACAATACGGTAGATGAAACTTGGCGAGAAACCACCACTAGACGAGTTAGTAAGAGTAAGCTGCGATAATCGGAAAAGGCGGATACATACACGTTAGTGATACAGAGATCAATGTGCTCAGGAGGAACGTAGTCGAATAACGGGTTGGAAACTTGGCACTCCGACACCAAATCGCTGTCATCATACTCGAGAACCTTACCAGAGTTGCCGACTTCGATCAACGAATCTCTGTCGAACGGATAGTTCGGAGATAACTTGAAAGAGCCAGCAACTGTAAATACCGGCGTGCGGTGCTCTTTCGCCGATTCGCATACGGCCGCAACTCCCGCAGACGAGACGCAGCCACCATTCGCGAATACAACCTTCGCGCCAACAATCACCTTACCAACACGCGACATGACCGCAAATACGAGAGAGTCGGGAATAATCACTGTTTCGATCTTGTTGTCCGACAAAGTCTTTGCGAACGCATGTGCATTCAGGGTATCGTTTGGAAAGCACTCGGTGACCAAAACGGTGAACTTCCGCTTCAGGCGCGCTTTGATGAGAAACTCGAGTACTGTGCGCGATATTGTGGGCGTTAGTAACACCTCACCGTCATGAATGAGGTCCACGGTCATCGCCTCGATCGACTCGTTGATGTTGCTGATCTCGTCGACCAAGTCCCTGATACCCTGGATAGTGGAGGAGCGCAAGTCACTCGTCTTCAACTTGGACTTGGTGCTCTTGGCCACATCATTGGTGGTTAGAAGCGAAAACATTGATTCGTTGATATTGTTCTCCTTCTCGTGCGCCTCAATCTCGTCACGGATAATCGCCAACACACGGCGGATCACGTTGCCCGAGCTGAACTCACGCGGTTGCGCACGGATCACACGCGCACCCACGTGTCGCATCAACTCGATCAACTGGTCCGGGTGCGTCCAGCGCGCGGCGGAGATGACTCGCATGAGGAAGTGCGACGTCTCGAGCGCAACGTCGTACGACCCGGAGATGTGCCGGCGCTTAAGCTTATATATGAACGCGTCCACCTGTAGGGTGATTTCTTTCGTCTCGATCGACATGTGTAGAAAGGGGGGGGGGGGGTTATATATCAGAAATTGTTGACAGTACTGTCTATTAGGGATAATAAAAAACGTTACTTTCAAGAGGAGTGGATGAGGAAAAATAAAGGTACAGGCGAAATTTTCCAGTAGGCTTCCCTGGTGGCCAGCACAAATGATGCCGGGTAACGGGTTACTATATACGCAGGATATTTATTTAGTGCAGGAGAAGATTTTGTTAGGGTTAGGTCGGTGCAGGAGAAGATTTTGACTAAACACCATTTAGAATATTGGGCATAAAGATTCTAGCTAGATATTTAGGCGGAAGGCTAGGGATTTTATTTAGAAATATTTTATTGAATCGCTTTAGGATGTATTTTCTCCAGTTTATTTTTGGAAATTTACCGTTAGCTAATAGATGTATTCCCGATGGAGGAATGATACGTGATGCAACCTTGTGACATTTCTCCTAGGGACTGACTGAAAATCAACTGGCCACATAAATAAGAGTAATTATACTGCTTCAGGAGCTATGCCAGTGGGATTACTTTATTCGGGATTGGTGATGCACAATCTAGTTGATATACAATGCTAGTTGATCTGTTTGTTTTGAAGTTAGCCGCAGTTAGTCTCAGGATGTAGAACGGTCTACTGCAGTCTGTGTACCTGTAAGGGTGTATATTTTCGTTTTATACTTTACAACATACTTTAATTCCTTGTGACTTGCAGTTTCTACATATTCTGACAAAATCACTGCTTTATCTAACAATCCCCAAAAATTTGCACCGCGTCTGATCCAACCATGTCATATCGTTCAAGCATTCGGATTCGCTGTGAGTCAGACCATGCTTTACAACTCAGGTTTCACTAGAAATTTCTCCTTAATTCGAGGGGCTCTAACATACATTAGAACTACCATCTAAAATCAAATTCAGAGCCAGAATTATTCATTAGAATCACCATACCTAAAGCTAGGAGTACAAAACATGCCCACCAGGTGCCTTTCAGCCTTGAAATCGTCCTTTCTATACAAATAGAGACGCTACCTTCCCTCCAAGTTGGAACACAGCCCGAGCTGCAATCACAAAAGTTAATGGCACCACGTACACATACCAGATGTCCCATGCTCTGCGCAACTTTAACGGAAACGTCACATTGTTTGTAATCGTCTCGCCCTCCTGCACAAACGTGCCGTGCTGGTAGTAATAATCCATCAAAGCATCCTTCTCGTACCAGATCTTGAACAACCACGCTTCGAACTCTTTCAACAGTGCTGCCTCTTCGGCCGCAGTCTGGTGATCCTGGGTCAGCATCGGAATATCCTCGAGGCGGTAGGATCTAATGTGCAACGAAACAACCGCCGGGTTCTTCCCGTCGTAGACAACGTTGGTCAAGGAGTACACATCCTGGGGGTACTGGCCGGCTTTGACACCTGAATAGCCCGCAGTGATGTCGTACACGACCGTTGCGGTCTTGCGCAACTCGCGCAAACAATGGTACAACCCCGTGACACGTGGCATCAACACGTGCTTCAACGGTTTCTGGCCAGTCTTGGCGATATACGCGTCTGACCGTGGCTGCGTGTTTTCCGAAATGTTGGTGCCCTCTGGATACATGAGAAACATGTAAGGAAAACGCTGAGTGTTTTTGGCGAATCCCGGGGGCCATTTGATGAGTGCATCCGGCGAATACACGGGTTTAACACCCTGGGCAGGGCCCCAGCCGCGTGCATTGGCGTCCATTTCCAGGAGCCGGTTCGACATGTTGGTCTTATCGGTTTCCCATTTGCGCGACATGTAAATCCAGCGGAAATTGCCCATTCCCCAGCCGATAACCGGGATCTTCAGGATTGAGTCCTTCATGAGTATGTGGATATCAGTGGCAACATTTCCGATATATGTGAGGTACCACAAAAAGATCCAGTCCGTGTAGATCTGGTGGTTTCCAATGAGCACCGAGTTGTCAATGAAGAATGCGCGGACGAACCCAGGCACATCCGCGTCCTCCACAAAACTTTTGGCAGGCACGGAGGCATCAGTAGTTACGTGGAAGCTAGTGGGAGCAAAAATGGCAAACATCGCCGTGAGACCCATAATAAACGTCTTTCTAGTAAAATCGAACACCAGTTTCTGGAGCAGCGCGTTGTCGCGGAGAAAAAGTTTGACCAAGATGTGGGTGAAGATGATAGAGAAAACCACCAGAAGTGCCATCAGAGCCATCGCAAAAGCATGGAGAAGCTGTTTCGGCGAGGGCATGGCGTGAGGATGATTTGATGGTGGTAGATAATAGGGTGTAGAGGGTGGTGGCTCTTTTGAGTGGCGACACAACGTTTTGCGATCAGGAGGTCGTGCGGGGACAGACAGAACGAATGATTGCTAGCTTTGGGAACCATGTGGCGAATTTTTCATAGTATAACCAGCAAATTCTATAGCGTGGTTCCCCCATGGTAGACTGTAAAATTGGGCAATATATATTATTAATTTTACTGCGATATCCTAGATGTAGTTCTAAAGGTGGATCGTATAATCCAATAGAGGGCTCAAGCTGAGCTTATAAGGCATCCTGTAGATTCCAAGTGCTTTTGACGATCGCGACTGCACTAAGCAATAACCTAATAGAATACATCCATTTTCAGATATAATAGGGGATACTAAAAGCTGTGTTGGAGCCTGGGTATTTAGACATCGGATAAAAGCCTGGGCATTCTGGAGAATTCGAGAGAGAAAAAAAAGGTATCAGATCTGTACCCAGATGTGGCCATTCATCAAACTCTCTATAACCTCCACCCTTGTGCGTTGGGCCATGACTTACTGCCAAAGTGTGAACTAGATTCGAAAATTACCCTAAGACATCGCATTGCTTACGGCGTTCAAGAGTACAATTATTATAAACTTTCTTATCTCATTGTTGCATATACACACCCCCTTTTAACCCAGTGAAGCTGCCTTATTAACGGTTCCACGTGCATGCAAACAGAATCAAGCCATCACCACTGGGGCTTCATGCTGCTCTCACTCACAGAAACGCTTTACAGGGATCTGGGGACGGAAAAAACGTCCATGGCCCGTTAAAGATCTGAAGTAATGAAATATCTCTACACGAATATTCTATTCAGGAAAAGGGGACGAAAAGCCTACTCCGTTATTCACCTAATGAAATGCAACCGTTACATTGCACGTGGCTTTGCCATTATCTCTAGCCACTTCTAGCGCCGCAGTTGGCAACCCGCGCCACCGGCATTCCCGGCGGCAGTTTTACTTGTAGCCGAGCAAAACCTATTTAGCTTTTTATAATATCTGTTTCTTATTACGTTTCGTTTAACTTCCCCAGTCCACTCTACCCTCCCTTGCTCTGTCTCATGTTCACCCCCTTGGAATCTGGCATAGGTGCTTTACTTCTCCAGGTGGCCACCACCTCGTATCTTATTCAGTGCGGTAAGATCATCGGTATCTCATCGATTCTCACCGCCGTATGGGACATTGCCTTCCGCACCAGCAAACCGAAGGTGCGTAATGATAGCAATGCCACCGATCTCCTCACACACGAGTTATCACTCATTCTCGGGCTTGCCACTTCATGCTACTTCATCCCGTGGTACCTCCCAGACTTTTCCCCGCGAGTCCAGCTCGACGTCATCCGCTTGCCAATGTTAGAGCAGTACACCACGCTTGACCACTTGTTCACCGAGGAGCACGATCTTTTCAAAGTGATTGCTTTTTCTTCCTTCCTCATTGGCTTCGGCACCAAGTTGGGCAGCGGCTGCACGTCTGGCCACATGTTGAGCGGCCTCTCGCGCCTAAGCTACCGCAGCATCGTTGCCACTGCCGTCTTTTGCACCACCGCCATGACTGTCAGCTTTAACACCCTCAAGAAGAACCCCTCCTTCCCTGGCGATGTCCTCACCTGCCTCAACGAATACGGCGTGGCCACGGAGTGCTGGAGGGTCGACTCCCACAAGTTCTTTGACAACCAGAGCAAGCTTCTCACCTTGCTCGCAGCCGTGATTGTCATCGGTTACTTTGTCATGCCAGGTATGTCCGGATCTGTCGATAAGTCTGCCATTGGCAATTCCCTGGGCTCCTCTCCCATCTTGTTGCGCATGATTGCTGCAGAGTTCAGTGGCTTCGTCTTTGGCTGCGGCTTGTTCATTAGCGGGATGGCTGAGAACTTGAAGGTTTTACGCTTCCTCTCCTTGGGAGGAGCTCTCTTTACCGGTGACTTCTCTTCCTTTGACCCGTCCTTGCTCATGATCATCTTGTTCTGCATCGTACCAAACGTGTACTTGTGGAACTTCTACATTCTTCCGCAAACTAACAAGCCTGTCCACGCAAAAGGCTCCAAGAAGGTGGAGCAATCGAACGAAATCTTGCCGTTGTTGCATGAGGAGTTTCTGTTGGTCAAGAGTACCCAAATTACCCCGAAGTTCCTCATCGGGAACATGCTCTTTGGAGCCGGATGGGGGTTGTTGGGGATCTGTCCGGGCCCGGGTTTCTTGAACTGGGTCTTGACCTTCCAGGAGGACTTTTCTGGCAATACCGCAGCTATGACTTTGTGGTATTTGTCGTTCGTTGTCGGGAGATATACTGCCGGGCTTTGTTAAATCTTTATTGTAATGCTGCGTATGAATCTATCCATTAATTTGGTTTTGTGTAGAATGTATACTTTGGCACACATTATCGTAGTACTGCTACGGCGAGGGTAATGCTTCCGACTCACTAAATATTATGCTACCCAAGCCCGAATTGACTGGGAACCTAAGGGGGCCTGGCCTAGGATGTGGTGTAAATCCATACCCTCGTTGATCAGCCTACGAATGTTCTCAACTTCTAACGTTCTTAAAACGGTTTTCATTGGATTTTCCATGTATTTGTAGTAATTAATTACATAAGATCAAGGTAATGAACTTATACTAGTAACTTTCCCTACTACCTGGGAGGAAGGTACATTCTTCATAGTATATTGAAATCAAGAAACGCTAGTCGTAGCAGAAGCCCGAACAGCGTTCCGAAATGTTCATTACTCTTTATAGTATTAATGTTGGCCAGAACGAACCAATTAAATATTAGTAAATATATCACAATCGGCTTGCATCAATGTCTAATCCCATGTATTTTCTCCTGATAGTCTGAATCCCTCGGTATACGCTGTTTGATCAATATTCTTACCAATCCATACCTCAAAACTACGCATAATTTCCATTAATCTCTAGTCTATTTGCAAGACATACATGCTGCAGAACTAGTACTTTTCGGCTTTTTCAAACCTGTATTCCGTCTTCGCCCCGTACTTTGCCCCTTTCTTCAACACCACCGACGGCTTCAACTCCTCAAACTTCGCGGCGTTGATGAACCGTGCGCACTCCACGCAGAAACCAGCCCTGCTCTTGAACCCCGGCGTCAATTCCCCAGCTGGAACGTTCACGCCGTCCCCAGTATATATCTGGAAGGACGGTTCGGTTGTGGAGGTTGTAAATGTGATGCCTGTGGCAGGGTGATATGCCTCCGCGACGCACACCATCGCACACGCACGTGTGTCGGTTGTGGTTGCACGCGCATCCCCTGCCGTGAAACAGTAATCATACTTCGGTTCTTCAGTCCCCAAAATAACCGCACGTCTGCCCGCAGCAACGTCCTTGAACGTAACCACGTCACTGTTGGTGACAAACTTCCCGGTTGGGATCAACGTCGCGTCCACCTCCTGTTGCTGGTCAGATACCAACACAAGCTCAGTTCCTGCAATATCTTCACCGCCACTGATGTTCCAGTACGTGTGATTGGTCATAGAGATTGCAGTTTCTTCTGCCTGGTCGGTGAGCTCCGCCTCGTACTCGATATCGATCGCACCGCCGCGGGCCGTCGCACGCACGGTATAAATCACATTCACCGCAACATCGCCAGGAAACCCGTTTGCCATGTGCGGATCGTTGTACACAAACTTGACACGGAAGTCGCCGGTTTTCTCGTTCTTGGTGGTGATTGGCCCCAAAAACATCTGTTTGTCGTAGCCCGCTGGTCCGCCGTGGAGCGCGTGGGTGTGTCCCTTGGCCAATGGCACAGAATAGGTAGCGCCATTGAGCACGAGCGCGCCATCTGCAAGTCTATTCGCAACGCGTCCGATAGTGGCGCCAAAAAATGGATTAGCTGGAAGTTTGTAGCCCGCTTCCAGGTCGAATCCCGTTTGGAGCGAAACGCCGTCAAGCGTCGCGCGCACGATTGCCGCGCCGTAATTTGTGAATGTCACCTTGAAGCGGCCGTCTGTGGTCGCGACAGTGTGCGTGCGGTCAGCGTAGCTGTCGCGTGCGCCAAAGTGGTCCCATACGTAGTTTGCAGTCTGATAGCCGAACGGGTTCTCCAGCGTCCACTTCCACAAGTCGCGGCACGCGTCCTCAACGGTAAGCTGCGTCTGCCATTTTAGTTCCTCTTTCGCGCGCGACGGGCGTGCGGTGAGGTCAAGTACATCGCCGTCGCGACGTGACACGATCTCGTACGGTAATGCACGACCCACCACCTCGCAGAACGCCGCGTACACCTCCAACACGGTCGAGCCCCTGCCTGAGCCCAAGTTCCATTCGCGGCAGAGCCCGGTCTGACCCTCTAAGTACCTCAACGCGGCCAAATGGCCTTTCGCCAAGTCAACCACGTGGATATAGTCGCGGATCGGTGTGCCATCGCGCGATGCGTAATCATTCCCAAACACAGCCAACTTCTCGCGGCGCCCTACCGCAACCTGCGCGAGGTATGGCAATAAGTTGTTCGGGGTCCCCAACGGGTCCTCGCCAATCAACCCTGAGGGGTGCGCACCGATGGGGTTGAAGTAGCGCAAGATTGCCGCCTTCCACGCCGGGTCGCCCGCGTGCACATCGCGGATCAAGTTCTCTACCGTCAACTTGGTTTGCCCGTAGGGAGATGTTGGGCCCGTCGGACAGTGCTCTGGGATTGGAATCATGTTCTCGAAGCGTGTAGCATCGCCGTAAACCGTTGCGGAAGAGGAAAACACGAGGTTCTTAACGTTGTTCTCCTCCATCACCGTCATGAGCGTGATGGCACCATCAATGTTGTTAGAGTAGTACTTCAAGGGGGTCTTTGTCGACTCCCCGACAGCTTTGAGCGCTGCGAAGTGGATCACCGCGGCGATCGGGTACTGTTTGAACACCGCGTCCAACGCTGCGTGATCGCGGATGTCCGCGCGCACAAACGGTACCGGCGCGCGCGCGATCGCCTCCACACGCGCGACCGCATCGTACGACGCGTTTACCAAGTTGTCCACAACGACCACCTTGTACCCTGCAGCGAGTAACTCCACTACGGTGTGAGTGCCAATGTAGCCGGCACCACCGGTAACCAAAATATATGACATGGTATGTTGTTATAAGAGGGCAAAGAGCTTAGGAAACGATTGCTTGGATCGACTGACGCAAGTTGAATGAAGGTTCAGAGGGCGTGCACAGCTATATATGTCGCAAAAACTGATACTCCGGACTGGCGGCTTCCAGACAGAATGCCCGGAAGGCGGTACATCTTCCGGAGAAAACATGCCCCGTGGAGAAACATGCAGTCCGGCTTTTCTCGGCGCATCATGCACGCTGCATTAGTATATGCGTGCACGGGGTGCAGTACTGACTAACAGCGGGTAAGGATTGCGGAGATGGGTACAATACATAGTTCATGTTGACTCTGTCTAATTGTATCTATCAGACGTTGGCTTAACGTTGTTTACTCGGCATACCTTAAGTGATTTTGGTGACTGTTCAGTTGCACCTGAATTTTGGCTATTCAGTGAAGATAAGTGGCGAGAATGTGTCTCGGGAAGGTTATCTCGTAACTTAACCCTCGAGCAGAATAAGTTGTCTATCTTCGCTGTAAATTGGCGATTAACTCCTGGTCTTTCACATTTACGTGATACGCTCCCCTCATCGACTAAAGCCTGGTGTATTTGTTTTTCAAGCCCAGCCGGCGAACACTGTATTCAGTAGTTTGTAACAGGTTTAAATTTCCTCAAATTTTGTATACCCCGACTTTACTGCAAGGATGTATGCATCAGTGGACCTGACACACCACCTTTTCAGTACACAGAGCATAATTTAGTCATTTGCGTAGCTAGCATAAGGACTATCTGACTACGCTTTGGAGGCCTAAAAAACCCAAAAAGTTTGTTAGTGCGGGGAAAGAGCACATTGTCCGTAACACAACAGGTGACACCCGCTTGAGATAACAGCACACTATCAAGTCGGTCTACCGTAATTATGCACCTATTGTTTTGTGACAAGGAAGAGATGTAACTGGTTGACCGAGGAAGGTGTTCTCCCGGTATGTACCATCCGAGGGTTAGACATTTCGCCTTTTTCATACAAACATCCTCACCAACAAAGCCACTGAAGACATTAAATTTACCCTGATCGTCCGCGTGGTTGGCTGTTGGAAGGTGATGGTAGTCAAGCAGGTCCATGTTCACCAATCTTCCGCAGATGCGGCCCGAGGAGACTTTCGTGGGCAGAAAAGTAGTATAAGCCCTCATACAATCAAGGAAACAAACGCACAATGTTCCAATTTGATGTAAGCTTTATGCATTGACAGTACCAAACTGCCGCCCGCCTGCAAAGCCTGCAGCGGTCCTGGCCATTCCGAAAATGAATGTCTATAGTGAGAACATGGATTTACATTGCATCCTGGATGCACAGGTTTTGCGCTGAGTCTTAACATGCAGGACGAACTCTCCGGCTTGCTGCATACTGGGGGAAGCTGGCTGTATAAAATCCCCACCTTTTCATTTACCTTCATCACCAGTGTCGTGGTTTCTCTATTATACACCTCCCTGACAATGCCAGGTCTCGTCCCTATCTTTGATTCCTTAGACTACTATCCAGACCCTCAGGTGCAGGTCCCGAGATACCAGAACTTGTACACGCAGTTCGAGCGCACGTACCATGTCACGCCAGACTTTGTGTCACGTTCGCCTGGGCGCGTGAACTTGATTGGAGAACACATAGATTACTGCCAATTCTCTGTTTTGCCTTTGGCAATTGATGTGGACGTGATTATGGCAGTTCGGGCTCAGGACGAACGTGTGATTGAATTGGCCAACTTAGACCCCACTTTTGGTGCCCGCACCATCCCGCTTCCAGATGGCGACTTAATTTCTATCGATGCGTCCGAGTCCGATTGGTCCAACTACTTCAAATGCGGGTTGCTCGTAGCACACGAATTATTGATGGAAAAGACCGGCGGAAAAGTATTGCTCAAGGGCATGAAGATCCTTACCACCGGCTCCGTTCCTGCCGGCAGCGGTTTGTCCTCCTCCGCAGCCTTCGTTTGTGCCTCTGCCTTGGCAACTTTGCATGCCAATGGGATGAAACACATCACTAAGGCCGATATGACCAAGATTACGATCGTTTCCGAGCACCACATGGGGGTCAACACCGGGGGTATGGACCAGGCTGCGTCGGTATGCGGCGAGCGGAATCACGCGTTGTACGTGGAATTCCGGCCGGAGTTGAAGGCCACTGCCTTTAAGTTTCCCGAACTCGACCCTCCGTTAGCATTCCTCATTGCCAACACGCTTGTTACTTCGAACAAACACGAGACTGCGCCAACAAACTACAACTTGCGCGTGGTGGAAGTCTCAGTCGCTGCCCAGCTTTTAGCCAAAAAACTCTCGGTGACGATTGCTAACGACGGTAACTTAAACTGTGGAACGTTGCGTGGTGTCATGGATAGCTACTATGCGAGCCACGGCCAGGCGGCATGGTTAGGTGCGATCCAGGAGGGCGAGGTCCGCTTGTCTCAGATGTTGGAACTCACGGAGAAACACATCCGCAAGGAGGCGTATACGACCCAGGAGCTTGCGGCGGAGTTGGGATTGACAGAAGCTGAGTTCCATGACCGTTTCCTCTCGTTATTTCCCGTAAGCTTTGAAAAGTTGCACATCTATGCCCGTGCCAAGCACGTTTATTCCGAGGCATTGCGGGTGTTAAAGGCGCTTTTACTTCTTCAATTATCCACCGACAGTGGAACCTTCTATACTGAGTTTGGCCGTTTGATGGACCAGTCACAGGCGTCGTGTGATACCCTCTTCAATTGCTCATGTGATGAAATTAACCGTATCTGTGACATTGCCCGCAAGAATGGGGCTACCGGATCTAGATTGACTGGTGCCGGCTGGGGTGGCTGCACTGTTCATTTGGTGCCCGTTAATAGGGTGACAGAGGTGGAACGCGCCTTGATAGATGAATACTACAAGGTGAAGTTTCCGGGGATTACCGTGGCGGATTTGCAGGAGGCTATTGTGGTGAGCAAGCCGGCGTACGGAAGTAGTTTGTACATACAAAGGTGAGACGGAAGCCGTTAAAAGTAGAGGTAGCATAGTTACGTATTAACAGGCTTTGTTTACATACCTCAAACTGCCCGCAGACATATTTTCCATCTCTGCATTCTCAAGCAGGCTATGAGTAACATTGTTGGGATATCTATATCCTCTAATATAATTTACAAAAATTCAATCCAAATGAAACTTAGATCTTTTGATTCTGACGTTTATAAGTATCCTACTAAAATGGATCACATTAGTGCACGCTATATTATAGGTCTAGCCCCGTGGGGAACATCCTTCAGAGGTTTTGATTTCCACCTCCTCTCCACAGGTCTAGCGACTTGCCTAAATGAGAGCTCTATTCTTGACCCATTTACCCATGAGCTACGTCACCCATAATATCGCTAATTAGCCGTACCACCTCTACTACCAGGATATGACGTAATCTATGGAGCACCCATACAGATTAGGTGCATCTGGCAACGTGCCGTACGGAAGTTATTATGCAGTTCCTTTCACGGGGGAGCGTTTCCCCGGACGAACGTTAAGCCGCTGGCAAGTGGGGAAACAATGGGATGAAAAATGGCCCAGAAGGTTGCTACTAGCTTGCCGCTCAATATAGGTATGGTTTGGCAGATGTATATTCTGAATTCGCTGTTACCATACTATTAGTGTTGGCTTATTTCCGCCATTACATCTTAACAATGAAAGCCTAATAGAATGATCTCTCTAAATAGATTATCGTATGCTATATTTTTGCGCAAGTTATTTCGGCCGGAGAATTTGCCGGAGGCTTGTATATGTACAGGATGTTTAATTAGAAAACCACTAGACCTTGGGCTCTCCGGCTTTGGGTATATTAGCTTTTCACGTTTCCCCTAATAAACGCTTTTTCTTGTCATTCACTCTTTTGTATCGTCAGAACAATGTCCAACTTTGATTTCACCGACCACTCGCACCGCCGTTACAATCCACTCTCCGACACCTGGGTGTTGGTTTCTCCGCACCGTGCAAAGAGACCGTGGCAGGGTGCCCAGGAAGAGGAGACCAAGACTGACTCCCCTGAGTACGACGACAAGTGCTTTCTCTGTCCCCGCAACCGGCGTTCCACAGGGCCATTCAATCCAGATTACAAGGATACCTTTGTCTTCCCGAACGATTACCCTGCGGTCAAGCTTGATCAGCCGGAATACCACTCTCCCGCTAGTGAGGACGATGACTTAACCAAGCGCTTGTTCAAGACGCAGGGGGTCAGAGGAAATGCGTACGTGATCTGTTTCTCGCCGAATCATCGCCTTACCTTGCCTAGAATGGACCTTCCAAGCATTGAAAAAGTGGTGGATTCCTGGCAGTCGCTCTACGTGAACATGCAGGCGGAAAGCCGTGAACACAAGTCGTCACCTTACCAGTATTTACAAATCTTCGAGAACAAGGGTGCCCAGATGGGCTGCTCAAACCCTCATCCACACGGCCAGGCGTGGTGTCTTGAGGCGATTCCTACCGAGGTGGACCACGAGCTCAAATCAATGGGGAAGTACTCGCGCGAACATAAGGGCTGCAACATGCTTGCGGACTATGTCAAGTTGGAGTTGCAGAAGCGCGAGAGAGTTGTTTTAGAAAACGATTCATTCGTTGTGGTAGTGCCGTACTGGGCCGTCTGGCCGTTTGAGACCATGGTTTTGTCCAAGGAGCACTTGATCTCGTTGAAGCAGTTCGGCAGCAAACACAAGACGGATCTCGCAGATATCATCAAGAGATTGACCACCAAGTACGATAACTTGTTCAAAACGTCATTCCCATACTCCATGGGTATACACCAGGCACCGTTGAACTTCGCGGACGATGATCAGTCTTACTACTTTCACATGCATTTCTACCCACCGTTGTTGAGATCGGCCACTGTGAGGAAGTTCCTTGTGGGGTACGAGTTGTTGGGTGAAGCCCAAAGAGACTTGACCCCAGAGCAGGCCGCAGACAGATTGAGAGACTTGAGCGAAGTCCATTACTTGGAGGTGTAGTTACGCAAACTGGAGGTTTCGCTGTAACGGAATAGGTGTTTCGAATCTCTTAGCCCTTCGGGCGTATCAGACTTCCTCCTGGCACCAGCCCGGCAGTCTCTTCTATCCTGTCATAAGCATAGAAGGCTGGTCCATTAACCATAAAAAGTAGTCAGGGCTTATCTGAGACTATTTCCATGCATAAAACATTGTGAGTATTTATAAAGATAATCATCGAGTCTCGTAATTTAACTATCTTAGTCCCTTGTGTGCAGAATCTGATCCGAAGTGGTACTTTTATCCCAATATCTCATGTGCGCTTTTCGAGTGGTTTAGACTTCAAACAAATATTAGATGATTCAGAAACAATTCATTAGAAAATTACCAAAAACACCTTAGGTAAAAGGTTACAGATCATGAGTTACCAGCTTTAAAAAAATCTCAGTGGCAGGTCTAACACCGCTATGCATTTCATTGCGCCTGCTCCCTACACCATAAGTCTGTTTATCGATACTATTCCTAGCGACTTATTGCGGGATTTTTTCCTTTTGATAATCTAAGGCTTACCTTTTAGAGCTTTTACACCCTTATATTTCTATCACATAATTTAAAAGATACTAGTTACATGTCCTCTCATCTAAGACACACGTGCCTTTCCTGTATATACCTATATGTATAGCCCGCGGCACAAAAAAGTTGATGTCAAGGCACACTTTGCCTGTCTTCCCCACACAACTTGAAATACTGCTGAAGGAGTACGATGCTAAAACCTAGGGGGTTTCTATTTATTAGAAATGTTCTGCTAACAATACAAACCTCCAGACGGCTCGCTAAATTGCTGGACAGTTCACCCATTCGAGATGCCCTCACCAACGCCGGCTTCGACTTTGAAGAACCGTCCGCAGCCGTTCCTCCTCCTAAGCTCACGAAGAAGAAACTTCGAAAGACAGCCACCGAGCTTCAGAAATCATTCAATCACATTCTCAGCACCAGCACAATTGTACCAACCTCGCAGCCCGAGCAAGTCAAAAGACGCAAGCTCATGAGTTTTCGATCGCAAGCAGTCAAAACGATGACAGAGCCCGAATTTCTCAGGCTTCTACAGCGACTTAATCGAAATAAAGATTACGTAGGAGTCTTTCAGGCGTGTCGCGCGTTTCAGCGGTACGCAAAGGGGCTCTCCCCACAGGTGTATCGGGAGATTCTCGCGACACTCCCGTACATCTCGCGCAGTCCACATCCCGAATATGCTACTTTGATGAGGGAACGGCTTCTAGAATTCGCCTATAATATTGTCATTGAGCTCGCCATAGCTGCACCGCAGCACATCACCAACGACCTCTTCCTTCCGCTTCTCAAGGTCCTCGACAGCAGGACTTGCAACTGGGCCAGCATCCAGAACTTTGACTCATTTCTAGAGCAGCTTGATCGCATCATCCACAACTCTCATGTCCAGCCCATAGGACTAGACTTCTACGTGCTTCTGAAGAACGCGCACCTCTTGTTCTTTAAAGCTTCTAGGCAGTACGAACAAGCGGTGGACTACTTGTTCCAGGAGCTAGTGGACGGTCAGGCCCCCTTGGTGCTTCTCCCGTCAACAATAGTGGACCTTATACAAGCGTCTATCGGTAAGAAGGATTATTCTCGTTCTGTGAGACTCTTTGAGCTAGCTCAAGGCTCTGGAGTCACCGTTCCAGACAGAGTCTGGCACGACAGCTTCAGTGCTGGGTTGGATAATCTCAGCTTTGTTATCGTCAAATACATCTACGACTGTCAGATCAAGAATTCCACCGGGGGTGTCTTTTCGGGGGTTCTCAGCGTCCTGGCCTACGGCCGAATGTTAGAGCTATTCAGCAAGAACCAAGAGGTGGATGCCACCATCGACTTAGTGGAGCACATCACCACCTCCCACCGACGTGACTATGAAACAGACGAAGATGTGTTTCTCTCGCGCGCCAATGCCCGCTATATCATTGATAGCTACTGCCATCGGAATTTCAGGCTCTCCGAGATCTGGACCATCGTAGAGGCGTTCCTCCTTCAAGACAGTGCGTACACTCACAACGAACTCACCATAGATGACTTGGACACCGTTGTGAGGAGCTTCCGTTTGTACGACTATCAGAACAGACACCGCGAGTTGTACAGCTTACAGATGATTGACGGCATGATCGAAGAAACGTTCCATTCCATCCGCCTGGAGAAGAGTATGCGCTTGTTTGTGCAGGTAGTGCTCCGGATTCTCCATCAGTCGGTCAACTTATCGGGTTTTATCTACGGTTTTGCCAAGCTCCAGTCGTTGCTCCTGAACCCTGACGCAAAGGCGTCCATGGACATTTTGTACCACCCAGATAACTTACGAGTGTTGTTCCACAAAATAGGCATGAGCAATGCCTCTAAACTTTCAGGGTACTACTTGTTTAAGCTTTGCTTGAAAAATGGCATTGTCGTTTCCCCTGAAATGTACCAGGGCTTGTTACGGTCACAGATGGTAGGTAAACCTAACTGGCGGTTTATCTTCATGTACCTTTATGAGTACTTGAAAGCCTTCGGAACGCCCTTGTCCCATGAGATGTTTAGCACCATGGAAACATTGATTAAGGTCACAAACAACCAGAGCTTAGCTCAGTTACTTGAAGATTTAAGCAAGTCTACCATTCTCCAAGAAAGCCCCGTGGTTTTGAAGACCGCCTTTATGAATATTAACCAATATTACACTCGCGACTCCACGTTGGTCACCAAGGATATTGACCTGGTGGATTTTATGAACATCGTAAACTCCTCCGAAAGGGTGACAGAGTCAGCTTTCCTCAACGATTTCATTCCAGCGCAGTACCGCGGGAAGGTTGAGTTCCCGGTGAAAACTGTCTTTGGGAAACTCTACCATTATGACTACGATGTAGAGAACTCTCAAACCTTAAGGCGTGTCTTTGGCGAGAGATTTCCAACTATTTGACAAAGAGGCTTATAAAACATGTATATAGATTCAAATGAGATGATAAAGGATAAGTGTATCGAAATCACAGGTTAGACGGGTTGATTTTTTGTAGAAGCACAAAGTTGGGATACACGATTTGACATTTAAACTAACAGCCGAATGGTTAAAAATGATGACCACGAGATAGCGCGTACCCTATTCCATGAAGCTTGACAATAGATGTCTCACTCGTTTGAACTTGGAACGGAGAACACGCTTCTATAGGCGGAGATTATTGTTATTCTGTAATACTATAAGAAAAGGATAAAAGATATAACTGGCTGCTTAGTCAGAGAGTTCCTCAGAGAGTTCTCCGGAGAGATTTTCCTTGTGTTCGAGATGAACGCCTTTATCGTCAGTAATAGGCATATCTGGGATGTAACTAGTGGTTTTCCAAGCAGGAATATTCTCATCCCACATCTTTGAAATTTCTTCCAAAGTCTTACCTCTTGTTTCAGGAAACATAAAGTAGACGTGAAAGAACATGGCAATACACATGACACCAAAGACGATGTAGGTCTTCCAGGTAATGTTCCTGAAAGCAGAAGGCACAAACATGGAAAGGGCAAAGTTAAAGATCCAGTTGAAAGCTGCACAGAGAGCAGATGCCTTGGCTCTCTGGTGGGTTGGGAATATTTCGGAACAGTACAACCAGATACCGGGACCCCAGGTGGGAGCGAAGGAAGCAACAAACAAGAACGAACAGGCAATGACCGCTTTAGCCGCCTTGCCCTCGGTGTCTGGAATGGAAATTCTGACAGTGTTGTTACCATCGAAGCCGTTTGGCTGTGGCTGGGAGTAAGTTGCCAAAAGACCAGCTGAGGCAAATAGCCAGGTCATCATGAGTACAGCGCCAACCAACAAAAGTGGTCGTCTACCGACTTTATCAATAAACAACAAGGCTGGAATGGTCATGACAACGTTGATAACATACTGGATAGAGGAAGAAACCAAGTTAATGTTACCAGTCATACCGGCCATCTCGAAAATGTAGACAATGTAATACATCATAACGTTCATCCCACACATTTGCTGCCATATTTGGGCAAAGATACCAACGGAGGTTCTCTTGATGTTTTCCTTTCTAAACAAATCCCAGTATTGAAAGTTGGAAGCATTTTCATCGATGATTAACTGCTCCTTGATTTCCTCAAGCTGGATGACAACGTCCCTGTGACTGGCATCACCTTTACCGGTAACCCTAGTGATTATTTCGACAGCTTCATCCCAGTGACCGATAGACGCCAACCATCTTGGAGACTCAGGCAAGAATGGAATCCCCGCCATCAAGATCAAACCGGGGATGATTTGGATACCCCAAGCGACTCTGAAAGACCCGGTACCATTAATGAAGGAACAACCGTAACCAATATAGAACATGATCATAATACCGACGGTAACAGCAAACTGGAAGAGACTACCAATGGCACCTCTGACTTTTGGAGGTGAAATCTCAGACAAGTAGGTTGGGGCCGCAGAGGAGCCATAACCGATACCAATACCAGAAATCAACCTACCAGCAATCAATTGGCCCTGGTTCTGGGAGGACGATTGGATGATGGCACCGACAATCCAGAAGAAGGAACACAAGGTCATGGAAATTCTTCTACCCAATGTGTCGGAAGTGAAGGCAGAGGCAAGCGAGCCGAGGAATGAGCCACCGGACATGGCAGCGGTGATACCACCCTGAGCGATGGCCGATGGGTGGTTGAAGAATTTCAAGTAGTGCTCTTGCGACACAAAAGAAGAGACGGAGGAAATGTCAAAACCAAACATTAACCCTGAAAGGGTCGAAATAGTGGCAATAACATATATGTTGTAGGTCTTGGGTGGCTTGTCGTAAGCCGTAATGAACTTGCTCTGAAGAGGCGACATTACGAGTATATGCGTATCAGAGGGCGTGAGGATATAAGAGTGATATAGGCAGCAACAGAGAAGCACGTGTATTTATATTATTTTGGAACTACGAATCTAACTACGGAGAATGTCCTGCTGGGCTATTTTGGTGACTTAAATTTTCTTATGGACCAGTCTGGAAGTATTTTCCTTAATCAGCCGGTCTACCGATGGGTTATTTCCCCGAGCATGCGCATATGCATTTAAGTATAATTCGTATACGTTATTCAGGTCTTCTCAAGGGCCCTGGTCTATCAACCAATTTGAGGAGAAAAGTTGTCCACCTTGAAGGAAGCCCCTGAACGGGCGGACTAAAAATCGCTCCAGCTTTACCAGCTTTACACTGGAGTTGGACATTAACAGAATTGCGAGCAGATCTTTGACTAATGTCAAGAGCAACGAAATTGTGGTCGGACGTCTGAATTCCCTTTCTCGCTGTTTCAATCTATCGACAGCTACTCTGCGAGGCGGACTTGTTTTGGGTAATGATGGTATAACGTATGTTTCATCACGCAGCACTAATTTTTCTACGAAATTACCCCGGGGAAATCGCCTATCTTATCACGTTGTATCAGGTTATAAGCTTTTTGCAAAATTACTAAGGGAGACAAGCATGCTCCCCACACGACGTTGCATTGCAGAAAAGTTACCATGTACTATTACGTCAATAAAGTTTACTAGCGGTCTAAGCGTGACCCGATACAGGTTTTTCAGCGGTACAAGCAATGCTTAACGCCCGAGGATTATATTTCCAGGGTTGTCACTGTGCCTCGAATTGCAACCACAACTGCTAATCAGCCCTCGGGTGACCGAGCTACCGAGGCTTTATGCATACTTTCTGATGCTTAAGTTAATGGACCTTCGGAAGCAGGATGGTATATGTAGGATATGCAGGTTGCATGCACTAATTCATCCGATCACGCATTTTGTATTGGACGCCGTGTGCCAATTCTTCTGACTGAACTTTAGTGTATTACATCTCTATGGAGCACGTAGCAAGGAATTAAGCCTGGAAAAAGGCCCAAGATACAAAAGTCTATGAGATGAAATCAGAGGGGTGTCTGGGGTATTTTTTGCTGGGGTGCTAGTGTTACTGGGAGCATCTACCCGTAAAGTTCGGGTGTGTCAACCAATTAGACAGTTTTACATTCCTTCAGGGCAAATGTAAACCCGATGCGACTTTCAATTTTCGCTTTTTTTGCGTGAGGTTTACGATGGATTTCGAATGAGTGGAGGCGAGGCAAATTCAGTTCTTCGCCGGGGCCTAGAGCAGATCTCTGCCAGTGCGGACAGCTGGTGGCCGGATTTTTCTGTCCGCGTTCTACTTGTTCCCGATACTCGCAACCTCGGCATCGGACCGAGCTTCCGGTTTGTAGCGGTCTCCAAGGAATGCAACGGAGATTAAGGCAAAATTCCTACACTAGGTTGCTCCAGTCAGGATGCTCGGCATTATCAAAGTTAGCCCGATAGCCAAGGTGTCCAAAATATAAAGAGCCTATAGACCGGGGATATACAAGGAAAACTTTAAAGTTACGTAATTGTTTAATTAAGGTTCTAGTTCCGCACAGCGGCGTGGCACCTACGGACGTTGAGTCTAGTTGGGTAATTGTATTAGGTCACTTATTTAGTGGATTTACGCTCCCGACGTTGTATGACGTCGGTATATGTCTGTACCGACGCAGATCCGTCGCAGGTAGTCCGTATTTGAAAATATACTTGGGGAATTTTAGCCATTTGCCTCCTCGATAGCTTGATCTATGGTTTCTGTACATTGCCAAATGGTTCTCGGCGAGTATATCAGGGAAGTTATATGCAAGCGTATGTGTATAATGCAATATCCTTCAGCTTCTATATTTGTTGATGAATATTGCATGTATTTATATATAACCAATATTAATATATACTAGCAATTGTTGGTGCTGATACAAGTATCTTAATACCCTGTTGGTGTATTCTAGTTCAAAGTATATTGAAGTAGACCTCCAGTTCGATCTATTATTTACGTATTAAAGATTTTGAGAAATCTAAAATTTCACAAATACAATTTAGGTACTCGTTACTCGAAAATATTTGAAACTACAGGATAGAACAATTGTAGTTCAATATTAATGGAGTTAGTACTAGAAAAAAAACTATATGATGAATGTTATATTAATACCGCATGGCCTACAAAAACTCAAACTTTAAGCCTAAAAATAAAACCCACGGCGAGAGTCGAACTCGCAATCTTTTGATTAGAAGTCAAACGCGTTAACCATTACGCTACGCAGGCTATGACTAGATTTTTATGTGTCACGTGAAAAATATAATATATTAAATAGTCAATCATTAAGGATCGCAATTACTTATATACGCACACCAACATGTAAAACCGTCTTGAATTAGTCACATACCCTAAGTACTTTATAAAAGGATCCACCAACAATAATTATTAAAATATGCAAAGGTCGGACTATAGCCGAACATGAATAACTCACCACGAATGAGCTAAGCTATTGCATCAAGTCGTACAATTTCTGCAAATCGTACTTCTCTCTCCAAGCCTCGCCTCTCTTCTTCAAAATAAAAACATTCATCGCAAGGACAATGATAATCCCGCTCAAGATACTGAACAACACACCGGTTCCCAATGCCACAATCAACGGTTCGGTGATGAAGGTGCAGATAGCAGCCATGATCATCCGTACGAAGTTGTTCACAGCAACCCCAGTAGCACCCTTTCCAGGCAACTGGTCGACGATATATGTCACTGTGACTCCGATAATAATCATAGAGGCAAAGCCAAATAAGGCAGTGCCGATGAGAGGTGTGACCCAGTGAGTGTGGAAGTTGAACGTCCAGCCAATAATCATGAGCGACACAGGAAAGGCACACGCGGCAACGACAACGTTCCAGGAAAGACGGGATTCAGGTGAAATGTATCCGTCTCTGGCCTTCTTCTTTGCAAGGAGGTAGTCAGTCCACCGCCCACCCCAGATCGAAGCGATGAGGTATGTCACCGAGTTGGGAATGTACACGAGTCCACAGATGACGGAGGAAAAATTGTACGGGGCTCTGGCGTACTCGTATGAAAGCGTCATGTTGACAAAGTACAAGATGGCAAAGCAAGGAGCGGAATAAGCTATGGCCATGATGAGCGGAGGGTAGCGCAACAAGTTGAGCGACTTTGTGGGGAGTACCACATAGATGTAACCATAGTGCTTCCACTTCTGCTGCCACGTCTCTTGTTCACATTCCAAGTTCTTATCAGCTTCAAAGATTGCGGACTCGAGCTTTGCCAACTGAAGCCTCTGGAACTCTTCCACGCGTTCCTTGCGCGTTCCCACACGGGACAAGGGTGGTAAGATGCTGTCGGTGGTCTGGTAAGCATCGGTATCCAACCCATCCACAAGATGGATAGAGTTTCTGCTGGAGGAGATGACACTGAGAACACGTTGTAACTTCTGGGGATCGTTGATTGCCGCCTTGGCGCTTGGTCCAAGCACAAGGTGCGATTCGTCATCCGAGGAATCCAAAGAACCAACCTCACTATTGCTAGAATGAAGGGACCCTTCGGTGTCACTCACGTGTTTTAAGCCTGGGGAGCTTTCAATATCGTCGTGGTGGCTGGCAGCCTTTTGCTGCGCGATAAGAGCTTTGATGTTGGCCATGTTGTCCTGACGTCTCAATGTCTCGGGAAGCGCAAAAGTGACGAGGAGTAAGCAGACGCCAGCCCAAATGACCAAGAGCCACTGGGAAGCGCGCCAGCCCCACTTGATACTGAGAGCCCCGCCAATAATAGGCGCTAAAAGCGGACCCATCAACGGGCCTAGGTAGTAGAGACCAAGCGCAAACCCTCGTTCCTCCACCAGGTAGAGGTCGGAGATGGTTCCCGCACCAACGCTCTGTACAGAAGCGGAACAACCACCAACCAAGACTCTGAACACGATTAAGGCACCTATACTGGGCGCAAGGGCCGTGCCAAAGGAGAAGGCAAAAAAGAAAAAGAAAGAAATCATGTAGATGCTGCGTCTTCCGTGACGCTCGCTGAAGGAGGACCACCAGAGTGGCATAATGCCCATGGACAAGAGGTACATCCCGACAGATACATTGACAACCGAGACGGTTGTGTTTAGGTCCTGGCACATATCATCGATAGCGGGTAATACTATGGAGGAGCCCAATGGTCCGATGACTGCACAGATGCCAATCACAAACACGATAAAGTACTTGACTTTTGGTGAGTAGTTTCGCGGGTCGTCGTACTCCGGAACAAGCGTAAGGCTCAGAAGGAGACCCCGCCTCTTGTCCATAGGCACAATCGTGGGGCTGATAGAGGTGGTTGTTGTTGTCTTGGCTAGCGGCGCTGCGTCAGGTGCGGTATCTGGTGCTAGCATAAGCTCCGGCGACTTATGTTCGCTAGAGGTGTCTGGCACCGTTTCTGGATCCAAAAAGGTCATCGGAGGGCTTGTGGGTGGAGGTAAAATAAAACAACCCTAAGGCCAAGCTTATGAAATAACAGTCTGATGGTGTTTTATTGTACCTGGATTTCAGACGCGGTTTGGGTTTTTGATGACAGTCTGAATGCGTATGCTTTTGACCACGATGATTCAGTATGGCCTCAGATGGTTGTGGACTAGAGTGAAACGGGGTTCTGTAGCGGTTGGACTAGCTCTGTAACAGAATTGGGGTTAGTTTCAAAGAAGAAAAGAAGTGATCTGGGGCGTAGAGAAGAGAAAAGTGAGCAGGCGGTAGGAATATACAATTTTATGTGTTACGGCAAACTGCTTCCGATGTATCGCGTGTATGTAGTCTGGATGCGTCATCTGAAATTTCTCGCTTTAAGCTATGCGGTGGAAACGCCGTGCGGCTTTACATTAGCACGCTATGTATTAGTGCTGGGGGGAAGTCAAGTTAAATAATAAAATATTATCAAACTTTAAGGTACAGAGAGCTAAGCCTTTGTGCAATGAACCAAAGGTGAAGCTCACTATAGTATTTGGGTACATGATAGAATGCGGTTCGTTAGCAGGGTCTTTAAGGGCTTGGAGCGGTACCGTTTGGTGAAAAAAGGTGAGTTAATGGTGATGCAAGATTTCCTAAGATTGCTCCGGGTTTGGGAGTATAGAATGTCTGAGTCTCCGAGAGAATATCATATTTTCTTGACAAATGCAATATTTACACCTTTGATTAACGCCCAATCTTCTGCCGTGTGCACCTACAGGCTGCGGGCGAGCTTGGGGTTTAGGAAGGAGTAATCTCTGATCCCTCCACCTCTCTCCAGGTGGGGGTGGATCTCGGTGGTACCTTAAAAACTTGATATATTGTTATAGTAAACCGAGATACGCGTAGTTCTAACGCTTTTATACGCCAGTGCTACAACTCAACTGTACGCGCAGTTTCACGAAATCCTGTTGGAAATCATGATCCAGTGGCATGCAACCGTGACTTGATCTTTAGTCCAGATCTAGCAATTAATCGGGTTACGTTTGAAATATCCATCTCTCCTTAATACACCCTTTATCTAAAAAATATATGGTCAAAACTATGCACTAATATATATATAATTATCCAACGAATAATGCACGAGTCTCCGCCTTTATTACCCGAAATAATGACCCATTCCCCTATTCTCGCAGTCTCCTTGTCCTGCCCTGGAAGCTTCCAGAAGTGCGATATCCGGGTAATCCATTTCGTGGAGAGAACGCCAAAACGAAGCTGGATAAGCACTTATCAGGGCCATCGTGATATCCCCTCCCACAATCCTTATTACTTTAATATATACCTATGTCTGACCCAATCACAATTAATATCAAGTAAGTACTACGACTCTTTCCTCTTTTGTGCCCATCTAACCTCTAGATCCTCCGGTGATAAGAAGTACGAGGTGTCCATTTCCCCATCGGAATTAATTTCCGCGTTGAAGCAAGAAGTTGCCAAGGTTTCAGACGTTCCGGCCGAGACCCAGAGATTGATCTACTCCGGACGAGTCTTGAAGGATGAGCAGACGGTTGAGTCCTACAATATCCAGAACGGCCACACCCTCCACTTGGTGGGCTCTAGAAAGACGGCAGCCCCTGCCGCCGCCCCTGCAGCAGCAACTCCGGAATCCAATAATATTCCGTCTGGGATCGCTGCTGGCCAGGGGTTGAGCCCTTTAAATGACCTTACCAGCGCCAGATACGCCGGGTACGGTGCCCAAATGCCTGATGTATCCCTGTTGCTCGACGCTTCTGGGGGTTTACCCTCGGAAGATCAGCTAGAACAACTCATATCTGACCCTGCATTTGGTTCATCTATGCAAATGATGTTGAACAACCCACAAATGTTGGACATGATGATCCAGCAGAACCCTATGATGCGTGGGATGGACAGAGAACAGGTCAGATCCATGATGTCGTCGCCGTTTGTGCAGAGCATGTTGAGCAATCCGCAGATGATGCGCAGCATGATGAGCATGCAGAGAGGCGCTGGGGGTCCTGCTAGCTCCTTCCCCATGCCAGGCAGCGCTACTGGGACTACCTCTACTGCAGGCGAAGCACCAGCCAACCCTTTCTCTGCCTTCTTGGGTGCTAACTCCGATGCCGCCACCGGTGTTGGTGCTGGTGCCAACCCCTTTGACTTGTTACGTCAAATGGGCGGTATGGGTGGTAATAGTACTAACGCCGGTGCTGCCAATCCATACGACTTGTTACAGCAGTTTGGTGGTATGGGCGGTGCGCCAGCGCCAGTGGACGACACCCCGCCAGAGGTTAGATACGAGGCACAGTTGAGACAGTTGAACGATATGGGCTTCTTTGAGTTTGATAGCAATGTGCAGGCTTTGAGAAGAAGCGGTGGCTCCGTCCAGGGCGCCATTGAGCACTTGTTGAATAACTAGGCGATAGCTTTAGACTGAACACAAAGCTATGTGTACGTAATCGAGGGTTTGTTTTAAGGAAAGCCTTGCACGTAGAGGGAACTCAGCCGTTTAAATTTAATTACGAGAAGCGGGTATTAAAGCAGACGTATCAAGTGGTCTGACACGGCCGATATCATTTGTGTATTTTTCGTTCCTTCGAGGTATACATGGGTAACAATACTTCAAGCTAACAGAGTGGCCGGTAATCCGAAGCTCGATAAAAATAATCTAGCCATCAGATATATACTCTAAATCTTTTCTGCGAAATGTCATTGGCTATTATAGACTACTCAAATCTCCAGCTATACACCACACTAAGTGTTGGTATAATTTGGTTGTTAAACCCGAATTATAGCAGAAGCCAATTTTACACCCGCATTTAAATCAAACCTCCGGCCTTTTTGCGCGTTATTGTAGTTACAGTAATTTCAAGCTCAGATTCTCTGCTATTATCGATGAATGACGCTTTAAAACATGGAATATCGCATTAAAATTTAATCATGCCTCAAATCATGTTTATTGTCAGCCATAACAGAGGGAGCTTCGGCATTCCTACCTGTATAGACAAGAGAAGGCATAAACTAGAATGTTATACACAAGAGTCCTCAAGTGATTACACTTTGTCCTGGTACTCTGTTAGCTGTAGCCAAAGATTACTTAAACTTTAATATCATTCACTATAAACCGTATTCAACTTACGACTACACCACTGATTCCGCTCCTAAATCCCAAAGTCACCGTTGGTGATTGCAGAACGCAAGTTCTTCTTCCCCGCTCCGCTTCGATCGCCGCCACCATGCGGCTTCCCGTGGTTGACCTGCGGCATCATCGCAATGATTTGGTCAGACTTTCCCTGTCTAGGTGGAAGCTGGACTGGATGTTGCGGATAATGATAAGCTGGGGCGTACCCTATAGGAGGTCCGTGGGGATAGTAACCATGTGGTTGTCCTGATGCTGGCTGGGATCTAGACATGTGCAGAGGCATCTTTCCAGACCCAGAGCGGAGCGTATTCTCCCCCGGAGAAGCCACTGGCGGAGCAGCAGCAGGCGGGTAGTAATATACCGCTCCAGGAGGCGGAGGTGGAGGGTAATGCGCATATTGAGGAGCGTAACCATACGGTTGGGGTACGTGCTGACCTTGGGGCAGCGGGCCAGATGGGTAATAACCGTAAGGTGCATGACCGTACGGCTGGGACCCCTGGGGGTGGGGGTGAGAACTATGAGAAACCTGCGGATGTGGGCCCGAGTGATGAGATTTTCGATCGGGCTTGCTTCCATGCATTCGACGACTCCCTTCCTTCAAACCGGCACTATCGACTGATACGTCAGAGGCAGTCTCGGAGATGTCTTCCTTGGCGTTGAGGAGCAGCTCCGGTGAGATCTGCAGACCCTTCTCCTGCTTCATTTCTGGTAGTATTTTGCCCAGCAGATCCGAAACCGACACAACCTCCTCAGAGGCCTTTGACACTGTGCTGTCTTCATCGTCGGAGTACTCTGGGGCTCTGCGACGAACAGATCTCACAGAAGCAGATGTCGAATTAGAAACAGTGCCCAGTGCTGGAGGCGGGGTGGGAGGAGGCGTCACCAAGATGTCACGAGAAGAGGAAGTTCCGGAAGAAGCAGTGGGGGCTCTAGGCAATAAAGCAGACTCTGAAAGGCAGGTAGAAACAGGCACAGGAGAAGTAACAGGAATCGAGGAAGAAGTTTTGGTAATAGGTACAACATCCATCGGAGAAGCAGACTCAGCAGGTACTGGAGTAACAGAAATTGGAGCAGGAGCAACGAAAGTTGTATCAAATTTTGTTTCTCTTTGTCCAGATTTCGCTTCGGTAGTCGCCTCAGGCTTGGCTAGTACCTCTGGCCGTGGCTCTGGAGACAGACTGGCAGATCCTATAGCCCACGGGACTTGTCCACCGGCAGGGCTCACGAGGGCAGCTAAGGATCGCACGCTGCGGAGTTCGCGTTCTTTCGGTTGGCTCAACAGGTTGATCTCCTGCTCGAAGCGCAGACGCAATGCCGCCACCTTTCCGTTTGAATCGGTCGGGAGCTTTTGTCTCGCAGCCAGAGATGGTTGAGACGTTGCTACTGAAGTTTCTGAAGGAGTGATAGGAGACTCAGCGACGGGCTTTCGGACTGGAGCTTTCCTGGCTATAGGCTGGATCTCAATCACTTGTTTCACGATCTGTGGTTTAGAGTCCAAGGTAGAAGTCCCAGAAGTAACTGCCGGTGCAGTAACTACCTCATTGATCTTGATTTTAAGACCTTTAACAACGTTTTCCTTAGCTGATGGGGCTTCATGCGGCAGAGACATCTCTATTGGGTTTATAAGAGCGGCAGGGTTGGCAGATTCTTGATTTGCGTGAATCGCCTCGACTGGACTCTTCGTTGGTACGGGCGGAGCCTTTTTAGCTGGGTTCTTGCTTAATACCGGTGATCTCTCCTTAACTGCGGTTTTAGGTGGCACAGGTGGCACGGTCAAGCTCTCATCAAGTAGGCTTCTGGGTGGCACTGGGTTCTCAATCGAACTGCTAGCTACAGACGTTACCTTTTCCGCCTCATCAGCTAGACTCTTAGCCCCCATTGAGCTATTTATCTCTGGACTCTTGGTTGGTGCTGGTGGTGCATTTGGATGCATATCTGGAAGGGGAACATCGGTCGGATTTATAATCTCCTGCGCCCCAGCCGTCTCAAATGCTGATTTTTCCGGCGACAAGGCCATGTAGTGCTGCAAAAAGTCATTCTCTAATTCTTCCTCATCGATTTTCTTGTCATACACCTTTCCATCGTCTTCAAACGGGAGGCTTTTCTTCTGCTTTACCTCGTCCTGGAGGGACTTCGGGGTAATGGACTCTGCGCGTGTAAAGTCAGGAGTCTTGTCACCCTGGCGGAGGGTTCCGGGAGAGAGCTCCAGATCGGAGACAGATCTGGCAGGAGTCCGCTCTATGTCCTCGCGGATTTCGTCGCGGAAATGCTGGCTGAAGCAAACATCAGAGGGTGACGAGGCGCGGCGAGCCCGAGCCGCGGGCATCAACAGCTTCAGTGTCTGTTTCGGAAGCGAAGCCTGCGAGTTGTTGCGCCGCGGTACTACGCCTATACCCAGCGCCACGTAGACACTAGTACGCCGGCTAAGCACCGACGAGTTTCCACTGTCGTGTTCGTACAAGCCTAGGTAGTCGCTTAGAGCAAAGCTATCGCGCATGGGTGAACCGGTAGTGCTCCGGCGCGAGTGGAGGGTACGCGGCGTCGGGGAGAGGTTTGGCTCGGGGAGTGAACTAGGGTCTGTAGGTGTTGTCGGGCCACCTGGAGCAAAGCTCAGTGCCATGATGATGCTCTGGCGGGTTGCCTTGTTCAAACTGTTGCGCAGCGGGTTCCGCAGCATCCCCAGCGAGTAAACTCGATTCTGAGATGACCCGCTGCGCAGAAGATTCAGACCGAGGTTGAGCACGCTGGTGTTGGAGAACGGAACCACGGGCGACGGCGGCTGTGTCAGTACTTGGACGCTAAGCGGCGTCAGTGGCCCCGCACGGTGCAACCGCGGCACCTGTGGCGACTGGTCGATAATTTGCGATGGAGTGATTGGGCCGTACGCTACGGCGAGCCCGATGTCAATGTTCGGTGGTTTGTGCTTGTTGCGCGTAGGCGGTACTACATCAGTGCTTTTCGACGGCGGTGCAGGCGGTAATTTGCTTGGAACGGCTTCCGCGGGAGCAAGCAACAAGGGCGGTTCCATAGAACGTTTCTTACTGAGCTGTGGCACCACAGAGGGAGCTTCAAGCACCGACAGGCGAACATCGAGCATCGAATGGGTCGGCCGGGAGCGAGCCGGCGGGGTGAACCTCTCAGAGTCAACGTCGAGCATTGAGCGTTTAGGCGTATCCAAATCGAGCGCTTGGGGAGCTTGCGGAGTCGGGGTGGCATCCACCACACCGAGCATGGAGCGTTTCGAGGAGTCCATCGACCGTTTCGGCGTGTCAAATGGACGGGTACCCAGCGGGGCATCGAATGGTTTGACTGGCGGCACTACAGAAGTCAGCAGCCGCCGCGGCTGGAGATCGAGCATCGAACGGATAGGAGTAGAAGCCTGCGTATATCCCTCCTCGCGCGCTTGAGATTCTTCCACCAGCGGTGCAAGCATTGAGGCGTTGAAGATAGAGGCATGCGACGGATGAGAGGCATAGTCCTCGCTGTTGCGCCGGTCGTAGTCAAACGCCATGCCCACCGAGTTTTGCCGCGTGGGATCGAGCGAGCGTACGCGTGGATCAAAGCTGGAGAACACCAGGGGCGACGCGGAGTGGAACAGGTCGGGAACCGGCTTCTCTGTCTCTTTCTCAACGCTTTTCACGTCGAGATCTAATGATCGCTTCTTGCCGTCCAATGTCGGCGTAGTGGTGGTGGTGTCAAAGTCATCCACGCTATTGAATGAGCCAGTGGTGGCCGTCGCTTCCGAGAGTCGCGCCATGATGGTGCGGTAGTTTTGGTACACGTCATCCGTGTCCACCTCGAGCGACGAGGACGTCGCAGAGTACAGTGTGCGGAGGTCCTCCACCAGCTCGTGCAAGAAGTCAAGCCGGGTTGTCAGCTCGTGGAGGCGAGTGTCCAGGTACAAATCCTGCTCTGTGAGCCATATCGGCTGAGACCGGGGCCGATTGGCGATCTCCAGCGAGTAGGTCGAGCTGACTTCGTTGAGCATCCCGGCTATGGACAACCGGCAACTAACCAAGTCAAGCAGAGGGAGAAGATCCTGGTAAAGAGGCTTCGCAGTCTCCACCTCCGGGTTCATAGTCTCCGTCCGGTTGACCGGTTTCAGTCCCTGCACAGGTCTCTCCGCCTTAGGTTTCGTCACGGTTATTCCAGGCTTTGTTATGGCAACCCCGGGCTCCATCATCTCCATCCCGGCCCAAGACCGTGGCTCCGCCCTGGGTTTGTAAAAATCCTTCGCGGGTAACGGCGGGGGTACGAGGACGCTGGCGCGGTTTTCCCGAAAATCCGGATGTTGTTTCTGCAAACGCTTCAACATGGCCATTTCGCGGTCCGTCACCTTGCTCGCGAGCTTGCGAAACTGTCCCTCACGCAACACCTTTTCCTCGATTACCACCCACGAGACGCTGCTGGTATCGGGGTTGATGAATTCTAGCACGAGCGAGCGTCCAAACATGCCGCGAATAGCGGTATTCGCCTCCACGGAGATAGATGACAACCATATCCAGATCTCGTAGTCGTTAACGGCGAGTGTCGATATCTCTGTGATGGCCTGCACCGGGGTTTGTATCGGCTCGTCACGGTAGTCGTTATCGGTCGTCATCCAGCCGTTGTGCAAGTCGTGGGTAAATACTTCGTCGTCCTCGGCCATGTCCCAGATGCGCCGCGAGCCGGGCGACAACTGCTCGACAATCTCTTGTGACGACTTGTATTTAAAGATGGTGTAGAGGAACTCGTACTTGGACGAATGTTTCTGCGAGAGAATTTGGATGCTGTCAGAGACCTTCATTATGAGCTCGCGCGGCGAGACCGAAGCCTGGGTGGTATTCACAGTCAACACTGGGACCTTAACGGTCGTAGGTTTGAGGAGCACCGCCAAGTCTTCGCTGGGCGAAGTTGGCGGTGGATACGCGTGCGAGCTGAGCAAGGTCTTGAGTGACTTTGGCAAGCGCAGCTGCTGAGGGTCCGGAGGTAACATGGAGCGCAAGAACGACAACATCAAGTGGAACATCGCGTTGGTGGCGGGGACCCAGGCCTTGAGACCCTTGGTGAAGGTCATGTCATCCGAGGGAAAGTCCATGGAAGTGGGCGTGGGAAGCAACATCAGCATGCGGCCGTCTACCTGCTCGGGTGCGGCAGCGTTAAACGCCCAGATGGCACTCAACTTGGAGATCTTACGGCCACTCATCTGGTTCTTGGTGGAGTGCGCCGCTATGGACACAAGGAGGTCCATGAAGTCGTAGACGATCGACGCGTGCGACGCGGAAGTGAGGCACTTGGGCATCATCGTGATGAACGCATCGCGGGGGTAGTTGGCCTCACGCTCCTGGCGTCTGAAGGCGTAGTAGGCTTCCCAGCCAATGACCTCACCATAAGGCAAGCGCGACCAAATATACTTGAGAAGCGCAAGAAGTGTATAGTCGTCGTACTCCACAAGAATGTACTCCCACGCTTGGAAGTCGCGGAGAAGCCTGCCTTGGGGGAAGAGTTGGAAGAGTATAGCCTCGAGCTGGAGTTGGTCGAACTGCGGCCGGAACGGGAGCATGATGTGTTTGGTTTTGCACGCGCCGGACTTTTTTAGGTGTGTGGTAATGGCATGGATAAGCAGGTATATTTTGCGCTTCAGGAACTGGTGAGAGTTGATGGCGGTCATGTGGGCGCGCATGGGCAACCCCGTAGAGTCGCCTTCAGTATTATAATCCATGGGTTTCGTCCGGAGCGAGAAACAGAGTGTGAAAAAATGGATGTTATGCGAAGCGTGCGTAGAGTGCTAGACAACAAGTTTCGGTGGATACTTTGAGCGACTCAAGCAGGCAAAATCTGATCCGGTCCTCAAAGCAAACTATAACGGCGAGGAAACGCGCAACAAGAGCAGATAGATTCAGAGACAAAGGTGGATCCCAGAGGGAAATGACAGGCTTATTCTTAGAAGGCAGAGGCTTTGGAAACAGTTCTTAGTGGTATCTTGGAGGCGTGCTATTTGTCCTCGATGGCTGGCAAGACAGGGCTAGCGTGCTTACGTTAGAAGCGATGATGAAAAACCCGAGGAATGGTGTTAGTGGCACGGATGGAAGTAGTAGGTACACGGTGAAGGGATAGCGTCGCCTGGGTATTTGATTTGCTGGCGGATCCTTGCAAGGTATGGATGCAGATGGTATCGAGTACGTGTAAGTGCTGGGATCGGATTAGCAACCCACGGGAATAGCGCGTGTCGAGTTGAAGGGAGATAAACACAAGTGTGGAGGTAGCGCTAAGACAAACAGTTAAATCGGCTGTAAAACTTTAGCGTCACGAAGGCTGCGGTAGCGGTACGCAGGCGGTGCCCTTTTAGGTCTCGTACTGCTGGCAGTTCGCGCCTGTCGCCAGCGATTTTGCGCTTTTCCAGCGTGCATTGCGTGTAGCCAGGTATGCGTAGCAAGCCGAACCAGAATGTTTATCGCATGCGACACAATATTCTGAATTCAATACTATATACTTGAAGCACTGGCCAGCTTATTTTGGACATCTTTAATCCGTCCCTCAAATGGTCTTTTATGCCCTAGAGGGAAGGGAATAGGAAGCTGCAAAGTTTCTGCACCGCCACAACAACTGTACAAATACAGACAGGACGCTCTGCACACGGCACAAGCGTGCATTAAGGTGCAGATTAGGTAGCCGACACCTGATCTTCTTACTAAAGTATGAGGAGCAAATCCTTCGATGCAGCTACAGGCGCAAGAGAACAATGTAAAAGGTTCAGCCTTAATGTACACGCTTCTTTCCTGATTACTACGGGTTGTTTTATGTCTTTGTTATCAAGGCTTGACTAGAAAGGAGTATCAATTGCCACATGGCAACCGCGTGGTCCAACAGAAATGCCAAGCCACGTTAAACCGCGTAGTCTGGCGTCGCTGACCGTTGCAGCACCAATACTTTCTCCTCGATGCTCGATGGGCTTAACACGGGATAGTTGCCACTAAGAATGATTAGAGTTGGCCCAGTCACTTCCTACAGTGCGATATCTAGCCTTGATAACTGTGTTGCTGATATACGCTAGTTTCAAACTAATACCCTAGACACTCGCAATCGGTACATTTAATGTTACAGATTCTTGCCCATTTACAGAAGGCCGTCTCACATATCAATTACCACTTTTGCGCACCGTAGCCCGCTAGTCCTTCGAGTAAATCAAAGTATAGGCACATACGGCTGGCCCCACATTAGTCAAAATGGCACATGTATAAATCCGTGAGTTCGGCACAGTTTGCAAAGTATAAATGGTAGATTTTAGGAACTAAGAAAACCGTTTTTAATAGAGTAACCGGACCCATCGGTCCATAATCCTGCTTCATACAGAACAATGCATAACAACTGGCAGATGGGCTTCCTTTCCTTAACACGTACGGCATTACTGGTTGAAATTTACTTCGTTGAAATTTATTAAATCCTTTGTTGGAACTTGAGCGAACAAATTGCGACAAAGGCGCAAAAAGGGGTGTGACAAGCATCTACATGTATGCATTGATAATCTCGGCTATGTTGCTGGTTACGGTTCCGATTCAGGGGTTCAGGAACACGAGCCCTTTAGGGAGAGGTGGGAACAGGCCGATTGAGATGACTCACGCTATTGGCGGGGAGTTTTTGACGGCACACGTATCAGGTCTGGTGGCAAAGCAGCGACGGTGATTATGAGTTTGCACCGCCACCCCCTGGCTCCCCTAGCCTCTTCACGACCAGTTGGTGCATAGTCGATCGCACCCTTTCCTCGTTTGGAACAGTACAGCACATTCTGGGCGCACCTAACCCACATTCGCGACATTCTCTAATAGGTACAACCAAAAACCACTTGTACGAGGCGGGGGCGAAACCACGCCCCTGGCCAGAAGCACACTAGAAAGGCATATTTATCATCAATATAAACCACGCCCATCCCCAAAAAAAAAAAAAAACCATACGCGTCTTCGTCTTCTAGACACGATGGCAGCTTCAGACGGAGAGTTTCAAAATAGCGTGATCCGAAAAATTAATCTTGGAACATAGAACGAACCAGCTGGACGATCAGGTGCTTCCAGGAAGAAGCTTTACCCATCTACCCGGACAACAACAAAACCAAAGACCAATAAACAAGTAACCAGTCCAATTTAATTGGATTTTTCCAGAAAAAAATACACTCCATTACAATATGGAAAAATATAAGCTTCCCCACCAGGAGTCGAACCTGGAATCTTCTGGTTCCAGAAGTGGTTACAAATCGTAGCCAGACGCCGTGACCATTGGGCCATGAGGAACGAAGCTTAAAATGTCAGGGTTCCAGCGCCTGTTGGTATTCCAGTCGGGGGGTTGTAATCAGTCATTGATTCACAAGTTACTTATCGTGATCTTCCACAAAAATAAAGATAATATTAAAACCAAGATCATTCTTAGATCTGGAAAACTACTTCCTTATATAGCTTTCTTCGGTGCCTCATTTGCTTTATGCGACAGGATTAGTTTCAGATACTCATTATCAAACAATCCTAGTAGCCTCAACTGGAACCTCATAAGGTTCCTGAAACAACTCTCTAACTCTGACATAAAAAGCGTGCACTCATAGTGGTATTTCACTGAGAATGATGGATAACCCACAGTTCGTGATATACGTAATTATCAACCATAAGATGCTGTTGGTTTTTGGCAATCTACTGCTTAATATTGTTTGGAATAAATCATTTGCGATAGCTGGTAATTGTTGTTGAGTTTTTGGGTAAGTTATCAGGATCTTGAATACGGGAATAAGAAGATTCGTTGCATTATAATACTGAGGATAATTGTAGTAAAGGTGCTATTTAACTATACGGAAGTTGACTTTCATTATCTCCGATAAGCGGATACCCTGGCATCGTATCTACCTCAGTATATAAGGTCTCCGACCACCCTTCTCTTGTGTATATCACAGATGAAAAGTATTCTCTTTTAGTTGGCTAATAGTATCACTATTACCTACTAGATATACCACAATAATGAGAGTAAGGGAAACTCATACCCCTTTACAGGCAATTGGTTCTCCCAGTAAAGCAGCGTTTGATTATACTGAAATTTATATGAGATATTGTTTACTGTTCCTCTAAAGCATCGTAAGTCACTCTTCAAGCAGACACCAATCGGACTTTAGACGTGCGACAGAACCGATTTCAACAGGTACTAGCTAGTAGATCAAAATACTTTTAGGTCCCCAAAAAGACTCAAAAACAGAGAAATGTGAACTGCTTAACAAAAAGCTCATAATCATCTAACATCTGGCCTTTGTCGCGATTTGAAAGTGTTAGCCGCTCCATTTCTGTTTGAGACTGGCGAGAACGTTTATCGATTCGTGCTTTGGACTTCATCAAATGTCGGGTAGATAGTCGTGTATTAACCACAATTCGTCACACGACTTTTGTCGCTGCTTTGACCTGGCTTTGTACAGGATTTTCTTTCAGTCTCCACTGTTGTGAATATGAAAGTCTCCATTTCTGGAATCATCGTTCAACGCTGAAATACAGCTAATCCATCTTTTGTCGCTCCCTATCACAGATTGATCGGACTCAAACCTTCAGCATAGACTTGTGATCCACAGTCTACACACATATACACAGATCAAAAGTCACGGCGAGGATGTCTGAAGCGACTACACCGGAACAACCGCAGGAGATTCCAGAACCGACACAGAGGGATTCCAGAACCTTGGTAATGTCTGATGATAAAGCACCACTACCTGTAAGCGATGCCATAGAGCGCGCTACGAGAGGAAGTGCAGTATCGCCAATGCCCCTATTACCGGACGAAATCCCCAAGTTCGATAGTGAAGTGCGTGTCAATGGTGACACGAGTAATCTGGAAGAACCAGGCTTGCATCCATCGTTGAATTCGCCGATGATTGAATTGGAAGAAGTGGAGCAGCAAATCACATCCGACGCTATTCTTGCAGGTGGCAACGAGTCCGAAGATATAGTCATGAATGACGCTGATACACGGGATAGAAACCAGGATACAAATAATGGACCAGTCAGTGTATCTGAGGATAACGATATAGCCATGTCAGACAACCAAACAAACGTATTCAACAGCTCAAAAGATGTGATAGAGGTCGAAAAAGGCGATATGAATAGTACAGAGGATGCACCGGAAGAATTGAGCACCATCACAAAGGATGTCAAGGAGCTTGTCACCGAAGTCTCTGTGTGTGCTTCCAAAGAAATTGCTACAAAAGCTACAGCTGAAAACTCCAAGAACACAGAAAGAGTTGCTGATGAATCCAAGGATGCGGAGATGGAAGATGAGATCGCAGTGGATTTTGTGACCTCAGACCTTTCACCCCTGGTTGGGACCGCGGCTGAATCTGTGATTACGCCTGCTAAACACAACCCGTCTATACCTGGTGAAATTAAAGACGTGTCTCCAAATGGGACAACTGAAAATCAGGGAGCCAGATTTCGAAATACTGAAGGTAATACTCCGGTTGAAAGGGTCGACAAGGCTCCGTCTGACCGTACCTCAGAAGCTATGTGCACCCAGGATACTGACAAGGTTACAGATGTCTCTGGACCAGCACAAACTGAATTATTTGAAGCTAAGATAGAAGCAGACGGAAAGCCTGAACCCTCGTCCCAGAGCGCCCCCAGGCCAAAAGTAACCCTTCCTACTGCATCTGACAAGGAGTATATCCGCCAGTTACCTTCTATTGCGTCTTATTCCACAGAGAATACCTCCGCCTTCCCACAGTTAGATAATGTGGTAAGTAAGCTTATTGCCACCTACTTGAAGAGTTACTTGGAAATCGAGTTCTTTACGGAGGATGCCTTGACGCATTTGTCCTGCTTAGCAACCTCCTACTTATCCCTGTTGGTTGGTAAGTTGCACAACATCACTGAGTACCAGAGAAGACATAACCCGGCAATCCAGGATTTGTACTTAATGTTCAGGTTGGAGAACTCCAATGTGGAAGCGGATTCTTTCAAATGCGGGCTAGTGCGGGAGTACGATGAATATCAGAAATTCATGAGCCCTGACGATAAGGTTGCCAACCCAAAACGCACTGCAATGGTCAAATACTACTCTGAGCTCGCCCAGGAATCCACTGCTTTGGTGCGAAGCTACTTCCACAATGCTGCAGGTTCTAATATCCTCGAGCAGGAAGTTTCAGAGTCAGATCCGTCGGCTCCATTCTTTAACAACGCCTACTCGTTTGCCATCTCTGATCTTGTGCACCCCTCCGATAACAACACCAGCTTAGAGACATCCACCCACGGTGCCAACGGTTACGTCCCGCTGTGGCTTCCATTTTTCCCACCGCGCCATACCTACAGATCGACCCCGACATATGTAGAGCGGTTAACAGACATGCGAGAGTTGAAGGTGAAGTTGGTGGACGAGAGCAGACTTGTGGAAGGTGCTTTAATGAGTCTCTTGTTGAAGCAGGAGCAGAAGGAGGCGGTCCTCGAAGTTGTCGCTGCTTCTGAAGAAAGCGGAGATGAGGCTTCTGATGTGGATGCTCAGTTTGACAAGGTTCTGGTTGTTAACAGTCCCGCAACCTCGGAAAACGAAGGAGTGGTTATTGAAGAGGCGGGTATTAAGTTGGGAGAGGCAGTGGAGTTCCCCATATCCCTAGAACTGGCCAAAACCGAAGCCCATGTCGTTTCAGAGGTTAGTAATGGTAAGGAAAATTCTGTGAAGCTTGAGACGACTTTTCCTGCCAGTGCCTCTTCTGCGTCACAGAGCAAAGAATTTGACATTCTCAAGTATGCGGAGAAACGGTTGAGGAGTTTGAACAAGCGTCGAATCGCTGCGCTCTCGGACCAATCTGAGGAATTCGGAAATACAGCTAATGAAGACAAGGATGCCGTGTTTAGAAAGCTCGAACGGTTGTTGAGCCCGTACGCCAAGATCCCCGGGCCACACGTGGAGGCCGAACCCATCGGCGATATCGTCGCTGGCATCATGTCTTCCGAGTACAAAATGGTGCTCGAACAGGTCTCGTTTGCAGAGCATCTGAAGAGACGGAAATTGGCGAAGCAGGCCAAGAAGGCAGCCGAATTGGTTAAGCAGAAAGAGCAGATCGAGCAGGACCAGCGCGACAACTTTGCCAAATACAACCAGGAAAATGATGCCAACGATGATGTTAACGGATTTGACTTGAATTTAGAGTTCGATCCTTCGGATGCTGCCCCTGGAAGCGAGGAAGAAGAAGACGACAATTTGCGGGCAACTCTCATTGGGAGAACGAACCCCAACGAAGATGGCATTCCCCTGTCGGACGAAGAAGGTGGCCCCTCTCAGCCGCAGCGTTCGTTCAGCCCCGGTTCTGGTAGCACGAAGGTCGGCGGCGACAATTCCGGCATATTGGAAGACGAGTCAGGAGGTGAGCTAGTGGTGCCACAGGAAGAACAGAGCGAGTCGGTAGTGGAAGCAGCTCCATCTCCTGTGGTTTCAGTTTCACAGGAAGCGGATAGTGGTGAAGATAGAGATATGATTCTGCTCGAGGAGGTTTAGATTTAATAATAACGAATAACGCACTGAAAAATGGGGTTCATAGGGATAATGCGGGGGTGGAAATTTTCTCGGCGTGTGGGTTTTTTTTTTTAGTTCTAGGTTTCAAAGGGAAGAGAATGAAACATGTGAGAATCTGTGGATGAGCTGATCTCTTGATTGTATGGCAATTTGTGGTTATCCTGCCACATACAAAAACATGCATTTGCCTAGATATGACCCCTTAGAGGTTCCTGACTAGAATGGTGCAATTATACCAAGTTTAGGTCTTGCGGTCGAATAACTAGCTATGGAGACTGCCGGTGACCTTTAATATACCTGCCATCCGCACACTCAAGTTCCTGGTACAAGCAATGCAAAATCCATCGTTTTCGGGTATTAAACAGCCTTTGGTATGGGCAACACATACTGGAAACACTGGAATTACTGGTTGTGTATATTTCTAGTATTTACTCACCGTGAATTCCCGAAATGTAATATACGTAGTATACTAGTTTTTAAATCAGGATACATACAACATTTAAGACTGGCCCCATTATTTTTCCAGCTCCTGGCCCTGGCACGATTCTTGCGTAGTTATATGCCGGATCTGAGCTTCGCATCCAAAGTCGTTACCTTTTCCTAATGTTGCGCAGTGTTTTTCATTCAGCCGCTGACCACACCACAATACACAACTCGGAGATATTTGACCATCCAATCTGTATCCATTTCAGAAATAAACTATACACATACATCCATTGCAGATATAGAGCTATTTCCTGTATCCATCGCAGATATATAAATATCACCAACTTATATCCATTCCAGACCTTGAAACCATCAGCCACTACATTGGTCATTCTCTAGACATATCTACGGGGTCATATCGGAGCACGCCTAGGACACTCATATCTGAATACTCAATATCGGACTTGACACTCAACTAGCTATCTGCCTAAGCTATCCACCTCGGCTAGCAATTTAGTAGCATCCATCTATAGCATACAATGGAACACACAGCGACGCCCATTACATTGCCCGCGTGGGTTCAGTGTCCGGTGACGATTGAGGGCTTGTACGCGCAGCAGGGCACGGAAGTTGCCAAAAATTCACCGTTTCTCCGATACAAATACTGGGAGTACCGCGACGACCCAACGCAGGAGGTGATCGGTGAGGCAATCCCCGAATACCTCAAGAAAAAAGTGCGCGTGGAACTCATCGGCAACTTTGAGTTTCCGGTGGCCGGAAAAGTTGTACGTCTCCACGTGCGCAAGGGCCAGGAGATTGGCTACGCTGGCGAGCTTCTCGCCGAGGTTTTGGAGGCGTGCGCGCACGCGGTGCAATTCGGTGGACTCTGCGCCTTGTGCGGGATCTCTTTGGAAGAGGAAAAGACGTATTCTGGGTATTCATACGATGACAGAGCACCGATCTCGATGTCCCATGACACCGCGGGGTTGAAGATCTCGCTTGACGAGGCGGAGCGAGTGGAAAACACCTCCACCAAGCGCTTGCTCGATGCCAAGAAGTTGATTCTCGTGGTTGATTTGGACCAGACCGTGATCCACGCGACGGTCGATCCCACCGTTGGCGAGTGGATGAATGATAAGACAAACCCCAACCATAGCGCTTTGGAGGGGGTGCAAGCGTTTTCGCTCGAGGAGCACCCTGTATTGCCTCCGCTCTATGCCGGGCCAAAACCGCCGCCAATAAAGTCCTGGTACTACGTGAAGTTACGTCCCGGCTTGGGGGAGTTCTTAGAGCGGGTATCGAAGATCTACGAATTGCACATCTATACCATGGCCACGCGGACTTACGCAGCAAACGTGGCCAAGATCATTGATCCTGAAGGCAAATTCTTCGGCGACCGTATATTGTCGCGTGATGAGAGCGGCAGTATGACCCACAAGTCGCTCGAGCGCTTGTTTCCGGTAGATACATCCTTGGTGGTGGTTATCGACGATAGAGGTGACGTGTGGCAGTGGTGCGACAATCTCATTAAGGTGGTGCCATATGATTTTTTTGTGGGCATTGGGGACATTAACTCCAGCTTTTTGCCAAAGCTCAACCTGTTGATCGGCCCGTCGAAGCGGAGAAAGTCGATTGAGGAGCTTGAGGAGAAGATTCACAAAGATGACAAAACCGAGGAGACGAGTGAGGAGAGAGGGGAAGAGGAGGGGGAGGAGGAGGTTGTGCGCGACCACGAACGCGCTGCGTCATTAGAAGCCCAACAGCAGGAGCGCCCGCTCGCAAAGTTGCAGAAAGATCTCACCAGTATCGTCGCTAAAGAGCACCCAGACGATCCTGTCGAGGAAAGCTTACTCTCTGACGATGACGGCGAGTTGGATAACCTCGGAAACACTTTGTACAAGGTCCACGAGTGCTTCTACGAACAGTACTCAGGGCACCAGCCAGGGCCCGAAATTGCGACGGTAATGCCTGCAATGAAGCGTGACGTCCTCAAGGGTCTCACGTTCCTCTTCCTGGGGTTGTTACCGTTAAACAAAAACCCTGAAACGGTGGATATTGTCATTTGGGCCCGCTCCTTCGGTGCACAGGTTGTGATGGAGCCGTACGACTATGTCACCCACGTGATTTGCAAGAACCCCGGTACATTCAAGGTGCGATACTCGCGATCCGAGTTGCCTGACTGCCAGATCGTCAACCCCGACTGGTTGTTTGAGTGTTTCTCCAAGTGGGAAAGGGCCAACGAGCGCAAGTACTTGATATTTGAGGAGCGGTTTGTTAAGTTGTCGGAAGCGGAGATTACAAAGTACAAGACGAGTTTGCAGCGGAAGGCCCCTCAGCCCGAGGTTGCGAAAGAGGAGACGTATGAGACGGTAGATAACATGGACTGGGACGATTTGAACAAGGAAGTGGAGGACTTTTTGTCGTCTGATAACGATGATGAAGAGGATGCGGATGATGAAGTCCCAGAAAGCGAGGCCAATGGCTCAGTCAAGAGAACGCATGAGTCAGAGGAGGAGGAGGGAGACTTGAAAAGGCCAAAGATCGAAAGTGTGAGTGAAGATGACATGGACGCGTTGGAGAAGGAATTGATGCAAGGCTTCGAGGACATGGAGAGCGAGGACGAGTAACAGGCCGTCGGTTGTAAACCCGTTTGTATTAGTATACGTATCTATATGATGGCACCAGGAAAGCGAAGAAGAAGGGGCAAAGGTAGGTGTAGTTGGTGTTAACTGGGGTATGGAGCGATATATGGAGCTAGTCATTCGATAGATACCGGACATGGAAGAAAGGAAGACGAGAGAGCCAACCTGTGGGGTGGCCATTTCCATCAATAATCCAGGATGTTATATAGCTCTTCTCCTTTACCCGGTTTTCTAATTTCCAATCAAGACATAGCTCAGTGATTCGCCCTGGTACCTGCATGAATACAACCGTGCACCTCACTCTGATTGTACCACTCATGGTATCAATTACTTATTTTTGCCTAGTTGTAAGGCTTGGTGTATGATATTCCTAAAAGCAATAGTTCACTGTTAGTGGCGTTTCCCTAAAGCCGTGTCAACTTGTAGAATACCACTTCTACAAGGGTTTATGGTAATAATTGAAAACTAAAGCTCACATTTCCTCTATATGTTAGATATCTCTTGGGTTATTCGACAGTTTGAATAAAATTTCTCGTATCCAGGTTGGTGGGATAATTTTCAGTCACCGCCTCCATATGCTGGTGTGTCAATCTCGTCGCTTTTTCAGGAATTTTTATATGTCCAAACTAATGGAGTGCCAACACTGCATAATAATATGTAGAATATCAGTATTTTATCAAAAAGGGCTACAGACTGCCCAAGTCCCATCAGACCTTTATCCTGGTTCCTCCGATTCCGGTGGAATCAGCAGAGTAATGTATCACGTTCAACTTTCACGATAGTCCGCATGTGGCATGTATATGTTTGTCTGGAAAATTTCACATGCATGAGCTGTATATCAATGTTGCTTCCACACAGAAACTGCCTCCCTTACTTCCAAATATCAAAATGAAATATCAAATATTTATCAAAACCATCTCAGGGATAGAAAACCTCTCCCTCTCCGTGTTACCCCACACTCCCACGCTTTTCGTACAACAGGAGGTGGAAAAGCGACTCCCCGCTGCTGTCGTGCCCAAGAGCTGTGTCTGCACGGCCGATGGCCTCCCCGTCACCCGATTCCCGAGCATCAACGAAATGATGAGTGACTGTGATTTCATAAATTTGCACGTCAGAGTGAAGGTGTGTGGTGGTAAGGGGGGTTTTGGGGCCTTGCTTCGAGCCCAGGGCAAGGCCAACCTGAAGACCCAGTCTAAGGACTACTACAAAACGTTAGATGGCCGCGTCATGAAGACGGTCAAACGTGCTGAAAGGTTGCAGAAAGTTATAGATGCGTTGCCAGAGCTAGAGAGAACTAAGTTGACTGACAAGAAGGAAAAATTGAAAAAGGTGATTGAAAGTATCGAAAACCGAGGAAAGGCTGACCGCTTCGATGATGCCAAATACTTGGAGCTGATAGAGGCGAGTGTAAACGAAATCAAAGTCATTATCGAGGCTGATTCAGAAACGGAGGACTCAGACGACTGGGGAAGTGACTGGGAGAGTAGCGACCAGGAAGAGGGATGTTCGAAGACCCAGGAGCCTGAAAAGAAAGCAAAACCGGTGTTTGAATCGTTTTTTCAAGATATGTAAGATCACATATTGTTTATTGGTGTGTGAGAAGAATACGTCTCCATCGTTATCGTGGGCTCTCCCTGCAGTCTGAAGGTCCACCTTCCCGGGTAGGCTTGTTTCTTGGCATCTAACCTTTGGGGAGAAGTCCACTTGAGGTCCCTCGGATCCCTCCACAGTGCTTAAAGAATCTACCAAGCTCTTTCAAGGAAGTGTAGAGAAGGTATAGTTGTTGAAGCATTTTATAATACGACACTCGGCCAATATGCAATCGTATATCTAAAATCAATGTACCCCTCATTCAGGCTGTAACCATTGCAACCATTTTAACCTATGCGTACTAGGCGGATATCCATTTTCCATCTGGTTTGCTTTACCCGTTAAATATGTTGTAGCCTTGTACCGCATTTGCGTTAAGCTCCAATTTTCTATATAACTGCACTAGTCTACACTATGCTCATCAATAAATGATATAGCTGAATATGAAACCGCTTTACTCTACCTCTCTCCTACATTCTCCCCTCGTTACTTATTCCTGGGCCTAACTGAACATTTATCCTAATATACACTATTGTACTACTCTCAACCATCCTATGCGCCCTTCAACACCACCACAACGGAGTCGCCTCTCAAAAACATCTTACTAACGAATCTCTCCTTATTTACTCCCTTTTCTTTGGCACCCTGCGCGTTCCGTGGGAATTCGGTCCAGAGCTCCTTGACATTTTCCAACACCATGTTGCAGTGTCTGTCAAACGCCTTGACGCGTGCAATGAGCTTGTGGTTGTTGCGGCAGGAAATGATGATGGGAGTGTGGTTCGCCACGGCCAGCTGGAGAATAGACATCGGTCCGTGTGTAAACTCATACTCTTCGAGCTTAGCAAGCTCTACGTCATTGAGCTCAGAGCGGGGACGGTTAACCAATTCACTAGAGGTTAGTACTTGGTCAGGGAGAGGATGACTGATCTGCCGATGGTTGCTGATCTGCCGATGGCTACTGATATTCCAGCCAATGAGAACAGTAGGAGACATCGCTCGGATTCAAAATCCAGCTAGCCATACGGTCTCAGAGAAAAATACCGGAAAAATACATTCCAAATGGTGTATTGGTACTTACGACATAGCACTTTGGGTTGTTCTGGATAAGTCTCGACCCATTTCAACTCACCCATCGTTTTATGTGTATCAAAATTGTTACCCTGAAGCAAAAGATTAAATGCCGGATATATTATTCACGTGACCGCTTTTCACTACATGCCGGAAGAATGCGTAAAAAAAATCCAACTACAACTCCACACTCTACTAATAGCCCTTTTATCAATGTTCCTCGCTCCTTTGAAACGGAAGTTGACCAGGTTCCGTGGGAACCTACTCTTCCGGGCACTTTCCGAAGCCTCGATGCACAAATTTGATCCCACATCGGCGAACCGTATCCAGGACTCAGTCCGCTTCGCAAAGCCCGATTCACTTGAGATGAGCGCCAGAATCGCGCGCATTCCAATTGAAAACTACCGTAACTTCTCCATCGTGGCGCATGTCGACCATGGAAAGTCCACACTCACGGACCGGCTCTTGGAGATGACAGGCGTGATTCCACCAGGCGCGAAACAGGTTTTGGACAAGCTCGACGTGGAGCGCGAGCGCGGGATCACTGTCAAGGCGCAAACGTGCTCTATCTTCTACCGTTATAAGGGTGAGGATTACTTGCTCCACTTGGTGGACACGCCAGGGCACGTCGACTTCCGCGCGGAAGTGTCGCGCTCGTACGCATCGTGTGGAGGTGCGCTTCTCTTGGTAGACGCGTCGCAGGGCGTGCAAGCGCAGACGGTAGCAAACTTTTACCTCGCATACAGCATGAACCTCAAGTTGATTCCGGTGATCAACAAGATCGACCTCGACGCAGCGGACATCCCTAAGGCCGAGGAGCAGGTGGAAACCACCTTTGAACTTGATCGGACTGACTGTATTGCAGTGAGTGCAAAAACCGGCTTGAACTGCAAACACATTCTCCCAGCGGTAATTGAGCGGATTCCGCCGCCCACTGGTGATTCTACCGCCCCGTTGAAGGCGCTATTGGTGGATTCCTGGTATGACTCCTACCTTGGGGTGATTCTCCTTGTGCATGTGGTGGATGGTACACTCAAACGCGGATCGAAAGTCTTTTCGTTCCACACAGACAAAAAATACGAGGTAAAGGAGGTTGGTATTATGTATCCCGATAGAATCCCGACGGATGTGCTAAGAGCTGGCCAGGTGGGGTATATCGTCCCCGGGATGAAAACCTCCAGTGACGCCATGGTTGGTGACACCTTCATGACCGTGGGGAATAAGGTTATGCCGCTCCCCGGTTTTGAGGAGCCAAAGGCGATGGTGTTTGTTGGGGCGTTTCCGGCCGAGGGCACGGAGTTTGCCGACATGGACGAGAGTATGCAACACTTGGTTTTGAACGACAGATCGGTGACGCTCCAAAAGGAGACGTCCTCGGCGCTTGGCCAGGGCTGGAGACTCGGTTTTTTGGGATCACTCCACGCCAGTGTGTTCAAGGAGCGATTAGAAAAGGAGTACGGTGCCAAATTGATTATCACTGCTCCCACCGTGCCGTATAAGATTTTGTACAAGGATGGACTGGAGAAGATTATCACAAATCCGGACGATTTTCCCGACCAGAACCGCAGCAGCAAGGTACAGAGCTTACTCGAGCCGTATGTTGAGACAATCATGACGTTTCCGTCAGAATTTCTTGGGCGCGTTATGACCTTGTGCGAGAACAACCGCGGGATCCAAGTCGAGTTGACGTATCTCACCACAGGGCAGGTCTTGCTCAAGTACAAGATTCCGTTATCGCACCTTGTGGATGATTTTTTTGGCAAGCTAAAGTCCAACACCCATGGCTATGCATCATTGGACTACGAGGATGCAGGGTACGAGGTGTCTGACATTGTAAAGCTCGAGTTGCTAATCAACGGTGCGAGTGTGGATGCCTTGTCGCAGGTTATGCATCGCAGCATGACACAATCGCGGGGCAAGGAGTATGTCACACGGTTTAAGACATATGTCAAGAACCAATTGTTCGAGGTGGCGATCCAGGCGCGCGCAGCTGGCAAGATCGTCGCCAGAGAGACCGTGCGCGCCAAGCGCAAGGATGTGTTGCAGAAGTTGCACGCCGCGGATATTTCGCGTAAGAAGAAGTTACTAGAGAAACAGAAGGCTGGAAAGAACAAGATGCGGAGTATTGGGAAGGTGACGATTGACCAGGACGCATACCAGTCGTTTTTGAAGAGGTCTGCATAAGGGTCGCGCAAGCACCTGTATGATTGTATATATTGTAATTAGTAAATGTGGTTCGGACAACTGGAATCTGAAAGATAGCATCGAATAGAGTAAACTAGAACGCGAGCAGTGTATTGGAGAATCGTGTGTTATACGGATAACGTGGAAGTGTACGTAGTGAGATATAAGGTCTAAGAGGGTGCGTGATGGAATATAGATGGAAAGTCACGGCACTTATGTAGAACCACTAGGAGAGAGCTAATCAACCGAAAGCGAAGTTTCAAACATACGTCTGCACAATAGTGTGGAATGCGCCCGCATAAGGCTGGCCTTTTGAAATGGGTTTAAACAGGGTCATGAAGACCTTAGATAGATTCGAAAACTAGATGCTTCATGGTAACCGTAAGATCTCCAGCCTGTAAGATTTCCAGTCTAAATACACCTTAAAAATATCTTATTAGTCGGAAAGTACCATATATTTCTTTACATACCTCGCAGGCCTAGGCCTTAACACCCTGAGGCGCACCCACGCTTTCTCCACCAGTCACTAACCCCAATCCACCCATCCTCGGCCTTTCTGATTCCGTTCATGGCTGTAAGATGGTCAATAACAGACACCTTGTGCCCCCTGGCCTCCAAACCCGCAATGAACTCCTGGGAAACAGGCTCCTCCACGTACACCTCTTCCGGAAAGAGCTGGTGGTGCAAACGCGGAAACGCAATTGTCTCGAGCAACGGAAGGTTGTAGCTGTAGGTCCGCACAATCGCCTGAAGAATGGCAGTAGTGATTCTACTGCCGCCAGCGGCGCCAATGACCAAATCCGGTGTCCCATCACTGTTGGTGACGATCGTCGGGGACATAGACGAAAGGGGGCGGCGTCTGGGTGAGATAAAATTGTAGATCACAGGCTTCAAGCCAAACGCGTTGGTAGTATCTGGAATTGAAAAGTCATCCATCTCATTATTGAGAATGACGCCCGTGACGGGATCGTGAAGCATAGATCCAAAGAGGAGATTAACCGTAGAGGTCATCGCGACGGAATTGTTATAGGAATCTACGATGGAAAACGAAGCTGTTCCGTGGTTTTCTGCCACCCGGTACGCCGAGTTGTATTCCTGCCAAGGCAACGTGCGAGAATCGCTAATGTTGTGTCTGACCTCCCTAGCCCATTCTGGGGTGGAAAACTTGGCGGTTCTCTCCTGTCTAACTTTCTGCTCCTGGTGGTCCCAATCAACCACATCTCCCAAGTTTGATCTCACCGCGGCCATGTACTTGAATGTCTCAATCATCCGATGGGAAGGCACAAGAGAGAAATCTCCGTTATTCTGACTTCCATAGCCATTTAGAACATTCAATCCAGAAATAAGCACCGGTCCACTGGATGCCCCGTTGGTGGTGTACACCGCGTGGTCTAAGTAATTCGTCTCTAATGCTGGCTCAATCCGCACGGAGTAGTTCGCGAAGTCATCCTTGGTAATAATCCCGCCAAATTTCCGTGAAAGCTCCACTAAAGATGGCACGATTGGCCCTTCGGGATCATAGAAAATGGCACTGGACCCGTTGGCAGCGATGAGCAGAAGTGTCTTTCCTAATTCTGGCCGGGTGACAATTTCGCCCTCCCGAACAAGTCTGTCTCCGCGGAAAATCCACCCCCAATACTCCTTAAGCTCGAAGAAGACATCGCTATCTCTGCTGGCCGCAAACTCCAAGATATTGCTGGCAACAAAGCCCTCATGGCACAATGCCGTTACAGGCGCAATAAGATCAGCCCAGCTAAGGACCCCGGACGTGTGCATCCGGTAGAGTTCATACAAGCCCTGTAACTCGCCAGGTATGGCAACGGCCAACCCGCCAAACTGGGAGAGATGCTCATGGTCTTTGTACATGTCACGATGTGCCGCTTGTGGTGCTACTTCACGAGCATCGAAGGAGACTGCCGGTGCTCCGTAGGGTTTGGAAATAATGAAGCCGCCGCCACCAATCCCGGAAGAGAAGGAGTTGACGACACCAATACACAACGCCACCGTAACAGCTGCGTCCGCCGCTGAACCCCCGTCCGCCAAGATCCCTGAACCCATCTGGGAACATAATTCGGAATCGCTGGCAACCATCCCGCGGTGTCCTGAGGACATGTGTCTGGCTGCGGGAGACCACGTCGGCCCGTCTCCAGTGATGGGGTTCGCAACAGGGTTTCCAAAGAGGTGGGGGTCAGACCTCACATATGGATATGGGCGAGGTGGGAACGGAGACGTGAGAGGTATTGAGGTGAGTGTGAAAAGCGTGACGAGCAGGAGTGCGGTAGCGAGAATACGAAGGTGGCGGCGGGACGATGGAAGTGTAGACACACTGGTCTTTTCATCTAAAGACATAGCAGGTGATTAGGGTGTATGGATTTGAGGTGAGGTATGTCGGAGGTTATTGTGTAGGTTGTGTAGTGCAGTTGTTTGAGAAGGGTTGAGCTCAAAAGAATGATTAGGATTTAGGAAAATATATCGTGCAGTGAATAAATAGGAGGTTGAGTTTAGAAATAAGGCCTCGGGTTACAAGAAAGGGGAAGAGTAAGAAACAAAGTTGTTGGATAAATACTGTCGCTCCCAATTCCGCTTGAACCTTTTCAGAGGTACCTCGCTAATCTGCCAGTGGCTGAGGCTGCAAGTGTGCGTTGTTTCGGCACTGAGATAAGAGCCGTGTGTTTTATGTGGCGCACGACCATTACTAAGCAGATTACTAAGTCGTGGGAAAGGCTCCGAAGTAGAGATATGATGGATTCTACTGGATTTAATACAAGTCTCTTAAAACTTTGACCTCCAGAGTAGCGGAAAGTTCAATCCCTTGATCATGAAATAGTATTTGTGCGGTTCGACAGCATGCAATTAATGATGCAAGTCACGGCAGCGCCACTTCTACGCCGGAGATCAGTGTGGCGTCGATGTTGAATATCCTACACAATGATTGTGGCTACGTACCAACCCTTTGATGTATTTGCCCCCATAGCCAATAGTAATGGTACTATTTTACAATCCAAAAAGATCCAAAATATTTAATTAATATCCCACCTCCGAGCTACACCACGAGATGCACAGAAATTGTAAGCTGTTGCAGCCAGATTAGACAATTCGGTCACGGGGCTGCAGCGGTATCTCGCCTTCTATGCGTCCCGGTTAGCTGTGTGAACCATAGCTATCTCGCACAATAGATAGTACGCAACAATTTTGTTAGTTGAATAAGAGATCACCTAGGAAACTCAAAAGCAAGGTAGACCTTCTCTAAACAGTTGGATATTCAAAGGGATAAGGGTAAAACCTCAGGGTTATACTAGAGCTGATATTTGACCTATCGTATATCAAGAGCAAACATTGGTTCGGTCAGATAGCACCCTCTTTCTGAGTAGCCATCTTTGACCATAGTTAGAGAATATCCGCCCCAATTCATGTTGGTATAAGCTTATTTGTTTTAGCCACGTGTTCAATGATGGAATTTCCTAGAATCAAAAGTAGGTCGGCGTACAGTAACACTTCTATCGCTAGATATTTTTTTTTTTTTCTGGGTTGGATCATCCACTTGGACGACAGTTTCCTCCCATAAAACTCAATAAAGGGGCAGATTATCTTGCAGATGCTGCAGTGTCCATACAATGAAAGATGCATATGCGGAGCATCATAATATCCTGCACTGAAATTCCTTCGCAGTCAAATTTATGCCTAATACCTTGAAGATTCCCTGTCTCTATACTAGATGATCGCAGTACAGCTTTCCCCACCTTGCTATTTCCATACTCTGTGTACCCCTTCTCCTAAAACGAAGTCGAACTCTGCTGGTTTAAGGCTCTCCTATACTATGTAAAGATACAGATATCCGTGATCTCATATACAACGTCTTATCTCCTCTAGTTCTCTACCAAGCATGGATGCTTTAACTGGAAGCCGCTGATACTGACGCTGTTCACTTCAGACGCATTAGATATAGCACTTTATAGCCGTTTCCGGTCCTGCCACTTTTGCTCCTCTCGTGCCTGCCGCATTCCAGACCCACCGCTTCTCCAAACCTACATTTCCGGTCCGTTCATTATCAAGCTTATCTATTTCTATTTCCTGGACTCAGCAAACTCCTTGGTAAAATCAACCAATGACTGAACACTCTTTTCGGTAACAGCGTTGTACAACGACGCTCTCATGCCACCAACAGACCTGTGGCCCTTTAACCCGGTCAAACCACGGGCACCGGACAACTTCAAAAACTCATCTTCATTACCTTCACCCTCGATTGTGAAAACAATGTTCATCTTGGAGCGGACGCCGGTCGCGACAGGTAACTTGAAGAGCTGCGGGTAACTGTCCAAGACCGAGTACAAAGCGGCAGCCTTGCGGCCGTTGGTGGCTTCCTGCACGGCAAGCCCGCCCTGCGCCAACAACTTCTTCAAGACCAAGTTGATGATGTGGAGTGTGAAGATCGGAATGGTGTTGTAGGCAGAGTTGTTCTGGACGACTGTTGGGTAGTGGAATGCGATTGGGGATAACGGCACGCCCAATTGCTTCAATTCTTCGTCGCCAGCCTGCTCTAACAAGTTCTTCTTGATGATGTAGATCGACAACCCGGCCAAACCGACATTCTTCTGGGCCCCCGCTAAAATCAACCCGTACTGGCTGACGTCAATCTTGCGTGACAAGAAATTAGAGGACATGTCCGCCACAATCTCCACGCCTGCAGCGTACGCCTCTGGAACCTGCTGGAACTCGATCCCGTTGACAGTTTCGTTATCGCAGTAGTACAAATAGGCGTAATCGCTGTTGACTGGCTTCCATTCACTGGTTGGTGGGATATCTCCGAACTTGCCGTTCTGCTTCTTCACATCCACCACAGCCTCAGCCTCGAACCCCAATCTGAGTGCCTCTTCGTACGCCTTCTTAGACCAGGTGCCAGTAACCGCGTACGCAGCCTTGCCCTTCTTCCCCGTGCGCTTCGCGTACGCAGCCATCAAGTTAGCGGCAGAAGATGAAAACCCGCTGGTACCACCGCCCTGCATAAAAAACACCTCATGGGTGTCTGGAATGGCTAAGAGCCTGGTGAGGTTTACTTTGGTTTCATCAACAATAGAAACTGCCTGCTTTGAGCGGTGAGAGATCTCACCCACTCCCAAGCCAAGGTTCTGGTAGTTGATCAAGTCTAACGCAGCCTGCTGGAGGACATCTGTCGGTAAAAGAGCCGGCCCAGCACCGTAATAGTTTGGTTCTTCGCGTTCAAAGGACATTGTAGTTACGTAGTGTGTAGCGACTATTGAGGGAGAAATTGGTAAGAATAATTGGAAAGAGAAACTGGAAAGAGAGTGTTTTTTTGATTAGATCCAATCGGATTTTCGTGGAAGAGTCATCGCGCGTTAATTAATCAGAAATTAGAGCACGTGATATGGTAACGGCATGCATATGTGAGACGGGACTATAACAGTTGCGAATAGTGAAAACGAAAGAATCTAATACTGGTTTATCGATCATTAGTGATTGGTAGGGTTGGGGGTAATTAAATTTACTATCGCTGATCACGAGTTGGCGTTCAGAGCAGTTCCGTCGGATACCGCAAAGGCCTGGCCGAAAGTTAGAGTGAGGTATTCATACAGGTGAGTATTCTTCCCTTTTTCGAAGATGTCCAGTGGTTCTTATTCTAAAAAAGAACTCGAAACCTAGCATGGGCTACCCTCTACTTAGTAGCACGTTGTATACCTCAGCGTTAACCCCCTGAAGAAGCCCACTCTACTACCGAAGCTGTGGCCGTCTACATCTCTTGAAAAACCATTTCATTGATTATATACAGAATTCCTTACGAGAATGGTTTACGTCGCTTATTCCATGATTCTGGTAATCAACCCAGTACCAACGGTCTTACCACCTTCTCTGATGTTGAATCTCTGGCCGACTTCCAATGGGGTTGGGTGGACCAACTCACCTTCCATCTCAACATTGTCACCTGGCATGACCTGCGCCGAGTGGTCTTCGTGTTCCTGTGGGAATCTCAAGACGACAGTGACATCGGCGGTTCTGATGAACATCTGTGGTCTGTAGTTCTCGGCGAACGGAGAGTGACGGCCACCTTCTTCCTTGGACAAGATGTAGAGGGAGCACAAAAACTTGGTGTGGGCCTTGACGGTGGCTGGCTTACACAAAACCATACCTCTCTTCATCTGGTCTCTTCTGATACCTCTCAACAAAATCCCGGCGTTGTCACCGGCCATGGCAGAGTCCAACTCCTTCTTGAACATCTCGATCCCGGTGACGGTGGTGATGATCGGCTTACCGGTAACACCGACGATTTCAATTTCCTGACCCTTCTTCAAGTTACCACGCTCGACACAACCAGTGACGACGGTACCTCTACCGGAAATGGAGAAAACATCTTCGATAGGCATCAAGAAAGGCTGCTCCAAGTCACGTTCTGGGGTTGGGATGGTCTCGTCAACGGCATCCAACAACTTCATAATCGCCTCAGAACCAATCTCTGGTCTGGTGCTGTTCAAGGCACACAAAGCAGAACCCATAATGACCGGCGTGTTGTCACCGTCGAACCCGTAGGTCGACAATAACTCTCTCATTTCCATTTCAACCAATTCCAACATTTCAGGGTCGTCCATGGTGTCAATCTTGTTGACAAAGACAACTAAGTGCTGGATACCGACCTGACGCGCCAACAATAAGTGCTCTCTGGTCTGAGGCATCTGACCGTCGGAGGCAGCAACAACAATGATGGCACCGTCCATCTGGGCGGCACCGGTAATCATGTTCTTGATGTAATCCGCGTGACCTGGGCAATCAACGTGGGCGTAGTGTCTCTTGGAGGTCTCGTACTCAACGTGAGCGGAGGAAATGGTGATACCTCTGGCTCTCTCTTCTGGCGCCTTGTCAATGGAGGCATAGTCCAAGAAGTTTGCAGCACCATCACCCTGCTCAGCCAAGACCTTAGTGATGGCGGCGGTAAGGGTAGTCTTACCGTGATCGACGTGGCCGATGGTACCGATGTTCACGTGTGGCTTCGTACGGTCGAAGGTGGCGGCAGTTCTGACCAAGCTTGGGCGGGCCAAGCGAGGAGCGACACTAGCGACGGAACGGATAGCCCCAAAAATAGAGTTCTTCAACATCATTGTGGGTTAGTTGGGGAAAAGGCAGGAACAAGCTGTGTCTGCCTTTTTTCATCGAGTGAAAATTTTAATGCCGCTGTCATAGCTGGCACAAGTGCATAGGTGGTCGTGCAAGTATGCAGAAATTGAATCACGTGACCGGAAGATTTCGGAAGAGTCCTGATGAAAGGGCATTTAGCATCTCATATAATGGCTGCTTGGATGCTCTATCATTCATATCCATTTCTAATTTTTTTACGTGGAACGCAATTTGAATTTTGGTTTCATTTGCTGCACGTGTCTGAAATTCAGACCCCGCTGGGTTTAGCGGTGAGTGTGCTTAGACTTCAAACTTCGAGAAACTCGAGATCTGATTTTGAAATAAACCATAGAAATCTGACTTGTATTAAGGAATTCAAACACGATAACTATAGGTTAAGAATTTATACTCGGGTCATCTGACACCTAAAAGGGTAAGAGCTTATCTTGAACTTGAAAATAGTGAGGCTTGAAACGAATGAAATATATTTTGTCACAAGATATTTGTCGATTCGTCAATCCAAGCTTGTAAAATACAAATATAGAATGGAATAGCTTAACACCAGACACAATGCGGGCCATGTACAAGCGATTTATACGAGCTACTCGGAGAATTCATCTGCTTGGTATAAAATAAGATGATAGATAAAATAGGTCTAACCGTAGCTTCTGCTAAAAGGCAGCTTCGTTGAAGGCCTTTAAGCCTTGCTCGAAGCCCTGTTCCCACTCCCAGACGAATTTTCCATCGCCACTGGCGTGTACGTGCTGGATCCTGCGAAATTGCATCCAGGCGACGACGCGGCCGAGCCGTGACGAGTTGAATTGAGCGAATGCGAGCGCGTCGTTCCACGCGGTAGTGAACCCCGCCTTATACCTCTCGTGCTCGTACTTTTCTTTGCTATTCTGCTTATCCCAGTACTCACGGTGATCACCATAGTGCTGGTCCAAGGTGCGGCCAAAATCGTCATCCGACGGAAGTTTTGCCTCGCCTGGCTGTGGCAAGCACCCGCGCTCGACCATCGGCCGGAAGCCCCACTCACCGCCGTCGCCGTACTGGAACTTGTAGGACCAGAAGTAGGATCCCACATCAGCCCTCTCCTGAAACCAGCGGTGCTGCTGATTCCCGTAGCTGTGGCAAAGCTCTTCTCTGTTGCCCTGAGTACGGTCCCAGGACTGCCCGTCAATCACACAGGAGTACTCGCCCACAACAATGTCAGCCTTGGTCTCAAGCGTCAAACAGTCGCGCTCGAGGTCAGCAGTGATCTGTTCAGGCGTTTTTTTCTTGTCCTCATCGGAAAAACAGCGATAAACATGGCAGTCAAGCACCACACCTAGTGGCGATCCCATATCATGGAGCCACTCTGCCCATGGCTGTGGTGACCAGCCGTCCGAAATGACAATGGGAACATCCGCATTCACGGTCCTAATGGCGTTGATGGCTGCGGCATAGTACAACTTCTGATCCTTTCCGTCGTGACTATATTCCGCTTCGTTGACAATCTGGATCCCGGATATATGGTCGTACTTCTTTGTCTCCTTGGCGAGAAACCCACAACACTCCACGGCGACGGTTTTGTAGGTGGAGGAGCTCCAGAAACCAGGCGTGCGCAAGATCTGGCCTGAGTGGTCACCCTTGTTTGCCCCACCCGGAAGCGCGTGCAAGTCAATCAACACGGAAATGTCGTATTTGGCAGCTGCTTCAATAAGCGACTTGATAATCGCCCAGGCGTTGGTATACACCGCGGCAACTTTCTCAAACGGGGTTCCCTTGCTAAAGTCCCGCCCAAGCTCCCAATACCCAACCGGTAATCTCACAGAGTTAACCCGCTTGTCTCTTAAGTAGTTCCAGTCATCGTCGGTCATGAACGATTTCCAGTGCTCCTCGAGGGCCTCGCGTGTCTGGTCAACCCCGTTCTCCTTGACTTGTCTCTCCACGCAGTCAAGTTCGGCCTTGGAGTCGTCGATAAAGAGATCTCCAAACATGTACTTTTCCAACACAAAGCAGGAGCCGAGATTCACCCCGAAGTTGCGCCGGTTCTGGTAGATGGCACGGTGACCAGGCGTCTCGTCCGCAGCCACGGGAGCAGCTGCAGGCACGAGGTTGCGCCCCGCAGACTTGAGCTTGAGTTTGTCAAACATAATTATAGCTAGTAAAACTGGAGGAACAGAAGGAATAGGCTTTTGGAATAAGGTGAGATTATTGGAACCGGCTTGCTGGGGGAATTGCTGTTAAGAGCCGGATATATATAGTGATCTCGGAAGATTTATCCGTTTGCTGCGCAGTCTCCTGCAGGCTTAAGCTTATCCTCCAGCAGAAGCAAATACGTCAGCTTGCTGTTTCTGAAATTTAGGCCAATGAAAGATCGTTAATTCTATGGTTGCTGCCCTGTCTATGTGCGATTATCTTTTAGGAGCAAGCTCTATTATTTTGGGGAGTTATTAGCCCTCCTTGGAGTTCCGAACTGACTCCGAGCTAAGTCTGTAGGTTCCTAAACCGAGATTGGGTCTGGTTTCAGAAATCAGGTAGTATAGTGTTATATCATTAGCCATAATTGGTTATTTCAGTATTACCTGCATGAACTTTTATGGTGGTTCAGTATTAGAGAACTCCTGCTCTATTGCCTAATATGGCCATACCTGTAAAATGCTCATGTTTTAATAGATCACTTACAGCTTCTATAACTACAGAGCTTCCTATAACTTTACTTCGTTAACCCTGTTGTATCAGAAACCTCAAGTCTCAGAGCTCAGCATTCACTGCCTCTTAGAGCTTCCCTGCTCCTTAATCTCCTGCTGGATCCTCCACTCCCACATCATGTCTTGATGCATGGGGATAATTTGTTCGGTGTTTCGTTCTCAATCCTCTTACTAATTCTGTCTCCATCTTATTGCTCCTCAAGCTCCCTGTCCCGCGTGTATCTACATCTCCATTTCGTTATCTTATATTCATACACACTCCAAGAGCTTTGCTGTAGAGCTTCACCTTTAGAGGTTTCAGCTACTCAGCGTAAGAGCCTCTTAGAGTTTTGTTCTTCGAAGCTATTTGTCAGACAAGAAAGTCACACCTGGCAACTCCTTACCCTCCAACAACTCCAAGGAGGCACCACCACCGGTAGAAACGTGGGACAACTTGTCGGCAGAACCAAACTTCTTGGCAACGGTCGCGGTGTCACCACCACCGATGATCACGGTGTTGCCCTCGCTGGCAGACTTGACACAGGCATCCAACATGGACTTGGTCCCGGCAGCAAACGCGTCAAACTCAAAGACACCTGGTGGCCCGTTCCAGACAATAGTCTTGGCCTCGGCAATAGTAGCAGCAAAGAGCTCACGGGTCTTTGGGCCCGCGTCCAAACCCATCCAGCCGTCTGGGATACCCTGTTCCAGGGTAGCGATACCCGACTTAGCATCCTTCTTGAAGTCGTCAGCGGTAACAAAATCGACTGGCAAGACAATTCTGACGTTGTTCTTCTTGGCCTTGGCGACCAAGTCCTGAACGACCTTGGCACCATCCGCATCGAAAAGAGAATTACCGATGGACATGTTGGTCAAAACCTTGTTGAAGGTGAAAGCCATACCACCACCGACAATCAACAAGTCGACTTTTTCAAGCAAATTGTCGATCAACTGAATCTTATCAGATACCTTGGCACCTCCAAGAATGGCCAAAAACGGACGGACTGGGTTTTCCAACGCCTTGGCAAAGTAGGTGAGCTCCTTGGCCATCAAGAAACCGGCGGCTCTCTGGGGCAAGTTGAAGCCAACCATGGAGGAGTGAGCTCTGTGTGCGGTCCCGAACGCGTCGTTCACGTAGATGTCAGCCAAAGAGGTTAATTGCTCTCTGAACTTGGCGACCGCAGCCGGGTCAGCCTTGGTCTTGACACCGTCGGTCTTGGAGGAACCCTCCTCCTCAATGTGGAATCTCAAGTTTTCCAAAAGAATGACGGAGCCTGAGGCAGCGGAAGCCACAGCCCGCGAGACCTCCTCACCGACACAGTCGTTCAAGAAGGTAACCTTCTGCTCACCCAATAACTTCTGCAATTCCGCCGCAACAGGGGCAAGCGAATACTTCGCGTTGACCTCACCGTTAGGGCGGCCCAAGTGGGACGCCAAGATCACCACCTTTGGCTTCTGTTCCAACACGTACTGGATAGTAGGAAGCGCGGCAACGATTCTCTGGTTGTTGGTAATGGTGGTGCCATCCAATGGGACGTTGAAATCCACACGGATGAACACACGCTTGCCGGAAACGTCCAAGTCCTTGACGGATAATTTGTTAGATAAAGACATGATAAAATGGGTGATAGCGGGGTGTTTGAAGCGCATGGGTGGATTGAGTGGGGCCACGGGGCTTTATATAGGATATTTCACGCATGCCGGGTGGTGTGGTGCCCGCATGCCCGTTCCCTATCCCCGGGTAACGTCCTTCCGGGCCCTACGGTTGATAAAGAGGGTGAATTGTTTATTTCGTAAAGAATTGTATTTTAGTTATATTCTCCTTGCGCCACTTATTTACCTCAACTACCCTCAAACGGGAGGTTCCTATGGTTCTTTTATGATTTTCTTGAGATTTCTTGGGGTAAGACTGCCATCTGAAAAACTCCGACTTCGAAGCCAACGAGGAGCCTAGTGCCTCAATAAAATGCCAGACCTCAATTTAAAGACATGGCCATGTTTAGAGTTAAAAGAACTCGGTTATATATTAAAATCCATCCAATTTTTTCGCCAGAGCTTGTTTCTGGTAACGATTGCTGTAGTGTGTCTTACATAGGGTGTTTCCGGGGAAGTTCCACTGAAGCGCTCCGCATGTCTGCCTCCATGTCTCCCTCCGCCCATAAGGAAAGTCGCGCCAGCGTCTGAAGGTTATTCTGGGGTCAGGTGATATGCAGTCGGGTACGCGAATCGGGAAAATTTCGCGAACAGGAGTTTTGGAAGTTTTGGTAATTCGCGAACGTAATTTCAAGAAAATAGAAGCCGTTGGCTCAACGAGATGCCCTCAGATCAGAAACATGGTTCATAGGCGGTTTTTAAAAGACAGAAATTTGGATCTTAAGATGAGAAAGAAAGCTCAAACTTTGATTAGATATAGGGTAAACTAATAGAAACTTAAAGTACTTGTCAATACCGTACTAGGAGCTTGAGAGGTGTTATAGAAAAATAGTTGAATGATTGGGTCTGCAGTCACAAACCTGTAAGATCCTAACTCAAATCTTTGAATCCGTGTACACTCAATGTTAGGCTTAGTAAACCTGCGATAATAGGAACGACAAATCAGTAGAAGAGTAATCTTGGTCATGCGTGCCTAGAACAAACCTCCCCAAGCCTCCTATTATAGAGACCGGTTTCAATTCTTACAACCGTAACAAATATCAAAACTTAAATCTTCCAGCTTACTTTCTCGAAAATAACCAACTTGTTGAGCTTATTAAACCAATTTTCTCCCCTTCCTATTTATATAGCTGGGAGCTACATTTAATCACTCGCTTCATTAAGATATGCCAAGGCAATTGATTCATTACAATATTGCATATCTTTACCACGGAGTATCTTATACCCTTTAATCTGTGCCCTCGCCCTACACTCCCCCCGGGTACTAGCTCTCTACATGCTAGTTGACAAAAATCTTTCAATGTATCCCTTTTCTTTCCGAGAGACTTTCCTATCTACCATTCAGTGCTAGCGAGCATCTCAGACCTGGCGTCAGGTCGAAGGCTCTTCCCTGCATCATTAAGGCTTCTACGGCACGGCTGCACACCGGAAACCGGGGAACCGCACTTTAGACAACACACCAGCAACCCCACTTGTCACAGTATTGATTGTTAAACTCACGACATTAAAATCAAGCATGTTTTATCAACTGCATGAAGCACTCGAATCCTTCGAAAAGAAACCATACCGAATACAATACAATGGCTTTGCTGTGTACCACCCCGTCGGATTTGCGGGTCCTGCACACAGCTCTGTGTACACTTTCCTGCTTTGGACAAAAGCATAACACAGGAAATTTTCGCGGCGATCCGATCCCAAAACGGCAAGCAACAGTGTGATCACAACACCTGTTGGTTAGCTTCTACCAGACACTCAGAGTTTTATCTCGTGTGCACTTCCTCTTGTTTCGTCACATTCAGTTTTGTACCCTTTATTCTTACAAGAGTAGCTGATCCAAGCCGTTGCTACCACCCAAGGTTCGATCACTGCCCTTCAGCTATCACTGCATTACCATCTTAGCCCTCTAGGTTCAAGCATCTTACAGCCCTAGGACCACTTCATCCATCTTAGCAATCCCAGGATCAGCCGGTTTAGTCCCAGAATCCTCCATCTTGCAACCCAGTGCATTCGCCTAATCATAGGCTTTATCCCCGTCGTTTATCCCTTCAGTTAACGCTCTATTCTCCTTCCATATCTCTTTGATGCCCCGTAGACCTAACATCGACGCGATTGAGTTTCTCAAAGGCCGTGTGTACCTCGGTGCGTACGAGCATACGCCCCAAAACACGCACGAGGCGGTGTACTTCACGGTCGAGAAAACCCTCCCGTACAACCCATTTCACTTGGACTTCGGTCCGCTCCATATCGGTCAGCTCTACCGCTTCGCAGTACAACTCCACCACATCCTCAACGACGACGCAAACCAGGGCAAGGCGGTTGTGCTTTACTCTAGCACGGATGCGCGTGCGCGTGCGAACGCCGCCTGCCTCCTCGCGGGCTACATGGTACTCGTACAGTCATGGGCACCGCACCAGGTGTTACAGCCGCTTGCGCAGTGCGACGCTCCATTCATGCCGTTCCGCGATGCGGGGTACTCGCATGCGGACTTTGAAATGACCATCCAGGACGTGGTGTACGGCTTGTGGCGCGCAAAGGAGCGCAACATGCTCGACCTCACCAGCTTCAACTTGGAGGAATACGAGCGCTATGAACGGGTCGACCAGGGCGACTTCAATTGTGTATCCAAGGACTTTATTGCGTTTGCCTCGCCGCAGCAAAGCCGCCCTGGTGCTGCCTTGAACGAACCTTTCCGTAACGTCTTGGAGTACTTCACCTCCAACGATGTCCAGCTAGTGGTGAGACTCAACTCCCATCTTTACGATGCAGTGGAGTTCACAAAGCGCGGTATCCAGCACATCGACATGATCTTCGACGACGGAACGTGTCCGACCATGGAATACGTCCACCAGTTCGTAGGGGCCGCTGAAACCGTCATTCACAACGGGGGCAAGATTGCAGTGCATTGCAAGGCGGGCTTGGGCCGCACGGGCTGTCTCATCGGCGCCCACTTGATCTATACCCATGGTTTTACGGCCAATGAGTGCATCGCGTACATGCGGATGGTCCGCCCCGGGATGGTTGTCGGTCCACAGCAGCATTGGTTGTACTTGCATCAAAACGAGTTCCGCAACTGGCGTCACACGATGTGTCTCGATAATGTGGGGGATCCGTTTATTGGCGGCTTGTTTCCGTTGGTGTCGTACGAGGACTTCAAGAAGCGCATGCGCGCACTCCGCAAGCAGAAAGATGCGGCGGAGCAGCAAGCAAGAGAAGCACACGAACTGATGATGAACGATGAAAACTATATGGAAAACACGGCTGAGATTACCTTTACCCCTGTTCGCCGGCGGGTTCTGGGTGCCCAGATGCAGTTCACCCAGAAGGCCGTGCCCAGTCAGTCACCGATTCAGCCAAGAAAGAACTCACCGACCAGGGTGTCACACTCCGACAGCCAGTACGCGATGAACAACTCAGATCATGAGGATTACGATGTGAACGAGATTCTTGCGTCCCCTCAGAAGCGTATCGGGTCCAATGCCAGCTACGTGGAAGAAGGTACGCCACAGCGTGCAGCGTCTGAGTTTACCAGCACGCCACGGCGCTCAGCGAACTTAACTGGCTCCCCGCCGCATGGCAAGGTGTTGCGCTCCATCACCAACCCCCATGAGGGGATTTCCTTGACTCGTACCAAAACAACTACGACCACTACGACGTTTGTGGCGTCGCCACCGGGATCAGAGAGTTACAAGGATGCTTTACCAAAGCGTACTGCCAGCACCGCTGCGTCGCGTATGAAAAACAGGCTTGTGAGTAATCAGGTGAGCGACAGAGTGCCGAGCGGAGGGATCCGTAAGGTCAGTCAAGGCAGGAGGTAGCACTAAAATCATAGGCGCCGAGACATTGGAATGTTTTGGCTTAAAAAAAACAGGGCTCTGAGTCACTCCAAAAGATACTTTGAATATGCCAGATGCATTAAGAGATAAATTGAGAACTTAGGTGGGCTTTTGTAGGTGCGCCGTAAGAGCAACCAGTATAAAGGTGCTAGAAATTACCCCGAGTGTTTTGCCGTTTTAATGATATATTTTACTGCACCGCGTGTATGCCTGAAGGTAGGTTCTGTTGAGTCTTATTAGCCTTCACACTGGGAAGTTGGAGCCCAATTTTGATGTAAGTTTTATTAGACAGATATCTCACACCCCGGAGCCCACTGTAAGCAAACCCTGTGGTTTTATTTCTTAACTTAATGAGTTACAATTGGCCTTATCCATATGGATGGAAGAGATTTAAATATTCATGGGTATTAGAAAGGGAAGCTAAGGAACCAGTGCTAGAACTCGGAAAGATGGTCTTCCGGGGAGCAAAACTTGGTATACGTCGGGAATGCAGCTAGATCGGCTCGCTTTAGAGAAATAGACGCATTAAAAAGCAGATGGTGGCAGATTAATCGTACAAGTTCTGGCACCCGGTGCAATCTGCGGGTTATTTCCTCAAACTTCCCCCTCCTGGGATACCGTGGGTATATGTACCAAAAGCTCATATTGGGGATCGAAATGATTGACCGACTAGGTTAAACTTATAACAGGCCTTTTTTTGGCTTATTGGTGGGAAGTTCTGCACTACAAACTGCAAGAGGGATTCGAGCTTATTCGTATCCTCACATATACCGTTGTTTTAGTTTATTATGATTCGCGTAGTTATGGTAAAAAAAAAACCCTATATCACCCCCCAATGACCGCAACCCCCGCCCCGTTGTCTAAGCATGTGACACCACCTAAGGCACTTAAAGTTCATCCCACGATTTCACGGCTCGGCAAAACAAAACTTGCAGCCGATCCCGTCCTGCAAGTAACGGGACCATATGAAAATCCCCCCATAAAGAGTTGCCGGGTGGTAGGTTCACACAATCACTAAGGTGTGTTTTATAACAAGTTTTTGCCGTGATTGGATTGATAGGATAAGAGTGAATGCCATTATCAGGTTTATTTATCCCTATTAGCGCGTATTATGAATGAGGTATAGGAGCAAGCAGATGTGGCATAGCCGCCCGCTAATCACAACGTTGAGGATCGTGCGGTAACCCCGCGAACGCATAAACCACACCCTGGCGCTAAGCTATTTAAGCCGGCAGTCCCCGCTTGCTCCATGTCTGTCATATACATTCCCCTCTAATCCTATTGAAATCTTGTTTCCAATTCAAGTTTTTATACTCGCTTCGGTTTGCTTATTATTTGCTCTGAATTACTGACTTGCCACCCTCTCTGCCTCATCCTTGTGCCTTCGACTTGTCTGTCTCTTCTGATTACTTTCCTGACCCCATTTTCCATTTCTTAATCCTTGTCCCACTATGACATTCCTTCCGTATGACGAAGCGACTATTGTTGCGCTTCTCGCCGCATCCTACCTCGACTCCAAATTCAAAATCTCGCACGACGCTAAGATCATCGGAGCCGCACTCCGTGCCGTGTTCAAAGTGGCCAAAAACAAAATTACGAAGCAGCTCTGCACGTGGGGGCAGATCTCAGCCAGTTGTGACCGCCATCCTGATCGCATCGCGCTCAAGTTTCCACGCGCCGTCGTAGCGCCAAAGGAATACCTCACCGGCTCCGACGGAAAGGAATACCTCTCCTACGATAACTGCTTCGAAGTCGAGCTGTACACGTACAAAGAGCTCCAGTGTATCGTCCACCGCTTGTCCCACGTGCTTGTGCAGGACGGGGTGCGTGCCGGAACAACCGTGGGGATGTTCTACACCAACAAGCCGTTCTTTGTTTTCCTCTGGTTCGCGCTCTGGAACATTGGTGCCGTCCCGGCCTTCATCAACTACAAGATCAAGGGTCTGCAATTGGCGCACGTAATCAAGGTGTCTCAGATGTCTCACATATATGTGGATCCAGACGTGGCACAGGCCGTCAGAGACTCCGAGCCTGACATTGCAGCCCTCGCGCGGCCACCACCAATTGTCTACTTGGATGAAACGGCATTGTTCCTGGTGATCACCTCCTTCAAGGCTCCAACCTACGTCCAGCCGGTAGAAGAAAGAAAAAAGATTACGGTTGAGGACACTGCTGTATTGATCTATACATCCGGAACCACTTCACTTCCAAAAGCAGCGATCATGAATTGGCAGAAGATGCAGCTTTCGTCGTCCGTAGTCGGCCCCATGAATGCGATCAAATCCGACAGTACTGTGTATATCTGCATGCCGCTCTATCACTCTACCGGTGCCTTTATCGGGCTTCTTCCGACACTTTCCGCGGGCGGAACAGCCGCTTTGGGTGCTGCATTTAGCAAGACCACCTTCTGGACTCAAGTAAAGCTCACAGAGGCCACCCACATCTTGTATGTCGGTGAAGTGATGAGATATCTCACCAGCAATAGCTATCACCCCAGCGAGACTCTCCATAATGTCCAGGTGGCATACGGTAACGGCTTAAGACGCGACATCTGGAGCGCGTTCAAAAAGCGGTTCCATATCCCAGTGGTTTCGGAATTCTATGGCGCTACGGAAACCCCCAGCATCACCATCAACTACCAAGAAGGTGCAGAGGGTATAGGGGCCGTCCGCACCTATGGCTGGCTCGTCAGTAAGATTATCCGCTTCCAGCAGCGGGTCGTTCGCTTAGACAACGAGCATGAAGAACCAGTCAGGAACCCCACAACTGGTCTCTGCTACGAAGCTGATGTTGACGAGCTGGGCGAGATGCTCTTCCGGCTTCCGGACCAGACCCAGGCAGGCTCCGCGGCCTTTGCAGGATACATCGGCAACAAGAAGGCCACGCAGAAAAAGATCTTGCACAACGTGTTCAGAAAGGGCGATGCGTGGTTCCGGACGGGGGATTTGATGAAGGTTGACGTAGAGGCCAGATTATACTTTGTGGACCGGATGGGCGATACCTTTAGATGGAAGTCGGAGAATGTCAGTACCGGCGAGGTTGAGGCGATCTCCATGGACTACAATACGGTAACGACAGGTTTGTGCATCAACCAGTGTGTCTGTGTGGGAGTCCAGGTACCAAACCACGAGGGTCGGGCCGGATTTCTCATTGCGGAGTTTGCCAACGACGCCAACCCCGAGCAGCTTTCACAATTCTTGCGGGACTACGCTGGCTACATTGTTGATAACTTGCCTCCTTACTCGAGACCACTCTTCTTGAAGGTGGGCCCGATCCAGTTGACCCACAACCACAAGATTGCCAAGAATGTGTTCCGCAACCAGGTACTCCCCAGCGGTGCTGACGGGTCTGAAAAGATCTACTGGTTGGACGTCGCGCGCAGGGCATATGTTTTGTTGGATGAGCGAGCCTGGACAAAGATGCAGCGGGGTGAAACCAAGTTGTAAACCGTTTTGTGGTTGACTTGAGATTTTGAGGGGGTGTAGAGAAGTATATACTGGTACTGGTTCGAAGGTGAATGTATAAATGAGTAATATTAGTGCTATTTTGGTTCAAGATTTAATTCAAATCTGATGGGCTGCGGATCTTACCTGACATGTTTAACCTCATTGCTTGGAGTTTAACCTTTGATTTCTCAACTGCAAATACAGTCTATAAAAGCCTTGATATGTCCATGTGTAGGGTTGTAAAAGTCGCGGATAAGCATCAGCTTGTAAAGTAGATACATGGTCTGATGTTTTGGATGGGACTTAATGGAACCCAAAATAGCTGTTAGCTCTTGTTGCACGACCCATGCTCTGGTTCTTTCCATCGGTTTATGTCCAAAGCTAAGATTTCTCAGTCATGGCTGACTGTCAAATACCTCTCCCGTCTGCGCTGCCACCATTCAGACCAATTGCTGTTCGTTAGTCCGAGGCATACCCTCCACTTCTTTTCTCCTTCCCTATAACATGGTCAATAAATCTAATATATTTAGCCACATTCTTTTCAAAGAATCTAAACGATTACCTGCATTCCTTACAAAGCTTCTTCTGTCTCTCTAGCCAAAAGTATGCATTTCTAAGTCAGTAATACTAAACATTTTACTGCGTCTCAATCTTGCGCAACAACCCGGTCACCATGGCAGCAAATCCCGGACGCAAACGCTCAATCTCGTGGCAGCTGTGACCTGGCTCTGCTAACAACTTATCCAATTTCTCTCGAACAGTATCTGCGTTTGCGATATCTTTAAACTCCCCTGTGTGCATGTCCAAATCGACCAAGTCGCCTTCATGAACTCCGAACTCGTTGTAAGACCCTATTCCCGAAAAATCGTTGATTTGGTCCCACGCCTGTTTGATCCTATCGTCATAATCTGTGGCTGTGGTTTGCAACAGTTCCTTAAGAATCTCGCTGTAGATAAGTCTCTTGGAAAGTGTCAGCGCTACAATGGCATCCACATCCTTGACAACCTTCGCGTCCCCAGCCACTAGACAATCCAAGTCAAGCAAGTCCTGGGGGTGACTGAACTTAAACCTCAACGTCCGGAGAAATTTTTCCAACCAATCAATAATCCCCTCAAAAAACCCGTCTGTATCCTTGAGGTATGTTTCGTTGAAAAACCGCATCATCTTGTCCTGGTGTCTCTCTAACACACCCATCACCTCCTTCAATAACAAGCTGGGGGAGAGCTCGTACATGATTTCATAAAGCCGGTCTACCGTAGCGATTAAATCGGCCATGAAAGCCTGGAAATCTTTAAGAGCAAGGGGCAAGTTGGCCAATTTGAATACCTCCACCATGGGAGTGAAGAACTGCGTGAAGATCTCCTTAATGAGGGAGATTAAATACGGCTCGTCCCACACCTCCTTCATCAACTCCTTATCTCGCTGGCGCAAGAGTAAATGGAAGAGAGATTTGATATTTGAGTAGAGCTCAATGTCGTCGTGGGCTCCATCTGTGGTTTTGTAAACCCTTTGATATGCCTCAAAACTCTTTTCCACCTGTTTCAATGTATCGTCAGCGATGATGACGTCGTTGGTGAGATACCCATGGGTGCACAAAATGCCAACCACCAAGTCATGCCCATCCAGCTCTATTCTCGCCTTGATCTTGACAATAGTCTCCTCAGACGGCTCCCATACGTACGCTCTGAGCTTTTGCACGATATCCTCGCCAGATACGTGTTTCCAGGTCTGGGACGTGGTGATGTTTTCAGACAAGGCAGCGATTTCGCTTTGCTGCAACCGCAAATCGTCGTTCAACATTGAGCTGAAACACATTTGCATGAGGGACTTTCCGCTAAAGGGGATCACGCTGGTGCTCAAAAACAAGTCCATCATCGCCTTCATGAGCTTCATGGGATTGGTTATGCGTAAGATTCCGGACAATACCGTGTACGGGAAGAAGCCATGGATCTTCTTGATGCTTTTAAACCACTCGCGCGACATGTCCTGTCCCAAGAACATCTCGTAGATTGTCAGCGCTATTTCGATCTTCATCAACTCTATGAAGGAGCGCAAGTAGGAGGTGCGCAAATCTGCAACGGAAGTGGCGGTACCGAACTCACTAAAGAGCCGGTGGAGACCGTTCAGATCGTGAAGTAGCGACGACTTGAGCCCATCAATATTTTCCCTCAAGCTGAGAGCGCGCAACTGAGCTTGTTTCTGGAACTCCATCTGGTTGAGAATGCGCGCTTTGTCCAATTGAGTGCGCGTAGCAATATCACGCCATTCCAAGGGCGATGGTGGAGTATCAGAAGCGGTCGGAGCCAAGAAGCTGGCCAAGATGGGAGAGCTGGCAACCTCGGGGTTTTGGAGTAGCAGCTTCATATATCCGCGCAACAGAAGACGGAGATACTCCCGGGGAACCGAGATGGCGTTCTCAGGCGACAGTTTCCGCTCTATATTTGGCAATTTGCGAGTTGAGGTTTTAGGCGGGGATAAATGGCTGGATGTTGGAGACGGTGGACTCAACCTTGGATTTGAGAGCTTTCGGGCAAGGGTTTTTAACGGCACAGGAGGCATCAAGTTGAAGATAGGCTTCTTTAGGGTTTGCGCGTTCTGAGTCCTTAACAACGGTTCATTTTGTAAGCTTGACGACTCATTGTCTTGTTGTTTCAACTCTGAATCCAGCAAAGCCGACGCAAATGAATCATACGACTCCATTGAGCTCTTTCCTTTTGGTGAGGTTTCCACTGACTCAGATTCCGCGATCCGCCCCTCCATCTTGGTCTTATCGGGAAACGCGGGTAACAGCTTCCCCGGAAACTGTGCCCGTAAGGCCTTATCTAGCCGGAGAAACTCCGAATATCGTCTGTACACGATATACGGAGCATGCTCACTGTCGGTAACCTGAACTATAAACTCGTACGCTGGAGCCAGCAGAAACCAACCTTTCTTATCATCGACCCTCCGCACACCCGCAATGTTCAAGGCAAACCCGGTGGATGGGGCGGTGAGGGTAAGCATATCATCCACTTCATCTGGCAGAATAAGCACCACATCGCGCTTAGTAACCTTCTGCACCGCGTCCATGTTCGGCACACTGGTAAGAAAGTACTCGGTGTCGGACTTGGTGGCGATGGAAGAAACAAAGAAGAGGAGAATCCCGCTGGCCATCTTGTTGGTGACCTGACGCCGTTTTGACAACTCCCCGCGATCCTCCGACGACGAAATTTTCTTGGCTGAGAAGGTTTCATAGAATGGCTGCACCTTTGCCTCCCAGAACGCCGTGTTGTGAGAAAGAAACGGAAAGGTTAAGACAAAGTTGTCGAAGAAGAAACGGAGAAGCGGAAACGCGTCAGACGTCGCCTTTTCAGTGGAAAAAGGGTATCCAAATCTCTGGAGCCCGTCTGGGCTGCTGAGCAAACGAAACTCGTGCGCGAGTTGCTGTGACACAAGCTCCTTCTTGAGGAAGTGCTCCTGTGTGGGAGATAACGACAATGTCATGGGTAACGGCTGTTAGATGGCTGTGTCTTAGAATGTGTGTAAACTTCGGTAAGACTGTGAAAGTATAATTGGGCCGTATTAAGGATGAAGCTGGTGGAAATATAAAGTCTATTGTTGGGTTGGGTCTAACAGCGATTGCTGGCTGAATACGATCCCTGTTGTGACAACGCTTAGACGTGGGGAAGGCGATAATAGTCAGGGGTGAAACTGGTCTACAGTTTGATCGTAATTAAATTGGTAGAGTTATGGTAATAGACCTGTGTGTATTGGGGTTCTAATGTGGTATGAAATCGCAATGTGCAACAGTCATTGACCCATTTTGCTAGTCAGATCCGCTAACTGCGCCTGCAGGCAAAAAAAAAGTATTAATCGGGCCGAGCAGGGAATTGAACCCTGGGCCACTCACACCCAAAGCGAGTATCATACCACTAGACCACACGGCCGATTGTTGAGAGAACGGAAACGATATCAATCTTCCGATGTCAGGAAATTCCCATTTGTGTACGCATTTCGCCGAAAACACGGCGAGCCGAAGCAATCGTTGCCCCCCCCTTGCCGAAGCACGCCCCACCCTTCTGGAACGCTCTCCTAAACTTCGTACTACATGGCCTCACAAGGAGACCAGGAATGAAATCTTACTCAGCGTTCAGTGTGCAATATTATACTTCATAATTAACGTTAAAAGGGTTGAGGGCGAATGAGAATCGTAACCGACTGTTAACACCTTGTGACTCATTCTGCTGGTTCCGCGGGACTTTCTACAAATTCGTTGGTCCACGGTTTGCGAATCAGATAACCAGCACTCACGTGGTGAAGCTGTATTCGCACTTTAATATCTCACACCAGTGCTGGAAAATGTCTATGTAAACGCAATTAGGAGATAGTTATTCGATAGCAACTATCCCTGAGAAAGCTTATAGCAACATTCATCAACCTCGGACTGGGCCACAGATCTTGCTATGCCATCGTTGCTGTACCAGGATATGTATGGCCGCGGTTTCCGCCGCACACCCTTTCGCAACGGAATGCTAGTCCCAATAGAACGCGGACCTCGCCCATCAACAAACCGCTACTTCCCTTTTACAATCAAGAAATCGAAATAATAAAATACCATTTTAATCTGGCTCCATAAGAACCTCCTAAATTGATTATTATCCTCCATTTATGGTGGCGTCATGCGTTGCTCTCCCATGGTCACGTGACTATAGCCACCTATCCTGTGACATGTTCGCGGTCCAGGCTTTTCGCAGGGGATGAGCAGAGAAGAAACTTCAAGCACCAAACTCGAACAGGACAAGAACTACACTATATCGCACGACTAATACACCGCTTGTATACAGCTAACACACGAAAAGCCCCAATCGGTACATGCCACATCGAAACAAATTAGCCGCCAGCTCAACGATCTTCTAAGCCGCCAGCAAGATGGAAACCAATGCAAAGCCGAAGCACGAAACCATATCAGGGTGTGTTTCCCGCGTGGTTCAATCCACCCATCATCAAATCTCTCTACACAGCCCTCGCAGCCATCACCATAGCACTCACCGGGCAGAGATCTTTGGAAAGGTTGGGGACATGATCAAGAAGATTCCGCGCTCCGGAACGTCACTGCCGTGTCTATCTCGGAACAGCTCGGCCACCAGTTTGCAAAGAATTGATGGATCAGGATCGAGCGACTCAAGAGAGATGGCTAGGGAGGTGAGAGAAAACAGCTCTAGCATTGGCTCCTCGCACAAGGAGAAAGGCTCCGGAGAGAGCTTTGGCTCGTCACTAAAGCTGAAAAACTCTTTCGATTCCCTCAGAGACTCCTCCAAAAGCAAAGACTCTCTGAAGGATAGTAAAGACAGCTCGTTGAAACATCTTCTCAACGACTCAAGCACCTCGAGCTTTACTCCTTTGCACTTCATGTCGAACCTCAACCCCAACCCGATGCACACGTACCCGGTGCCAACAAACACACACGTGCACGCGGAGCCAGCAGCCCAGCCAAAGCACCATTTTTTGAGCTTGCTCCCGACCTACACCCATGCCCAGCCTCCAGCCTCTGTCTCCCGTCTGCTTGACCTGACACCAAAACCCCCCGTGAAGGAAACAAAGCACGTTTCGCTTGAATATGACCCGATTTCCAAGCGCAAAGTACTCAACACGTACGAAATTATCCGCGAGTTAGGCCGTGGACAGCACGGAAAGGTGAAGCTCGCCAAAGATCTCGTCGCTAACGAATTCGTGGCGATAAAGATTGTTGACCGGTGCGCTAAACCACAAGTAGGCAGGCTCGTCACCCCAGGATCCTCACAGGAAGACAAAATCAAGCGTGAAATCGCCATCATGAAGAAGTGCGACCATCCGCACGTGGTGCAGCTCCGTGAGGTGCTAGATGATGTCAACTCTCGCAAGATCTACCTCGTGCTTGAGTATCTTGAGACGGGCGAGATTGTTTGGCAGGCAGAAAATGGGCCCGCCTTGACGTTTGTCAAGGCCCGCTCCGTGTTCCGCGACGTGGTCCAGGGGCTAGAATATCTCCACTACCAAGGCATCATTCACCGGGACATCAAGCCCGGTAATTTACTCGTCAGTAGCGACGGAGTCGTGAAGATCAGTGACTTTGGGGTGAGTTTTGCGAGTGATTTGGACAGCAACACGAATGAATTTGAGTTGTGCAAAACCGCTGGGACTCCCGCGTTCTACGCTCCGGAGTTGTGTGCGACAAACTTTGAAACAGAAGACGTGTTGGAGGAAAGCGACGGTCATATTACCTCTCAAGGCAATCCGGATGGTCAGGGTTTACTGTTGGGTACTTCCGATTTCAGAAGAGACCCTTCCGAGGCTTCCGCCGGCGTGGACACAAAACTTGGTGAGCATCCAGAGATAACCCCGCAAACGTCTCGAGAACGATTCCGCCCCAACATCACCCACAAAGTCGATATCTGGGCGCTCGGGGTCACTCTCTACTGCCTTCTCTTCGGCCAGCTTCCATTCAACTCCCCCAATGAGTTTGGCCTCTTTGACGTGATTGCGCACAAGGCGCTTGAGTTTCCGGAAAAGCCCGCCGCTGTATCCGCAAAAGAGTTTGAATGGTGCAAGGACCTTTTGTGCAAGCTCCTTGAGAAGAACCCTGACCGCCGTATCGATATTCCCGAGATCAAGAGTCATCCGTTTGTGCTCTCCGACTTGACCCCCATTGCATCGCGCCTCTTCTCGCATTCGTACGACTTGCTCGAAACCACCAAGATCGACGTCTCCAACGAGGAGGTGGAAGTTGCGGTGTTGAAGATCGGCTCCAAAATTAAAAAGTCGCTAGCCAGGGCCTTTATCAAGTTTGCTGGAATGAGTCCCATCCCCCCTGCCACCTCCCGGAAGCCCTCCCCGCTCCATAAGCGCCCCGGCTCCGCCCCGCGCACCCTCATGGACCGCTTGGGCTCGCCTATCATGAGTGTGAGCCACTTGCACTCCGCCGGAGCCTCTGCCCGCTCCGCGTCACCTGTCCACGTCCACCAACGCCCCGGATCCGAGGAGACGTCGGTCGTCCAACAGACCCACCGCGAGCGCAGCTCTTCTGGGGCCTCCGGTTCTTTACCCTCCAGCTCTGTTGCCTCCGATAAGGCTCTGATTCCGGCTTTGCCTGCCAGGATGCAGGAACGCCGGGCGTCGGTGGTTTCACTCCCGGTGAACACCAGTTTCGACTCCCTCGACAGCTTCACTGACGACTACCTTCACCAGAAGTACGGCGAAGCTGCCGACGTGGTTGAGGAGCCTGGCTTAAACCAGGCCTTAGCCAGTCTCACCGTTGACCCTCTTTCGCTTAAGGAGGCTATTTCGCGGTCCCTCCACGATGACATGTACGTAGATAGCGTAACACCCGTGGTGTCTAAGCCCTCCAGCGGGTCTGAGTCTACGATGGTGGGCAGTTTGGGAGTCAAGTCAGACAGTGGACTCAAATCGGAGCTCAGGTCAACGGTAGACGGCTTCAGGCCAACGATAGAAAGCTCGGGTCTCCGAGTCCCGGTTCAGTCGCCTGCCCCGAAGCGCACGAGCCAATACTCTGGATTCGATTCGCCGGATTCCGACAGTGACAGCGACAACGAATTGACATTCGCGTTTGGCAGCCGGTCGGATCTCGGCGAGAAGCGCGTCATCCGCAAACGTGTGATGTCGCACGAGTCCAACGTCCCCCGCCCGTTGTCGCCATCGATCATCGACATGGAGATCCCGATGGAGCTCCAGGCGGAGATGGTGGACATGCCTGACTTGCTTATGAACGATTCTGCCGCCACACTCAAAATCCTGTCTTCCCAGACTTCCACCGCGAAGGAAGAACAGGCTCCTGTGAAAGTTTTATCGCCGTTGTCGCAAGTATGTATGCTGACCGTGTCGATAGACGAGGTGGCCTCTCATGAAAGCATCTTCCCGATGGACGATGTGCGGTTTGAGTTGTCGGAGGAAGACAGGGCCCGCTACCAGAACCACTACAACAAGGAGCATATTGTGTTGACGTCGAACGGATACAAGTATCCGGACACCAAGAACACCAACGCGAACGCCCAGGTGCTTTCGCGCAATGGCGCGGGCCGGGTAAGAAGCAGCTCAATTACCGTGGGGATTTTGTCCGAGTCAAAGTACAACAAGACGTTTCTTTTGGGAGGGGATGAGAGCGAGAGTGAATAAAGGTAGAGGCAAAAAAGCAAAGCGGAGATCCTTTGCTTGGATTTATAGACTTGGATACAGACTTGGTATCGTATTTATCTTTATCACTTTCGAATCGTAGAATATGTTTACATGGTATACCTCATTGATTGTATCGACATTACTCATAGGTGGGTTTATATTATTTCACGTATCACATTTATTAAGGACAGTTGTTGATAATTTTGTATTGATCTGGGGGGGTAATGCCATAGATGTCAGACCTATTTATGATTTAAAATTGGTCGAAGGAATAAAGCCGCGGATACACTGATCTAGGATCTGCTGGATTCAAAAAAGATACCATATCTGGCGTCGTCGCTTATTTCACTATCGAAACGCAATAATGTTAATTTCTACTGAATACGGAGGGATTTTATTAAAAAGTAGAAAATCCCCTCATAAGCACTCGATCTTACCGTTACTATCCCTCTCTTATCCATCTCGACTTCAAGCTTGCTTTGTAGCCATAAATTTCATATTCCTCTGTTCTCTACATAGCTCTCACTCATTAATTATTATTTTTTTCGTATCAATATTAGTTTTTATGTACATGCTGGTGATCCTTCTGTCTTATCCGGAGGTCTCAGCTATTGTTGCACTCCCCAGACAACCAGCCTCTGGTCCTTGACTTCGTTGAGGAAGGCGAAGAACGGATTATAGTCCTCTTCTGAAAGTCTGTTGCCGTGCTTCCCGTAGTGCTTGGAGAAAGTCTCTTGTACGATATCGGAGATCTGGTACGCCTGCTCCATCGTGATAGCATCTTCGAAACCGAGTTGCATCAAAGCCTCACGCTGAGAACTGATACACTTCCCCGTCCACTGGATGGCACTAGCACCAGTCTTGGACATGCGGTTGTTTCTTCTGACCTCGTTGGCAACAATGCTAACGGTCTCACAGTTGGAAGCAGCCATCTTGGTGGCGTTAAACAATCGCTTGAACTTCTTCAACTGCTCCACGCGCTCAACTTCATCGGGATTAGTACGATCGTACTGGATCGTCGGCTTGGAGTGAGATTCCGAACTGTTGGCGAGCTGCAAGCTGTGATTCTCCAAAAAGGCGTAGAGATCGGAAGGTAGCTGTGAACTCAACTCAGGAGTTTTTTCCTCCGTTTTCTTATAAAACGGCCAAACCATGATAACGTATAAGGAGTCAGTGGGACTAAAACCTGCGTTGCTTTCTGTCATTGAAGAATCATGACGCATGAATTGCCTCAAAAATATGTAAAGCGAAAAAGTTTGTATGCAGGCTGTGGGATACTTCAGTCCCATCAAAGTCTGAGCTTATTATTACGATGGTTAGAAGGAGGACGCTATTGTTAGGATCTATTTATCCAATCGGAACTAGCCATATGTGGAAGGATCTTTCTGTCATAGGTACAAGAGCCTATCTGCTTTGCCGACCCTATGTCATCCCAACAGGTGGAGCCACTAATCTATCGGCCTCTTACCATTTAGCAGACCAGTTCTCCACAATACCCAGAGCAGAAAATGCCTATTTATATTTATCTTCCATAGAAAACAAACATTCAGGTGGAGCATCTCCATATTTAGATCCCTCTCTGTCATCTAAAGAGCGTGAAACATCATCCGGCGATGTCTCTGTTCCTTACTCCAACCCACTTGTATACTCCTCCCTATACACGAATATTTTCCTTAATGCCGACAAATGCGAATATATTAGCAAGGTGAAACGGCAAACCAAAGTAAACATCCATATAACCCCCTCGGGTAACCAGATGCTATGGCGGATCACAGGTGACGCAGCAGACGTGGCAGAGGCCAGTCAAATGGTCAATACGCGGATGAAATACATACAAGAAGACTTTTCAATCCACTCCGCAACGTATCCGGTGTTTGCAGTCAATATATTTGCATTTCCCACTCGAGAATTACAGAATTTACTCCAGAACTTCCGAGTAACTGTGCACGTCGAGCAACGTGGTGATACCTGTGAGGTATCGCTTGCCTCTCTGGATAATTCTTTCGGTGGAGCTGTTGAAAGTATCAAGAGCGTGGTCGATGGTCTCACTGCGAACTCTGTTGAAATCAATCTTCCGGTGAAAGCTTCCGTGTTTAATGACCAGTTCAGTTTGAAGCAGTTTCAGAGAGTCACATCGTCCTATGTTTTCATCCACGGCCCAAAGGTTATAATCTATGGTGACGACAAGCAAAGTGTCGACAGAGCGCTGCAGATAATCAAGAAAAATGTCTCTGGAGAAACATACACCTTCAAATTACCACGGATCATGTGCTCGATCCTCCACCATGAGCTTCCCGAGATTCGTAGGGAGCTCAAAAGCCTCCCCGGTGCGAAAATTTTCATGAGTGGATATTCTGGCTATAGATTGCAGTGTGAAGGCTCGCAACTCGTAGAAGCTAGAGCCTTGCTTGAGCGGAAGCTTGCTAAGTACACTTCCAACTCCCAGCTGTTTAAAACCAGCAAAGTGCATGCCAAGCTCTTACTTGGAAAAGGCGGTTCAAAACTAGCCTCGATACAACAATACAGTGGTGCATTCATTGAATCAGATGAAGGCACCGAGACGGAAACCTGGAAGGTGTACGCTGACACAGCAGAGAAAGTTAACAAGGCCCTCCATGCGCTCAAACTTCACCGTAATCTCTTAGAGGAAACTGCCCTTAACCTCAGGGTTCCGCAATGGTGTATCGATGCTCTCACTTTGGATAACCCGCATTTCCTCAAATCTCTCGCTGCCAAAGCCAAGTGTTTTCTAAGCGAATGCGAAGGGTTCACGATATCTGTGCTTAGCCACCATCTCAAAGCGGTAAAGCACTTTGAAAGATTACTCAGGGAGCAGTTGCGACTGGTTGCAACGGTTGAAGAGATGGTAACGCCTCCAAATATCTTCCGGGATGAATTATCTTCTGTGGGAAATTGGATACAAGGAGGTAAGCTACAGGTGTATGGAAAACCTGCTGAGGTAGCAAGAGCAAGGGCGGTAGATACCTTGATTCTGAAGCAATGCCGCCATGTCTCCGTCCCTACGTACCTAGGCAAAGCCTTGTTTGGTCACAAAGTGCAATCACTTCAGGAATTCGCAGACTCCACGTGCACACGGATCGCTCTACGGCGCAATAAACGGAGCTTTGAGTTGAGCGTGTTTGCTCCTGAAACGAAAGATCTTGAAAAGGCCCTCCACTTACTCGACTTTCGGCAAGCGGTGGCGAGACACACAGCAGAGAAGGTGTTGGTACCACCCAAGATTCAGCGACTCTTGAAGGGTTTCCGGAGCTCCAAATTGGTACAAATACAGAGCTCGACTCTGACTTCGTTTTTACTCGATGGCGATTTCATTGAGATCTATGGGACTAGTAAGGAGGCCGTCCTCCAGGCTAAAACCTTGTTGCGCCAAATTGTTGATCTTGTGCAGACAAGTTCCAGGATGGACACCCAGATTTCGCCAGTGTGGATCGAGCTCTTTACAGGGGTGGATGTATATCGAGCGAAGCTTCATGCCATAGAGCAAACCACCCAAACGTGTATCATGTTCCAGAAACAAGGACTGGATGTCATGGCCATCTATGGTCTGTCGCTACAGTCTATGGAGGCTCAGCGGCAAGTGGCTGCCTTTTTAGCTGACTTAAAGCCCCAATGTCAGACATTTACCGTCTCGCAGGGGATCAACGATTCCGATGAGCTTGCATATCATTCCGCAAAATTCCGGGTCATCGAGCAGTTGTATGATGTGCAGATATTTGTTTCCAAGCGGTTCACATCGGATGAAGCTATCGGGTTTATCATAGGAGGAAGAGCCGATGTAGACCTCCAAGAGGCGTTAAGAATGTTGGCTGCTACCTAGGGGTGAGCAAAGCATTAAGAAACTGATCCTGGAGGTTACGTGAACCATCACATGGATGTTAGTCATGGACAGCAATATTTACCGTATTACTACCCTTATAAATATTCTCTATGAACGCGTACTGTCAAACGTGATTACATTATTACTTTTAGAGCTCAAAATATTACTCTGCTGAAAGGTCTAACTTGCCGTTGGTTTTTACTCCCGCCTTTTCTGTTTCAATAGCTCTTCGGAGTCCTCTGAATGTTTCAATCAACGGGAGTGTCGTCCTCTCCAGACGTTTTATCAATTAACGTGATAAAAAAATGCAATCGGGCCGAGCAGGGAATTGGACCCTGGGCCACTCACACCCAAAGCGAGTATCATACCACTAGACCACACGGCCGATTAATAGAGACATCAGGGTTCCAGCGCCCGTTGGGACTTTTGTCCCGGATTGTAATCAGTCATTGATTCACAAGATACAGTCACAATAATCCGTTAGATAACAACATGATCCTCTACAAGAATAAAGATGCTTCTAAATTAAACACATATTCTATCCACTGAAAACCACTTCTTTATATAGCCCTCTGGACTTCAGTCACCACGGTGGTTCAATCCATTGGAATCACGATGTCAATGTAATCTCGTAAAATGCCACACTGATATAGCTCCTAACTCTGAAAGGGAAGTCAGGGTTCCAGAACCGGTAGGTAATTCAGTCAAGAGGTTGTAATATCTAACTGGTGCTGTATTAATGCAAAAGGTAAAGAATGCGTGAATAGAGATGACACAACAAGCAGAGAGGCTCTTTATTGAGAATTAGCCTACGTCGTCTATGGTAGGCATTACCCGCAATAAAGTATTAGGCCCGTGTTTGGGTACCGTTCGATTTCCCTCCAATGCATTCCTCTCTGGTTTGTATCTGAAACATATTTAAAACATGGCCGATGATTATTACATTCGCACTTCTATTAGATTTACTAATTGCCAATGTTAACATAGCCTTGCCGCCTACGAAAGTATGTATACCTATATATTATTGACGACTTTTTATCACTAAATATTTAGTTACATACACCTCTAGTATTCGATGAGATTCTATCACATAGCGGGCATACCTCATTCGGTGTTCATGTATATAGCGGTTATATAATAATAATACGGGGAAACCTTTCCGTAATCCTGCTCACCAGTCTATACACATGGTGGCTCACCTCAACCGGAGGCAATTATTCTGAGTGTATCCGACGGACCATAATTGTGCTGCACCAACTAAATAAGCAATCTCTCAGCAGTTCTTCAGCTGGAGCACCACCGATGTCACTTACAACCTATGTTTTCTATGCGTAGACATTAATTAGACATTAGATCAACCTTAACCAACCTCTAGCGGTTCTTTCTGTTCTTGCGATTTTTCTTCTGGCCTGACAGCAACACCGAGGCGGCGTACAACAACGAGTCGTTCTGGGATTGAGAGAGGTACCTGGCCATGACCTGGGACCCAGACGTAGTGGGCTGGTTGGGGATATAGCCATAGCCGTACATCTGCTGGGGCGGGAAGTAGCTCATCTCGTATCCCATCGGATGGCTGCCCTGGGAGTACAAGGAGGTGCGTGATGCAGATCTGTCGAGATTGTAGCTGGAGCCAGCGCGGGAGGTGGCACTTCCCGGAGGATAAGCGAAGGGGTAGATCACGGGGGTCTCATAAACAGGAGGAAAATAGTTCATCGAACGAGTGGAGGACGCCTTACGGGGCCGTTGTTGAGGAATGGGAGAGCACGATGAGGTTTTCATAGATGGGGGTGAGTCGATGTTGGCGGTGGCGCCGATGACAATGGAAACAGAGTCACTGGAGTCGATTTCTGAGTCGTAGTCAGGTTTGTCAAAATGAAACTCAGGAGAAAGAGGCTCGAGGGGTGTAGTCTCGAGAGGTGCCGAAGTGACAGGAGAGGGAGCTTTTAAAGGCATAGCCTCAAGAGGCTTTGAAATATCAGAAGGTTCTGAATCATGGGGCTCTAGGGCCAATGAGTCAACCAAGTCACTCAAGTCGCCCTTCTTTGCTTTCACGGTACTTCTGGCTTGGCTTCCCTTGCTTTTCACATCCCTACCCTCCTTACTTCCCTCACTTTTCACCAGATTTGATTCACTATCCATCTGACTGTCTCTTCTCGCGGCACTTTTTGCGTCACGTCTGGGCCATTCCTCGCTTTTTTCATTTCTTTCCTCACTTATCTCAGCTCTCGCTTCACCTAGCTCGTTTCGACCGCTCTCTTTGCTGCTGAAAATCCCCATACTCGCCAACACTCCACTATCCACCATTCCCTCCCTCGCTTCCTTTGCCTCTCTTACCTTCTTTTTTCCCTTTTTCACCGGTCTCAGTGGATTCCCACATCTATCCTTACCAAAGGCAAACTTGAACTCCCGGTACTTCTGCAACAAGGCAAGAACGCGTGCCGCACGCTCCGGGCTCGTGCCCGTGCTCGGTGCTGAGCCGCGCTGAAAGTCTTCCACTACCTTGATCGCACAGGAGATGTTCAAGAAGTTGAGGAACGCACATGACTTGTCCTTGTAGAAGTTAATCTGCTCCATCTCTCCATAATCTGAGAAATCACGTCTTAACTCGTCTGCGCGCGGAATGTCAGGCCCTCGTATGTACACATTGCGTGAGGCCCCCGCGGTCACAGCGAGTGCTACCGACTGGGGACACGGACCAGAGTTGTTCCCCCAGTTCACCTTGACCCGCTTTCCGTGCACAACCAACGTGTTCATGTTTGCCTCGGCATAAAACTGGGCAGCCGCTGTTTTGTCAACAAAAGTCACGAAACATGCGTGTTTGTCCGCGAGGTATTTGACATTTTGGACCAATCCGCCCTTCACCACGTTGCAGATCTCATCCACACGGGTGAGGGGATGGAGGTTGCCGAGATAGACTGTTCGATTGCCGAGGTTAGCCATTCCGCCGGCGGCCGTCAGCACCGTCGCGGCCGCGATATCTTTCTGGGACAAGTTGTTGCGGAAGCCAAAGTCGAGGGATGGTTCGGTCACGACGCGTGCGCAGCGGTCGCGACCGTAGAGGACACGGCAGGTGTGGTACGTAGGGGAGAAGGAGAGCTGGGATTTGGCACGGATTGCGTCGCGGATGGAGGTGAAGTGGATGACAACGCGGTCAAACGTCGCCACCAGTGCCGATAGAGCATCCAATGAGGGTGATTCGACACCCAAAGACGTCGCCTTACCATCTAATGGTATGAATGTGTCTTCCAATGAGGATTTCTCATCCAAAATTGTGGATTTCTCGTCTAGAGCCACCGATTTTCCTTCCAAAGACATTGATTTCCTTTTCAAAGCCGTAGACTTTCCATCTGACAGCCCAGTGATTGGATCGGGGGTATTGGCCGCAAAATTTGCCTCCCCGTTTTTTGGCAGCTTACCGGTCTTTTCGCCCAAACCTCCGTTCTTAGTCTTTGCGTCTCTGTTTGGAAGATCAAAAGTCTGGATGGTGTCGATCTCGCCAATAGCGCGCAACTCACAAAGTAACGCGGACGCGTCGCTGCGCTCGCGCGCAGGCATCTCCGAGATGTACAAGCACCGCGAAGCGTACTCCAGTTTCACCGCTGCTGCAATCGCCGGGAACAACTCTTCAGAGTCGACTAGCTCTACCAACACAGCCTGCTCCTCAGACGAAAACACTCGCAACTTGCGGTTCACGTCCACGGGATTGCGCTGGACATGAGTATAGAAGACCGTGGCAGCTAACCCGGTTAGAAACGACACTCGGATGGTCTTTATATTGTCGCTATTTGCCTCAGTCTGATTGATCTCGGTGATTTCTTTCCCAGTAATTCCAGTCTGACTGTAAGTTGTCTCAGTCTCAATCTCAATGCTCTCGAATGGCCCGAAGCCGGAAAACTGGGTGAAAAGTGCGGCCCAGGTGAACTTCTTGGGCTCTACCACCACATTCGTGATCAACACGGTGCGCTGCTGAGAAACCATCGTCGCGGGCGAGTCGTCCACTTTATGAGTAGCTTCCATCGTCGGAGTAACAGCCTCTATCAAGGGGGAAGCAGAGCCGTTGGGGGTGAAAAAGTCACGCTCTAGCTCCTGGTTCCGCTGGTAATGCAGGCTATGTTTGGCGTCTTGCAGCCGCGGCGAAACTTTCTTCTTCTCGGGCCTATTTACATACTTAAGTCTGGGCTGAGAGATGTGAGACATGGAACTGTTTTGCGAGTAATTCCGTAAGTGGGTCGAGCTGGAGTGGCGGCTACTATGCGACACGCTCGTGCTGAGATGCCCGTTCTTCAGGTACCCGTTAGGTGGGTACCTGTTTGTTTGGTACCCCTGCTCGGGTTGGTATGGGTAGTTCTGCTGGCCTGGATAGTGCCCTGGGTAGGGCGTCTGGTTTGGGTAGTAGTAGAGTGGCGGCTTCGCGTGGAACTGCGGGGGCACGGGTGACGGCGCTCCCGCAACGAACGGCGAGCCCATCAAAAGCTGACGCGGTAACATCGAAGCGCCGTACGCAAAGTCAAACGGTGTCTGGGGAATTAGCGACGTGAACCGCTCGTCGGGCGTCTTGGGTTTATGCCCGAAGTACCCTGACAGTGCGTGGGGGTGGGTATACATGGTGAGCAGGTTGGGTATGTACTAAACTGGAATGCGCTTGAGATTATTAATAAATGTGGGTATATGCTAAACTCAGTACAAATTTTGGGTCCTGTTAATGTTCAAGTGAAAACAGCAAGTGGAAAGTTCTGCGGGTTTGAAGACGTGTCTAAATGACGACGTGTCTAAGGTGTTTTGTGAAGACTGTGGGTGCGACAGTTGGATAGGTGCCTATGATCTGAATAAAAACACCTGTTCAAGGATCAGAAAAAAACTGTTTATATGTGAGGGTATATGACCTAAAATGAGACCAAGAGAGACTAGCTTATTTTTACTGAGGCTAAAAGACACGGTACGTCGTATGGCGTGAAGATGGAATTTGGCCGTAGGCGCGATCGCCGTAACTTTCTGCGTACATATCTTGAAATTTTTGTATGGCAATCATTGCAGGGTTCCGTGCGCGGCATGCCATTTTCCCCGTGATTCTAGCGTCCCACACGTGAGGACCTGGAATTCCCCGCTTGTGAAACTCAGAAGTTGCGACTAAATATTAACGACCGTGCGCAACAGAGCTTGGATCGAACCTAAAGAGGGACAAGCCAAGTTTTCCAGAGCGTTCAATAGTAGATCGCACGTACCTGCATGGACATACCAACTACATTGAGTTTCTTGCCACTAACAGCCCTCTTTCGTTAGGGCTTTAAGACGTTGCTATGTAAATAGCGTTAAAGCTTTGCATTAGAAAAGGTTAGGTATCATGGTAAACATTACTCGATCGAGAGGAACCAGGGGTTTGGCCCAGATAAAAGACTCACGTTCAATGTTAGGCATTTTTCCGGGGGGAGGAGTCTTCGGCTAGCAGTTTTTGACGCATCATATGCGGAATTCGTGTAGATGCAAAGGGGTGCGGCATCCAATCACACACCAGCAAACCCCAGTCGATCTGGACGATCCTTGCACCTGTAGACGACCAGTGCCGAGTTTTCTGGCTCTTTACATTCTCTAAATAACTTGCACTCTGGTCTCTTTACAGACTTCTATCTGGATATCCTAAGTACACCTGCTGCCTTCTTAGGCCCCGTTATATTCAGCAAACCGCCTCTCTTTGGTGTATGCAGATGGGCGGGAGTTCAGCGTGCATATGTCTGCGTCGCCGATCCCTGATCGAACCATAGACAATCTAGCAATTGACGTCTATCCCTGGCAGGCTGGAACAAGCTGTTCGCGAATTTCGATGGGCTGTATCAACTCCGGTGGCGCGGGATTCTCTGTCGGTTTGTACAAACCATACACAGTGTAAATTAGGCCACGAAGTCTGGGCCTCACCAAGCCGACAAATACACCATTTGAGAACCATCTGTGCATGTAGACAGCTTTTAAATATCGCCGCAAAATACACGACGCCCCAGAAACCTCCCAGAGGGGAGCACTGGCGGAGAGGGTTGTCGTCTCGGTGTACCGCGGTGAAGCAGCATGTTTATGCAAGTACACCGACACTTATGCAGGCTGCGTCAGCCCCTCACACCTTGTCATCAGCTTGCATGTCTAAACCTCAAGTTGGAACAAGCTGATGATCTAGAAGCAACAACGTACACTAGCGTGTTGGAAATAAATAGTATGTGTATGCGTATCTATATACCTAAGAGTTTGGTATTAGATGTAGGTATAGCTGTATATATGTGTAAACATATAGGAAAGTGCTTTGCTTAGATTCATGTACCCGCTAATTTTAATAATCTATTTTTGCGTGGTTTTTAATAGTAGCTTATGTAATAGCCACTTTACGATTACTTATCTGATTGATGGCATTTGTTTAATTACTAAATGTATATATAAGAAATACCTATATACGTACCAAGCAGTATATACACACACTGTAATGAAAAATTGTTATTGACTTTTGGCTAAACGACGCCGTGAATTCTAGGAGGGTGTATATATCGACGCGGTTTTGCTTATTTGGCCTTCGATATAAGAACCCGTGGAAACTCCTTAAAGACCACTGGTACTTGTCAGACTCAGTACGTCGTTGCGGTATAGTTGTGCATACTATGACACGTTCGCCCGCGTGCACGTGCATTAGTCATCCCGCCTGCCGGGTTTGGACGTACATGTTTTGTCTAAACCATCCATTGCTTGCATATCATTCCATGTTTATTGAGATATAGATATTGTGGTAGAGATATGTGGTTTTGGCTAACCATTACATTAAGGTGGTGACGTTCCGATTATATATCCAAGATATTTTTAGGCATCGGCGGTAGCTTTATTGGGTATTTTGAACTACTTATGGTTTAAGTTTTGATGCGCGACGCCCAATATGTAATGAGAAAGTTATAACGGCTCACTGTTTATGACTAATATTTCGGGCCAAAGACATCCTAGCTTTCAGGGAGCGTGTCTGCTTTTTTCTAAAACTGGTTCACATGAGGATGCCTCAGAAGGGAACCGTGAACTCCCAATCAACCCAGAGTTAAATCTTAGACGAAATTCGCTTACATTTTGATCCTTGGCTCGCATCAATTCTCTTCCGTAAAACATGTATTAGCGCCTTCTCGGATATTAATGACCTTAAACTATATGGAGTCCCTCCGTGGTCCAGCATGGAATCCACTAGTGTTACTATTAGTATAAACTTTTCAACTACCGATATCGACACAAAAATATTGTCACTAAACGCCATCATCTGTGATTGGACTTGGCGGAACCCACAATCGCAGAAATGCTATTCATAGTTGTTCAAGCAGAGCTTGACTGAGAAAGCACTACAATTAAGATAGCATAAAAGGTTAGTCCCATATTGAGGGCCCTGATAGTTTTGAAGGAGCATACTTCAAAGCAAAGTACTAGGCAGAGACTGTAAGTGTGCAATGTTCACATGATAGGGATCGATTCCTCCTACCGTCATCCTACATAGGTTATATAACTAACCAGTATACTACTATAAATAGATATTCTGCCCTCAGGGTAAAGATATACCACAGAGACTTAATCAAGTACGGAACTGGAAACCCATGCCATTCATATAAAATCCAGAATAATGGAAGGGTGCCAAGCATAACGGTTCTGACTTTGAAACGTGTAGGAGGCCATTTCTAGAGGCGCAAGTATATCAAAACGAGACACTTTTAAGGCAATATACAAGATATGTTACATTTACTTGACCAATTCCCAGCAGCCAAACTTGGGAAATAAATACGGCGTAAACACTGTGATAATGTTTTCGCGAACATTCCGCGCGGTGTCTCCGTTCGATGGCAAACGCGACCTGCACCTTACCCGCCAGATCAGACTGCGAAAATATTAATCAAAACAAAACAAAGCAACCTCTTTTGTCGTGTCCAGAACCAACTAACAACACACAATGGGATCTCGATCAAAGAGAAAAATTGAAGAATCGGATGAAGAGTCGGACGAAAAGTCACCACAGCCACAAGTCGAGGCTGACCCCCAGAATACAGAAGAAGCCGCCGCTGAAGACGACACATCCGAATCAGATGAAGGCAAAACAGAAGGCAAGTCGGTTGAAGCCAGCTTTGCCGATTCACACCGCACAGATACTTCCAAACTAGAGTCGCCTCGTGATATGGTGCCCGCCGCGCAGTCCAGTTTCATCGACACGGACTCCAAGCACTCATTTATTGACAAATCGGGAGACAACCCGTTTTTGGACCGGTCGACCGTTTTGGACGACAAAGCAAACTTCTCAATCATCTCGGTGCCGGAGTTGGCGAGCGACCCGAGCAAGGGTACACGCGGGCCCGAGTCGCGCGACGCGCGCGCGCTCATGCCGGTGAAGCTTGACTTCTCATCGCAATTGACGCAGATCCCGCTCTCGCCACGTAAGCTCGTGTCTCCATCGCGTGTGGTGGTACCCCCGCGTGCGCCGCGCCTTGTAATCCACAAACTCGTGTTGACAAACTTCAAGTCATATGCGGGTACGCAAGAGATTGGGCCGTTCCACCTGTCATTCCTGGCGGTAGTCGGGCCCAACGGGAGCGGCAAGTCCAATGTGATCGACTCTATGTTGTTTGTGTTTGGTTTCCGCGCTCTGAAGATGCGCCAGGGCAAGTTGAGCGAACTCATCCACAACTCGGAGGAGCACACGGACTTGGGCTTCTGCGCAGTCGACATACACTTCGAGCACGTGATTGATGATGAAGACAGTGAGGGGGCGACGGTGGTATCCGGCAGCGGGTTGGTGGTCTCGCGCAAGGCATTCCGTACAGGCGGCTCACAGTACTACATCGACGGCAAAATGAGCACGTACACAGAGGTGACGACGTTGTTGAAGGCGAAAGGCATCGACTTGGACCACAAGCGGTTCCTCATCCTCCAGGGTGAGGTAGAGAGCATTGCCCAGATGAAGGCCAAGGCTGAGAAGGAGAACGATGACGGGTTGTTGGAGTACCTCGAAGATATCATCGGCACAACCGCGTACAAACCGCAGATTGACGTGGCGGTTGCGCGTGTGGCGGAGTTGAACGAACTGTGTAAGGAGAAGGAGCACCGGTTTGAGCTCGTCGAGCGTGACAAGACCGCGTTGGAGGCGCGCAAAGACGATGCGTTGGCCTTTTTGGAGCAGGAGAAGCTGTTTGTCGAGAACCAAGCCGCCGCACACCAGTTGGCGATGCTCCACGACCGCGAAGCGGTGGAGACAAACACCAAGGTGCATGAAGAGCTAGCAGCAGAGCTCGCAAAGGAGCAGGCTGAGACAGCGGAGTTTCAGCGCGAAATTATACGCTTGGAGGCCGCGCACGCGGAGTTGGCGCGTCGTGCGGACGGCTACGCGGGCGGTATCGCGGCGTTGCAGAAGACCGCAAAGCAGTTGGAGAAGGACAAGGTATCTATTGAAGAGAAGCTCCGGCATACGGCTGCGAAGCAGAAGAAGGCCGAGAAGGCGTTGGCGGCCTCGCAATTCGGGACCAAAGAGGCGGAGGCGAAGCTCGCACTTCTCGAAGGCGGCGATTTTGAGGCAGAGATTGCGACGTTGCAGGAGAGTATGGCGCGCGAACGTACTGCGCTCGATCAGATCCGACTGGAACTCACGTCCAAGACGGAGGTGTTCACGCAACAGATTGAAGTTCTCCGCACGGAGTTGCAGCCATGGCAGGACCGCTTGGAGGCCAAGAACGCCCAGGTCCAGATCGCGCAGAGTAAGGTCGACATGCTTGCAGCGCGCAAGACTGAGAACGAGGCGGAGATCGAAGCGTGCCAGGCACGTATCGCGACGCTTCGCGCGCGACAGGAGACCAAGACGGAGGCGCTTGCGAAGCTCCGCCGCGAGGAGGCGCACGTGGCCGAACAAATCAAACTTGGTGAACCCGAGTGCGCGCACCACGCACAAACGTTGGCCAAGATGGAGACGCACGTGCGTGACGAGCAGCACAAGCTCCAGGAGATGGAGAGCGCGCTTCGTGCGAGCCAGAGCAAGAGCAAGCTCTTAGACGGGCTCATGCGACTCCTGCAAGCGGGGCGCGTGACAGGGTTCCACGGCCGGTTAGGAGACTTGGGGACGATTGATGATAAATATGATGTGGCGGTGACGACAGCATGTGGACTGTTGAACGATATGGTGGTGGAAACGGTCGCGGCCGCGGACGCGTGCATTGCGCATATGCGCGCGACGCAGCTTGGTTACGCGAAATTTATCTGCTTGGATAAGATCGCGCGCCGCGGAATGCAGCCGATCACGACACCACGCAACGTACCGCGGTTGTTCGACCTCGTGACGCCGAAGGACCCACGGTTTTCGCTGGCGTTCTATCATGCACTCCAGGACACGTTGGTCGCGCGCGACATGCAAGAGGCCAATGCGGTCGCGTTCGGCGACAAGAAGCGCTGGCGTGCGGTCACGTTGGACGGCAAGCTTGTGGACAAATCCGGGACACTTTCTGGTGGGGGGCGCGCGGCCGTGGGCGGCGGCATGAAGTCAACGCCGACAGCGTTTGTCGCACCGGAAGAGGTGGCGGCTGCGCGCGAGACACTCGCGGTCAAGCGCGAGAAGCTTGCGGTTGTGCGTACAAAGGTTGACTCGATCCGTGCGGCGTTGCAGGGCCTCCGTGACCGCCAACCGGAGGTGGAGTTAGCCATCTCTCAGCATGAGCTCGAATTGGAGTCAATGGTGCACGAGGTCACGAATTGCGGAGTCAGCTTGGCCGAATTGACGGCCAACCGCGTGGCTTTTGCGGCGGACACGCGTGCAGTCACGGCCGCGGAGGCGGAGGTGGCGCGCTTGGTAGGTGAGCGCGCCGCGGACGCGCAGCAGGCAGACGCGCTCCAGGCGCAGATTGCCGCGCTCCAGGAGAAGATTATGGACGTGGGTGGGGTCGAGTTGCGCATCCAGAAGTCCAAGGTGGACGCTCTCGGCGAGCGCATTGAGTTGGCGACTGAGAAACGGTCCGCAGAGGCTCTCGCTGCGCGCAAGCTCACAAACGAGATCAAGAAATTTGCGGCGCTTATCGCCGAAAGTACAGCGCTGGTGGAGACGTGCCGTGGCGACCTTCAGGCGATGGAGGCACAAAGCCGTGCGAAGGCAGACGGCTTGGCGCAGACAGAGGCCGCGTTGGACGAGGCGATGAATGAACGTGACGAGGTGACGGCCGAGCTCGAAGCCGGCGCGGCCGCACTCGCTGCGCGGCGCTCAGAGATCAAGAAGTTGGATGAGGCGGCGATCGAGCTTACCAACAAGATGGAGAAACATGCGGCCGCGATCCGCGCGGCGCAGCGTAATTTACTGGCGATCGAGGCGCGCATCGCGGAGATGGCCGTGCGCGACGTGGCGGCGTTGCTAGACTGGATACCAGAGGATGCGCGCGCGCAATACACGGTCGTGCGCGCGGAGTATACTCTCGTGGAGCTCCGCGCAATGGATGCGGATGCGGTCGACGCCGCGCGCGACACCGCGGAGAACTACATGAACAGCGTCAAGGTGGATCCTGACGTATTGCAGGAGTACGGTGCGCGCAGCAAGGAGTTTGAAGCACGCCGCGGTGACTTGAATGCCGCCGTGGAGGAGCGCACGAGTGTCCAGAAGACGGTGGACGACCTCAAGCGCAGGCGCTTAGATGAGTTTATGGAAGGTTTCAACACCATCTCACTGTCGTTGAAGGAAATGTACCAGATGATTACAATGGGGGGTAATGCGGAGTTGGAGTTGGTGGATTCGTTGGATCCTTTCTCTGAGGGGATTTTGTTCAGTGTGATGCCACCAAAGAAGTCGTGGCGTAACATTTCGAATCTTTCTGGGGGAGAGAAGACGTTGAGTTCATTGGCGCTTGTGTTCGCGTTGCACCGGTACAAGCCGACGCCGTTGTACGTGATGGATGAGATTGATGCGGCGTTGGACTTTAGGAATGTGTCGATTGTGGCGAATTACATTAAGGAACGGACGAAGAATGCGCAGTTCATTGTGATTTCGTTAAGAAACAACATGTTTGAGTTATCGAAGCAGTTGGTGGGCATCTACAAGGTAAGGAACATGACGAAGAGTGTGGCGTTACAGAACCGGGAGGTTGAAGCGCAGTGAAGGGGATTAGATCTGAACCAAACCACCGAATGAAACATTAAGTAGTACTCTCTGAATAGATTCAACTGTCGATAATGGATATTTTTGTTCTAATATATTATATGGACGAGGAAGCTGAGTAGAAAAGGACCAAATGCATCTATTTTGGAGTATTTCGGTTTAAAGAGGGTCGGTAATGGAAGTCTTTAGCGATTGACAGTCCCTACTGTGTCATAGAGTCGAGTAACACAGAGCTAAGAACTCATATATTATTAACCAGACCTCCTTCGCACCTTCAGTTCAGTTACAGTTTAGAATATACATAGACTAGCCCCGGACCGGAAGAGTAACACCTCAGATAAAGTTATTTTCTATTCACTATTATGAGGGAATCTCCGGCGGGGGCAATGGAGACTATCGTAAGAGGTCCTCGTGGCTGTCGAGAGATGGCTTAAACAGATACAAACTGAATCAAGGCGTCCCTCCAACGGTATCATTGTATCTAACATTGGCAATATAATCACTTTCTACTCCGAATACCTAAAATGTCAATCTAATCCAGGTTATCCTATCTTCCCTGTTACGGCCTCCTTGGCATCAACTTACACGTATATTTCTCCTGAAAGGATTCTCGCATATGCTTGCTGTTATGCATCACCTTGCATATGCTTCACGCGAAAAAAAAAGGAAATGCTCCTGAAACTATCTTGTTAGCCCCTCGCCACACGATGAAACCCATTCCCAGATCCATCTTAAAGTTCATTGCAGCGGTCGAAAGACCCGAGGGGGTTGGTGCCATGGTTAGAAGAGCCATTGGGGTTCGCCAAATGCGTACCTTCACCCCGTTCCTCCTCTTCGACCACTTCAAAGCCAGTTCGAGTGCAGGGTTCCCGGACCATCCTCACAGGGGCCACGAAACCGTCACTTACCTCTTAACCGGGTCCTTGCAACACCACGACTTTGCAGGAGGATCAGGGGTCTTGAACACAGGGGATCTCCAGTTCATGACCGCTGGGAGAGGCATTATGCACGCTGAGGTGCCCGTCGCTAGTGAGGATGCAAATGTCACGGGCTTGCAGCTTTGGGTGGACCTTCCGGAGCGGTTAAAAGAGGTGGAGCCTAGATACAGGGACTTAAGGGCCCCCGAAATCCCGATTGTTACCCCCAATGCAAAAGTCACGGTGAAAGTTATCTCAGGAGAGGCGTACGGGGTTGCATCCCACAAGGAGTTGGCGTACACGCCGGTGGAGTACTACGACTACGAGGTTCGACCAGGGGGCACATTCGAGCAAAAGATCCCAAAGAATTTCAACGTCTTTGTATACACGTTTGCAGGGAAGGACTTGCTCATTAACCACCAGCACGTGCCTCTTTACGAGGCCGTGTTCTTCAGCCAAGATGGTGATGCAATTGTGGGCGAGGTTCCGCCCACCAGCGTCGAAGTGTCGCGGTTTGTAATTGTGGCGGGCGAGGCCTTGGACCAGCCGATAATCCAGGACGCCTCGGGGGTGTTTGTAGAAACATCGAAGGAGCGGTTGAAGAATGCATTGAAAGAGTTCAAGACCGCCACTGGCGGGTTTGAAAGACGAAACCTGTGGACTTCTAAGGCGAAGTAGATTAGAAAGGGCATGGTTATCTTTCTGAATGAGTAATTCGTGTTTATAAGGATGATATTAAGGGTTGCCATAGTTTGTGTTGAACGGAATGACTTCGGGGATGGCGAAATGCACCAGTGAGAGTTCTCTCACTAAAAGCTAGCTTCTGGCGTTCAGCATAGCATCGAAATTCAAAGAATGGGGTGTCTATTCGAATAGTAATATCATTTTAAATAATAATTCTTAAAATATGCACCTTTTCCCAACAGCAATTGTGGCTTGAGGCCTCGTTACCTAAGCTCCCAATAACGTACATGCACATGGCTTTACCAGCATTATTTCCAGCCAGGAGGATTGAACTAATCGGATTCCACGCTTTTTATATTATTTTGAATGTATTTTATTTCACATCCAGTTAATCAATACTGATCGATGTTTGTCCCTTCAAACGCTGATGGCTCGGCGTTTCCCAATGAGGTAAACATTTCCCGACTTCCACGCTGATTACACAACTCAACTGCGGGGTCAAATGTGCGCCGAAAAAACGTGCGGCTCGACGTTTCTATATAAATCTGCGTTCCCCTTACTTTGTCCTCTTTCTCTCTCCTCCTCCCACCTTGACTATGTCACTCAACATCGAAGCGGAAATCGCAAACTTTGGGGGTAAGCTCTTAAAGCTCTCCCACCAGTCCACACAAACTGCTACAAGAATGGATATCAATGTTTACTTGCCAGCGTCGTACGACGCTGGCAAGATTCATGCCACGCCAGTGTTGATCTACTTGGCGGGTTTGACCTGTTCCCCAGCCAATGGGGCGGAAAAGGCCTTCTTCCAACCGTATGCTGACAAGTACGGATTTGCAGTGGTGTATCCAGACACATCGCCGCGCGGGGCCGGCATCGACGGCGAGGACGAGAACTGGGACTTTGGAACCGGCGCCGGGTTCTACTGCGACGCCACGACTGAAAAGTACAAGGACCACTATAGAATGTATTCCTACATCAACGAAGAATTGCCTGTTTTGTTGGCGGAGAAATTTGCTGGTTTGGACTTTGATACGGTTTCGCTCACAGGCCACTCCATGGGGGGATACGGCGCCTTGGCAATCTACTTGAAAAATGCCGGAAAGTACAAGTCTGTGTCTGCTTTTGCGCCGATCTCCAACCCGTCCAACTGTCCGTGGGGCGAAAAGTGCTTTGGGGGCTACTTGGGCGACGACAGAGCCGCGTGGTTGGAATATGACCCTACCGTATTGATCAAGAAGTACGACGGTCCCGTGGCTCCGATTTTGATCCATCAGGGCTTGGCCGATGCTTTCCACTACAGGGATAACCAGTTGCAACCGGAGAACTTTTTGAAGGCGTCGGAAGAGAGCAAATTCAAGGGCAAGGTGAGTGTGAACTTGGTCGAGAAGTTTGACCATTCATATTTCTTTATTGCCTCCTTTGCGAAGGAGCATGCCGAACACCACGCAAAGTATCTTGGTTTGGTAGGGCCATCTCTTTAAGTTCCGAGGCCTTGTTTGACTGAGAAGCGAGGTCTCTAAGTTTACTAGCGTGCTGAATTGATGTGTTACGTCCAGCATGACTCAGTATTCAAGATTTAATCTAATTGAAATTATTCCTAATACTTTTTCATTAGTAACAGTTTACCGTGGTGATACATACTGTAGTGGAGCGGGATCAACACTCTAAATATAGGTCATATATTTAAGAACCATATCCAATGGTTGGAAGCGTAGAGAGGCACTTAAAGAGTGAATGGTAGGTCTTAAATAATAATAAATTAACTGAAATGTAGCCAATGGGTTACGATTAACACGCTATCTGTGGTTCATCATTTGAGATAGTTTATAGCTATATATTCGACAGGTATCCATCTAAAAGGCGAAAAGGAACTTACCCTGGAGAGAGAAATCAGCCCCAGAGTACTCGGCAGGGAGCCATAGAGGTAGCATCATGGAAATGTACGATATCGATATTATAAACAACTTTTATTAGCACTCATTATATGATATATCAGCGATTAAAACTTCAATTGAGTTGAAAGTGCGCATAATTCGTCCAGGATTGTGCTTCATCCAGAATTGTTCTTTGCCCAGGATTATTCCTCGTTATTTATATTGTATCTGGATTAGCTACCCATGACTACACTTTCGCTACACCAAGTGAGAATAGCTATCCTTTCCTACAGACCAAGTTCTGTAAGGGTTAAACCCATGCTCGTATATGTAACAGAACTGCCTTCTTTGGAATGGCTGGACTAAACTAGAATTTTTTTTTTTTGCGAAGCCAAATGCATTAATGTGTTTTCACTAATAACTTCATTGTAAAACAAGGAGCTTTAATTGATGTGTGATACTTTGGCACGGGTGACCAAAAGGTAAGATACCTAAGCCTGTACCTATAAGTTACATTTCCTTAAAAGACCTGTCCTTCACTTACACAGCTTAGTTACTGATAAACTTATATTCATATTCAAAATACTATCACTATATTTATCGAGCCCAATTTTCCATCTCTCAGCCTATTTATACATCAGCAACAATGGCACAGCTCTGCCAGCCTCCTGCGGCAATGGCTACGGCTTTCTTCCCGCCCAAATCCACCTCTAACGGTTTGTGAACAGTAACACTGCTCTCATGGAGCGAGCCCCCGTTGCGGAACACCTCCTCCGGCACGCCCAACCCGAGACACCCACACGAGTTCGACTCTCTACCCCAGCTGAGCAACGTCCCGTTCTTCAAAAGGCCCAAGTAGTGATAATCACCAACCGCAATCGAAATGAAGTTACGTTTCTGCAACTCTGGGATAATCTGCGGTTCGGTCGTCTCCCTATTCCCAATGAGCACCTGGTCGTCGCTCGAAATGGCGGCAAAGTTACGGAACGAGCCGCTCAACCGCACAAACCGCGAGCCCTCCTCTAGTCTAGCCATAAACTCGGACAACAACACCGGTCTGATGCGCTCAACCAGCTCGGGGTTTCCCACATCCACCCGATACAACTCGCCCTTCCCGGTGATAAATACCACAAAGCCGTCGCAGGCCACAAAGTCCACCACGCGAGCGTCACCGCGGACCGCACCAGTCCCACGGATCACTTTATAGTGGGCTCTAGCAGTGTGTTCCACGGGATAGGCTTTATCCAGTTTTGGTACGGCATCGCGCTTGTGCCAGACGATAATCCCAACATTGAGCACGTACGCCGTGGAAATGTTCCACCCCGCAGCGATTTTGAGAATTGCATTTCCACTAGAGAGTTGGTCGAAGTGAAGTCTAATTCCCATCCTCTGCGCGGGGTGGTCCCAGGACCAGATGCTGCCTTTGGAATCAAGGGCAATAAAGTGGCAGCGTCCAGATGACAACGCGATAAACTCCACCGGTACTGGTGTTTTCATAAGTGATACCACACCTTCCTGGGTTTCCACCTTAGGCACGGAGGGAGGGGCCTGGGTAGTTGTTGGTGGCTCCGGTCTACCTCCTGGCTGTGGCATTGGAACATCGCTGATAGGCGTAGCGGTAACAATAGGTGAAGTAGCGGTGGCTGGAAGACCAGTGACCCGAGAAGAAGGTGCGGCGGTGGAAGGCTGCGGTGGTCCGAGAAAGTCACGGATTACACCACCAATTCTGCCCATAGGAAAGGGGGTCCCGGGGAACAACGGCCCCAACGTCAAGCCACCAAGGCTAGTGGATGTTGGGGCATCCACTGAAACATCAGTGGGGGCATCAGTGGGGGTAGGGACGGGGTGTCCGTGGTTGGCGTGGATTACACCGCCAACTCTGCCCATAGGAAAGGGAGTCCCGGGGAATAACGGCCCAAATGTCAAAGCATCTGGGCTAGTGGACGTTGGGGCATCCGCTGAAACATCGGTGGGAGCATCGATGGGGGTAGGGACGGGGTGTCCATGATTAGCGTGGATTACACCACCAACCCTGCCCATAGGAAAGGGATTCCCGGGGAATAACGGCCCAAATGTCAAAGCATCTGGGTTAGCGTCCGTGGAATCTTCCGGTGCCACCCTGGTGGCATTCCCCCCAGCATTATTTCTCGTAGCACCACCTCTGATCGGCAAACTGACACCTGGGCGGGTCTGAAAGTCGTAGCTATCCGGTCCCGGTCCCACTTGCCCCCCATTCCAGCTGCTCCCGGTGGAGTAGATCTCTCCATTGCTGGTCAAGATCTGAAAAGAGAAGCCTCCAGCCGTGACGTCAGCGAGCACCACGTGTGAAAAAGCGTTGATGGGGAATGGTCTCACGACAGCTGTGGTAAATCCCGCACGTCTGGCGTATTCTGGGGGGATATTTCTGGTGGCCGTACCTAATCGCCCCGAATCGGGCTTTCCCCAGGCGTAGAGCTTGGAACGGGCACGACGCTTAAAGAGCTCGGGCCATTTGCTCGAGGTGAAGCTAAGTGGCGACGGCTTCCAGCCAAAAACATTGTGGTACATTCCCTGCCATACAATGGGGTCGTTAACCAAGGCGTGTGTCGCTTTGCAGCAGCGAGAAAGCGCCTCCATGTCGGGCACAGAGAGCTGGGGAATAATGTTGGCGGCAATCACATCCGGTCCTAGGTCTAAAAATGTAATAGGCATGACAATGGTAAATATTCAAAGAGTGTATGAAGTTCAACAATCAAATATTATGATAGAAAGGATGAAGTTTGAAAGCTGAATGGGAACGCCCTAGTCTAAGTGGCAATTGAAGCCACTCGGCTATGAGGCAACCTTGCCTTATCGTAGTCCTGCACATAGCCAGAGCAACCCTTCGCATGCTATCGGCATGTGTCAAAAAGGGGTATCCTTGTATGCCTAATATAATAAACGAGTTAAAATGGGCGTAAATCGAAATTGCCAAGTTTATCTAGTTTAATGTTTCCATTCTCGTTTGTTTCAAGAGGGCAATCAGCTGTTAAAAGTTCACATTGTGGTATGCCAACCACGAGGGATGAAAGTCTTTTCGTATAACACATAGACCTAGAGAGATATATTGATCTTATCCTTGAGACAGATTACGGAGCAAAGTTTTACTAGGTTAGTAAATAATTACATGAGAATTTAGGTTCTTTTCTTTATTATTTTTATCCCCCAAAAACAATTTCCTTGGATAACCTTCGACAACAAAGAGTTATGACTAGGATATTTTCATGGCCTGAAAAACTCAAGAGTGCAGGAGTGGTTTAGGGGTAAAATCTAACATTCCCATTGTTAGGCCACGGGTTCGAGTCCCGTCTCTTGCATACTGTCTTTTTGCCAGGGAGGTTGATGAGATCTCAAGGTATAAGTTTTATATAGCCGCTTATAATGACAGCTGGAGTCAACTTTTCGTGTCGACAATGGTTAAAATAATAAGCGTAGCTAAGAAACTACAAATGGTAAATTGTTAACAATAAGGTAGGGATGGCTCAACACAGAATTTATATACCATTAAGGCCTACGGGGAAGCAAGTATCCAACTTTAGCTAGCAAATAGAACCAGATAATTTTAGTAATAAACTAAGACCCATGAAACCTACGTTTAGAGTCTTGTGCTTGTTCTACATAGCCACCCCATCCTCCATTACCAGATAAAGCCACCTATCTATCCATCCTATTTGGTTAAGGAATAAAAAGCCACTCTTAGCACACACTAGAAAATACTTTTCATACACATACTACTGAGATTTCTTGCTTGAAGATTTGATTTACGGTCTTTGTTTCGTTCGAGTCACTCGTCACACAGCCGGAAATGTAAATTAATGCTATAGATCTAAATGGGTCGGGATTAATGGCATTCCACGCGATGGAAAGACCTTCATCGGATATTTACGGGTCCCTCTCGAGCTTTTAGCTTGTGACACATGCCAATTATCAGTCCAGTTGAGCTAGTATAAACGTTAAAAGGTGCCTCATTAGATCCAAATCATTTTGAGTATCGCCTGACAGTGATTACGGTTATCTGCTAGCATCTCGCTTTCATAGTTAATATATAACCTACGTATTTTCACTCGATATCGATATTAATTACATGGCATAGAATTAATATACATGTACGTATTTGCTTACCATCCACCGTACTCTTTAGTTCAACCCTGTGCTATGCACTTGGCCTCACGGGTAACTTCAGGATGGTTCCCTTCAAAATCTCCTTTAACTTAAACAAATTCGTGACCCTTAACTTCTCATTATCCAAATGGGCATTGTCGCTTGCCTGGCCGCACGGAATCTGCGCCACTGGTGCACCAAACACTTTCTCCATGTACCTTAACGTCGGGATAGACCCACCTTCTCGGATAAATAACGGCTCGACACCCCATGCGGCGACAATCTCCTGGCGCAAGATCTGGAACGCGGCGTTACGCGGATCCCCCAACCACGGCTCCGCCACCACCTGAACGTCCACCGAAAGCCGGTTGTCCGACTGCAGTTGACGAAACTTCTCCTCAAGATAAGCCTCCAAGTTCTGCTTGATAGCCTCTGTGTCCTGCTCTGGGATAGTGCGGATGGACAACGTTGCGCGAGCAAACTGGGAAATCACCGTGTTGTTGTCTGGGCCGGAAACTGTGACTTTGTGGACCGTGAGCGACGGTTTGACCCACCGGCGCATCAACGCCTCGGGATTCACATCTACCTTAATCGCATCCGCAAGCTCGTGGAAGTACTCAATATCCTCAGGGCTCAACTCCTTCACAGTGTTGTAGAAATCTGGCACCATCACTCTTCCGTCATCGTCGGATAACGTGCCGAGAAGGCGGATAAGGTCCATCGTGGGTTCCCGGGAAACCCCACCGTCCACCCCAGAATGGCGGTCCGGGCGGTCCGAGCCGATTTCGACTGAAGCTTTAACCACCCCGCGGAGACCATAATTAAGGCAAGGGGTGTGGTCGTCGAGCCAGTAAGAGTTGCTGAGTAAGATCCAGTCAATGTGGCCGATTTGCTCGCGGTTGCGCTCAACTGCAGCGCGGAAACCGCGTGAGCCGTATTCCTCTTCGCCTTCGATAAGGAAAACAACGTCTGAGGCGAGTTCGCCAGCGCTGGCGAGCTCGGCGACAGCAAAAATCGCCGCAAGTACGGGGCCTTTGTTGTCGGTGACACCGCGACCGTAGAGGTTGCCATTTTTGGCGATGAGCTGGAAAGGGTTGGTGTGCCAGGTGTCATCGATGGCCTCGATGACGTCGTAATGACCGTACCAAAGCACACGGGGACAGGGACTTCTGGAGGCAGATTCGGAAAAAACTCCATCACCGGAGCTTCCTGAGGCGTCGCCCGAACTATTGCCAGAAGGCTTGGAGGTTTCACTTGAAGCCTTACCAGTAGCGTCGCTGCTATCTGAAACACTGGAGTCTGAGGCACGGGCTTCACTCACACCCCGCTTAATAGCTTTGAAACACGCATATACAATTGGGTTCCCACAGTCCGTCGAGATTAACTCCGCTACCGCCCCGTACCGCATAAACAACCGGTATAAAAATCCCGCACACTGCCGCGAGTCATGCATGTGTTGCTCTGGGTTCTTTGACACCGTCTGATACGCTACAAAGCGCTCTAATGTCTCGAGTAAATGGTCGTTCCCAAAATTCTGGAGTTCACTGGACTGGGGTGGGTTTTGGAAGTCGTCAAGACACCACACGATAACCGAGTTGTCCACCCCGCCAGAAACGAGAAAATACCGGCCACCGCGCTGGAAGATACTCACCGCTAGGGCGTTGCCGCCATGGGCCATCCAGTCCTCCTTCTTCTCACCCGTGAGTCGCCACTTGTAGACCCCCGACTTGGTCACTTTGAAGATACAGTAGTTGTTCGTAGCAATCGCTTGGACGTCGCCTTCCGCCTGGAACTTCAAGTTCTTGATCAACTGGAGCGTGCTCAAGTCCCAGATCTTAACCTGGCCATCCGTGAGTCCCGCGTAGAGGTATGTACCACTGATGTCGAGACAAAGCACGCAGTCCTCGTTGTCGAGCGAGGCGAGTAGCCGCAAGCCCCCGGCAAGGCCCCAGATACGCACAAAGCCGTCACCGCCGGAAGTGAAAAGGAGTTCGTGCGCCTGAAACGCGCCAAAGTCGAGTCCGGGAACGAGCTTCATCGCATAGACGTAGCCGTTGTGGGCGTAACGCTTGATATTGGCAGAGGGAACCTCGATAAGCATGGAGGTTTGCTGGGCGGGAGATTTGGTCTGGAGGGGATTCATGCTGCCTCCAGGGCCTTTAGAGTCAAAGAATTTGTCCCAGCGGCGGGAAGGAAGGCGGTCGGGACGAGCAACCAGGCCCGGTACGGGCACGGTACTCGGACTAGGACTAGAGCCAGTGCTAGAGATGGTGCTAGAGACGGTACTAGAGTCTGTGTTTGCGTGAGACAAGGGAAAGGTTCCAAGACCCTGTGATTGGCCTCTGGCCTCGCTTGGCGTTTCGTTTCTGTTCTCGTCGCTAGTCTCACCGCTAGTCTCGCGGTGGTCCTCGTCTTCGCCTAGATCAAGAGTCACCCACGATACCGACGCGTTCTGCGCGCCAAAATAAAGTGTCTTGAGCGACTGTGACCATGCAATGCTAAAAATATCTCCGATATCCACAAGTGAGTATATCGTGAGCATCTCCTCCAACCGCTTCACACTCCAAACCTTCACGAGCGAGTCACAGCCCGCAGAGAACACATACTGCTCACAGCTGGAAGCCGCAAGACAGAGCACGGACCCCGCGTGGCCGCTGAGCTCTGCACGTTTTTCGTACGCGTCGAGGTCAAGCACGAGGATCTTGCCGTTCTGGGTCCCTACCCACAAAAGGCCCAGCTGTGGCAAGGCGACAACAGAGATGATGGAGTATCCATGGCTCCATTTGTGGACGAAGGAAGGCAAGGAATTATTGGCAGCAAGGCTGGACTCGGAATTTGTGTTAGGCAGCGGCGAATTGCGCAGCGTCGTGTCGTATGATTCTGGAACCGAAAGTGACAGCCACATGACCGAATCGTTGGGGTGGAGGCTGCTGAGACCCATGATGTAGGCAGAAAGAGGATGTGAAGATAACAGTGACTGAACTGAAATATACAAATGGCCTCTGGAAAAGAATAAGAAATATGGATGATAAAGATAAGGCAAGAGGCCAGTTCAAACCAGTCACCTGAGCCATATCGAAGTTGACCTGCATGGGGAAATCGACAGGTCACGTGTAATCACCCACTGCGGCCACGGCGGGTTTGGGGCAGAGCCAGGTCACGCAAGTCGTTCAAGACAATACGATCAGTGCGATTTTCTGGGGGCCTCCAGTGGGATGGTACGTATTAATTATTTATTTAGCCTTTCTTTCGTCCAATTCCAGGCGGGATTTTATGCGATAAAAACGCATGGAAGGGGGCTTCCATGGAAAAACAAATCACGACTAGTCCGGCCAGCTTAACTAAGAGGTATTTTAATGCTAATCGTAAAAACATAAAGAAAAATATTGGGGAAATTAAGCAATCCAGGACCTTACATCTCAAGTCTAGACATGGAATTCTACTCCCCTAGTAGATGGCCAGAGAATACGAAGAGAGTTCATCTTAGCCAGCCAGACTGTATAAATAAACCAGCCGTATCGAATAAATCTGAGTTCATTAAGGGGATAAGATACCAATCATAGTGTACAGCACCGAGTGTATAGGAAAATAAAATACAAGGAAATACGCATTCTGAAGCCTATTTCTATTCGAGCTTCATTCGGTCCAACCAGCGTTGGCTTTTGAAGTCATTTTATACCCTCGTCTACCTACACCCTTCCAACGAAAGCACAAACCTTATATAAGATCAATATTCTATTCACAATTGCAATATACCAGAGTCGAGGGCTTTCACTCGGACCTATAAAACTTTGGTACGATCATTCAAATCCCTATTTTCAAGCCTCTATGGAATCTACAATGTTAAAATCACGCTAGGAAAATTCAATAGGTCATAAAAATCTCACATGCAGTATCTTCTAATAAATATCATTTAAGCTCACACGGCAGGAAGTACTTTTCTTCCGCCTGGTATAGCTGCTGGCACTCGATGATGCGCAACTCGCAGTGCTTCATGCTCTCAGCAGACCCGATGGTCCCCCGCAAGGCCTCTCCCACCTCCCTGATCACCAAGCGATTTGTGACATGTAACACGTCAAGCATCACCGACAAAATCTCGTTCACGTTCTCCGCAAACGCGCGCTTGTGTTTCGCCACTCGGTCGAGAAGCAACGCCGAGAACAAGTCGCCCACACCTGTGAAGTACGAGTCGATGTGAGGAATCTTGAACAAAGTGACGATGCCCTGAGATGACGCCACCGCAAAAATAGACTTGCTAGAGGTGGGGTCAGCCCTGTCGCACGTTGTACGCTGCTGGACCTCATCCGGAAACTCAAGCGCGAGCGACGAAATCACCACGTGCCTCACGTTGTATTCTTCATGCAAGTACGTAAGACACCGCTTTAAACTGGCAGTATCAGTGATGGAAAACCCCACAAGAAGCTCCGCTTCGAACTGATTCGGCGTGATGATGTCCACGAGTCCCGACCTAAGGATGGCCTTGTAGGCCGGAATCACACTCTGTTCGACATATAACTGCCCCTCGTCACCCATAACCGGGTCCAATAACCAGATACACTCGGTGTCCCGCCGTTTGATATCCACACAAATCTCGCCTACCGCCTGCACCGCCTCATCACCCGGAATGTAGCCGGTCAAGAGCGCGTCATAGCGGAAGCCGATGTCCTTCAAGCCGTGGTAGATGTCTCGCAATTGTCCCGCGGTAGTTTTAGCCCCGTACACCTGCCCGTAGCCCGTGTGATTTGAAAAATTAACGGTGTTTAGCGTGTCCACGTCCCAGCCCTGACACTGCATCGGGAATGTAGCCGCCCGATTGCCCACGTATCCATGGACCACGTGTGACTGGATAGAAAGAACTTTTTTCGCCGGGAGGATATCCTCTAACATTAAATACGGTAGGAATGCTATCTAGGCGAAAGGATAAGCGATTGTGGCAGATTCTGAGTCGATATACGCCTCGATGTGTCACCACTCGGGAATGACTGAGTTATGCTGGTAACCGCACGACTGCGGGGTGGTGGTGGCTCACAAATAAAGATAGCACACCCTTTGCTTCCCTTTGTTTCTCGTAGTATGATAAAAATTTAAAAATCACATTGTACTGTTTCATGACTCCTCGGCATATTCCTTTAGAGGTGTTAATTGGAAACTACCTTGGGATTTGTTTGATAATATTTGCCACTACAACTAATCTAAACGTTTCGCTACTCTTTACATCCAATTCACTGGCGATAAACGTGTTTTTATACAATATACAGGGGATGGAGCCCACACCCTTCCTTAAAAAATTCTCACCCTTAGAACTTTCTCTTCTTCCCCCCCTTGGCTGGACGAGCGTTCTTCGCCTGCTTCTGCTCCTTAATCGCTCTTTCCCTTCTGATCTGCTCAGTCGACTTGATCTCATTGCTTGCCTGGCCCTTCTTGTTCCAACCCTTGACATGCACGCCCGACTCGACCGCCTTCTCCACCTTCTTCTTCTGCGTATGGTAGTCATCTCTGAACTTGTCTGGTAATTTTGGTGCGCTCACCTTCTTGTGCACAAACTTGTTGCCCCTGACGGTCGGCTTCTCCTGGGACCCAACCTTCATGTCGCCCACACCTCTGGCGTGCTTCCAGTTCTCATACCTCCCAGACCTGTAGGTGGCTGGAATCTTCTGTCCACTCTCACCGATGATGTACTTCTGGTCAGTCGACTGCTGGTTGATATACTTCTTTTTCTTGGTGTCCCACTTCATGACCTGGTTTGGTCTGCCTCTGATCTTGTCATCGTTATCCAAGTCGAACGCGGCATTCGCAGCTTCGTTCACAAACGACGGCTTGTATCTTTCGCCACCGTTGTTCACCGCGAGCTGCTGGTCCTGGATGACATTTGTAGGAGCATAATGGGAAATAAAGAAGTTTGGATCTCTGAACGACTTTTTGGTCTTGGTCGACTTCTTCAACGCGGCATCACCGTCCTCAAATGCCTCAGTCAACTCCTGCTCATTACTCACCGTGTAGCCAACCTCATTGCTGTCCCCCTTCAAGATTTCATCCTCCAAACCATGAGTAAACCCGGCCATTCTCTCCATCTCGAGCAATTCCCGCTTCTCTTTGGCACGTCTCTGGATTGGCGCAATCTGTCTGCGTCTCTTGTTCATCAAGGCAACCATGCTATCATCGTTCTTCCCAAACTCGAACACGGTTTCTTTGGAGTACCGGTTGGACAACTTGGCCAAAAATGCCTCCTTCTCCTTCTCAAGGTTAGCCCCGAAGAGAAGGTGCTGGTCGTCCCACGCGGCATTGATGATCTCTTTCGACCGCTTCATTGACTCTGGCGAGGCGGACGATCTGGTTCGGAAGTACAACTTCTCACCTTTGACCGCCACGTCTTTCAACGTAGAAACCTCATAGTTGTTCTTGATAAGGTTGTCGTACGTCTCCTGATAGTCTTCCAAGACAGTACGTGGAGCGGACCCGATCACCAAACGGTCGATGTACGACACCTTTGGCTTGAGATAAACCGCCAGTTCCTCCTCGCACTTTTGCTTGATGAGCTCACACTTCTTATCAAACATTGCGGTGAGCAAGAGCTTGCGCCCGAGGAAGAGCTCCAAGTCTAAGAGGTACGGCAACTCCTTCTCGCTGATAAGCGAGTACGCCCAACCCTTATTCCCCGCTCTCGCAGTTCTCCCCACTCTGTGGATGAAGATCTTGGATGACGCTGGAAGCGAGTAGTTCACCACGTTGGCAAGCACCGGAATGTCAATACCTCTGGCGGCGACGTCAGTAACCACTAAAACATTCGTCAATCCGGTCCGGAAGTTGAGGAGCTGCTGCTTTCTCGCGTATTGGTCCAACGCACCGTAGATGTACGACACGGCATACCCCACCGCCTTGAGCATCTTGGTGATGTACTCGACGTGGTGCTTTGTTGGAACAAACACAATGGTGGAATGCGGTGAAGGGAGCTGGTTGGCTGGCGGTAATCTCGGACGAAGCTTCTTCTTGCGCTTCTTGGTCTGTTCCTCGTCAGACTCCTCATCTGATGAATCTTTGTGCTTACTCATTGCACGGAGCTTTACCAACTGCTCTTCGGTGGCCAACGGAAGGTGAATTACCTCCTGTAACGTGAACAACAAGTTCGCCTCACGCTCATTTCGCTTGGTAGTGAAATACGCCATTTCCAAGTTTTCTGAAATTTTCGTCTCAGCGTCTAAACGCACCAATACCGGGTTCGTCAAACCGGCCTTTGCAAAGTCAATCAAGGAAGTTGGTAAAGTGGCAGAGAACAATAAACTCTGTCTGTTAGGAGGCAAGGCTGCTAACAATTCGTTCAACTGCTCAGAAAACCCCATCTCGAACAATCTATCAGCTTCGTCGAACACAATGTATTCTACAGCCTTCAAGTCAAGCTGCATTTCCGTCTTCAAGTGCAAGAAACGGCCGGGCGTGGCCACCACGATGTCGGGGTTGTTCGTCATTGACGAAAACTGGTCGTCTAACGAGTCACCTCCCATCAACACAATTGGTCTGAGATCCGTGCCTCGGCTGAACTCCTTCACTTGCTTATACGTCTGGTTCGCTAACTCTCTGGAGGGGGACAAGATTACCGCTCTGACCCCAATCTTGGCGCTGTGTGCCTTTAACTTCTCAATCACTGGGAGCACGAACGCGGCAGTCTTACCCGAACCGGTTCTGGCCATCCCAACCACATCTCTGTTCTGCAAAATGAGTGGAATGGTCTTTCTCTGGATCGGCGTTGGCTGCTTGAATCCCTTCTTGCCGATATTCTGGAGGATAAATTTGGACAACCCGAAACTCGCGAAGGACCCATTTTTGGCCTTCTTCGCCAGCGGCGTCTGCGACGTGAAGTACGACAGGATTTCCTCGTCCTGGCCCTCATTATCTGAGAGCTCTAACGACGGGAACGCCGTCTTGGTCACCTTGGCCACCTTGGCCACCTTCTGTTTCTTCTTTGGCTGCTCCTCGTCGTCCGACGACATGATTTCGTCCTGGAACTCGCCATCGGACGCGATATCAGACTCGTCGGACGACCCACTGATGTCCAATGCAATGTTACTCGCAATGTCGTATTCTTCGTTATCAGACATGTGTGAGAGAAAGAGGATGGAAAGAGAGATGGGATGAGCTGAGAATTTTTATTTTCTGCGTATAATTTTTCATAAAAAAGAAAAAAAGCATGCGAGCCGCAGGGATACATACAGGATATGTGAGATGAGCAGGGAAATATCAGTAACGTGGTAATAGAAAAGGTTACTAAGACAATATGGGTGAAAAAGACTCTTAACGTCGGTAGCCCTTTTTTTCAAAGCATTTATTAGAAGCGGCTTAAGAGAAGGGTGCTTAGTTTGTAGCTATTCTCACACCAATTTCACACTTTTTTGTACAAGGCTTTCTTAGTTGAGCCAGGATGTCACAGGGTTAATAGCTTTTCTTGGCTTGCTGTTCTCCTAAATTCATATAAATGTCGATACCTTGACTTACACTAGTATACGGATGAAATTCTACTTCCTGGTATCAAAGAACAATCAGCTACTGGCTCATCTGTCCAGAAATATTGATGCATGCTAGAGCTGCAAAATTTCAGTCCTTGAACATCCAATCGCCTCTGCCTTAATCTACCATTACGACTTACCACTCGATTCATTTACCAGGACCCAGTATTTATTTCTTGACTACCATCTTGAATGCTACTTGGCGTGCATTCAGGGAATTGCTCAGACATTTAACCATTGAGCAATGACCCCTCCTTTCATTTAATATTCGATACATCCTCTCAACCCCTACCAGGCTGACCTATGTCTTACAATCTCGAAATCAGGAATAAGCATAAACAAAGATGTCGAGGCCAATTATAATACACTCCTATAAATCACTTAGAAGGACAACAAGTCGAGGTCGTTGGGGTTGCTCTGGGTGCTCTGGGTGCTCTTAGCTGGAGCCGGCACGGAGCCCATCCCGAGGAAGTCATCGTCGAAGGTGCTGGCCGCCGGCGTCGGCTGCTGAGCCGGCTTGACGTGAGCCTGGGCATGGGACTGCGTCTTGGCGGAAGAAAACAAGGAGCTGAAGGCATCGTCTTTTTTGGCCGGCGTGGCAAACGGTTGAGGAGCCGCAAGAGGGGCAGGCGCCGCATTCGCATATGTTGGCGTAGCGGTGAAGGCCCCGAAGTCCCCAAAGTCGTTGGTAGCGGTAGGAGCAGTCTGGTACAATCCGTTGAGGTTTAAGCCCGTAGGGGCTGGGGCTGGGGAGGCGCTCTGGAAGTCGTCAAAGTCATCATCGTCATCTTCCTCAAGAGTGGACTTTGGTGCTGGAGCTTCGTCAAAAGAGAACAAGTTGACCTCTGGAGCCTTGGAAGCGCTGGCGGTAACTCTGGAGGTGGAGGTGGTGCCATTGGCTCTGGATCTCAGGCTCTCACCAGCGTCATATTCTTCAAACTCCTTTTGACCACCGGTTCTGTGCTCCTCGTATCTCTCACCGTAAACCCCACCATCCCCATAAACGCGGTTGGTGGTGTATTCATCATCATCGTACGTGTGACGCTGTCTTGGTCTGTTAGAGGGAGCACCACCCACATCGGCAGAGGCAACACCACCAAACTTCTTGGCGTTCTCTCTGGCTTTTTTACGCTCGGATCTGATCTGCGACTCATCGTTCAACAAGCTGATCAACACCTTTGCACGGTTGCGCACGTTAATGCCCTGGTCCTGGCCCTTAGAATCCACGTAGTGGAAAGAGCGTAACATTGTGATGACGCTGATGTTGGCTCTGGCGTCGTCCACGAGTCTCTCAGACCCGTTTTTGATCAAGTACTCCAACAACTGTAACGCCTTGTAGATCTGACGCCATTCGTTGGCGGCCTTCTCGGTGAAGCGTCTGAAGACCATCCCGATGATCTCCTCTCTCTCGCGAAAGTTGTACGTTCCGGCGGCGATCTGCTGCATTAACGATGAGCTTGCACCCCATGGCTCGTTGTTCGTGGCCTCACGGACCTTGGACTCCATCTCCGTGAAGTTGTAGACCACTGCGGGTGTTAGTGCTGATCGGCAAGATTTTCTATGTATACGCACCATTTTGCGCTTTGCGCACATATGCCTTGACTTCGTACAAGTTCAAATCCTTCAATTTCTTGTTCAAAATGTCCATCGTGTGTGTGTATAGAGAGTTAGCGGAAAGAGCGGGCTGAGTTGACATAACCGCTAATATGGGCAATCGATAGGGTGTCCGTAACGGCAGCTGGTACGGACACGCCCAAACCACGCCAACGGGACACGAAGTGCCCTTAGTAATTGTTTTTTTCCGCTTGAACAGTCGTTAATAGCACTTTTTATTAACGGTTAGTGTATTAACTATTTAAAATTTATTCTCTGTGGGCTTGTGACGACGCCTGTGATACGGCACACGGTGGCAAGATGGGTCGAGGCGTGCACTAATCTACTGAGCCAAAGGTCTTGGGGCTAGAATCAAGGCTGGTATAATGCGATTCTACATACGGTTTCAATATACATAGAAAGGAGATTTTAAGGGCTGGCTAGATACTTTTGAATGGGCCCAGATAAAACCCGGAAAATAGGTTTTTTTTTTCTTTAAGGTCTTGGCGTTTTAAGGGCTCCGGAGTTCCACGTCATACAAAATTTGCTTGCCCTCGAAGTGCATTTGAAAAAGCCGCTGCTTAGCTGTAGAGTATGTCAATTACTTCAATCGTCTTACTAGGCTAACCTGGTATCCTAGCTAATTATTTAAATACAAACCTGTTTTCCAATTGGAATGGCTTTTTGGCAAATCTCGGGTATATGGTACAGTCGGGGCTATGCCGGTACATAAGGAGATATCGACTGCCTAGAGTTAGAAGAAGTCCCTGGTATATCCGGCCTAGTAGTCAAGTAGATGCTCCAGCACTGAGTAACGTTCCCCTGAATTCGGGATAAAAGCTCAAAATGGTTAATATAACATTGGCCAGCCTCTAATTCAAACCCCTCCGACGGAAGTACTGACTTTATTGGCCATAACTCTTTGGTTTATTCATAGCTCCCTCTGGCCCTTTAATTATCATCCTTTAAAGAGTAGGCATGGTGATGCTGGAAGCCAATTACCATCTCACGCCAACGTAAAAATCACCTTCAGTCCATGCCCACATACGAAGAATCAGGGACCTACAGCTAGCACAGTCGCTCTAATAATACCATATCTTCACTGTCTTTAGCGGAAATCGCCTCTTACAGCTTTCTTTCTCTTTTTAAAATATCACCTCCTTACACTTATCGGTATATCATTAAATTGATTCAAACTGTTCATAGGAATTACTTACAACTCACCACACTCTTCAATGACGACGCGGGCTCTGGTAGCACCGGACTGGGAGCCAACGGCCTCGATGGCCTCGACGGTTTCATAACCCTTAGTGACTTCACCGAAAACGACGTGAGCACCGTCCAACCACGGGGTGGCAATGGTAGTGATGAAGAACTGGGACCCGTTGGTGTTCGGACCAGCGTTGGCCATGGACAACAAACCCGGCTTGGTGTGCTTCTTGGCGAAGTTCTCATCGGCGAATTTTTCGCCGTAGATGGATTTACCACCGGTACCGTTACCGCGGGTAAAGTCACCGCCCTGCAACATGAACTGCGGGATAACTCTGTGGAAGCTGGACTTGGCGTAACCGAAGCCCTTTTCACCGGTGCACAAGGCACGGAAGTTTTCAGCGGTCTTTGGAACGACGTCGTCGTACAATTCGAACTCGATTCTTGGCTGGATCTGACCGTTGATCGATGGGGTGAAGAAAACCTTCTTGCCCATGGCAACGGTAGAGGTGGAGAACGTACGGATGGTGGCTCTGGAGAACATTGTGGATGGGGATGAAAGGCAAGGTCCAATGAAGAGGGTGTGAAATTTTATAAAAAGCGGAGCGGGGTGATTGTCATTATGGTTGCGCGCCGCAGAGAATTGGTCAGGGGACGACGTTGGTATCATTGGAGGATACCCCCAGTACATCGGCCGCAAATTAGTCAGCGCATGTCTTACCGTTCTGTCCAGAATTGAGTGCAAGTTTAATTAAACTCGGGTCAATAATGTTTTCCTATATTTCCTATATCTGTGGTATTGAGTACCGTTTGAAAAGCTTGGATTCTGGGAGAAAACGCCTGATCGAGCGAAAGTTTTGCTATGGAGGTAGCCAAATTATCGGACTAAACTTCCGCAAAAGTAATTATATACAAGATACGGTGGGTGCGATTGAGAAAATTTATAGGTGAAGAATCTCAAAAAACCGCTGAAAAATTTTTGCGAGTTTTATATACGAACATGGGGAGATGAAAGACGTCAGTAAATTGTTGTTGTCTTGGTAGGTTGGAATGGGAAACCATTCGCGGAGAGGTGGCTTTATCTAACAGCAACTGTGAGTTACAGAAAACCTTGTCATCATACAAGATCGGGTTCCTAAATCTGGATCACGGCATCTCGAACTAGGGGCGATCGGAGAATTTATCAAGCTTTAAATTTTCTCCGGGACATTACAAGGTTAACCACTTACAAGAAGCCCTTACACCTAAGACTCATCAAAGGTTACCGTCATAATTTAGAGAAAAGGTGCTCCGATTTAATTATACACCCAGACGGAGTCTCAACGGTGGCCGCTCAAAAATACACTTTTCACAGTAGAATGGCGATAGCAGCATTCACCTGACCGATAAGGATGAACATCCATCTCACGGCTGCATCGTAATCCTGATCCCGCAAAGCTTCGGACAAACCCGGGAATACATCACCGGGATATCCTTCTTCTCTGTGGGGGGCATACACCGCGTGCTTCATCCATGGCCTCGCGGTTAACCCTTCCTCGTACAAGAACGCCTTATCGAGGGCCAATAGTATCCGGTTCGCACGCTTGATCCGGAATGCAAGTTTGATCTTGTAATAGAAGTGGAACCAAGCGTAGTCCTGTGTTACTTCCCTCTGAAGATCTCCGAGGTACGCATCAAACGACGTGGCAGTGGCATGGAAATCGTTCAATCTCTGCCGGAGGTGTTTCGATACATCTGAGAAAACAATAAATCCATTGAAATCACGCGGGTTGGTGAGCCATGGATGGAGAAGTTCCAAGCTTTGGTAGTATTCATATAGCTTTGCCGCGTAGTCTGCGGTCCGCATGTACGTCACCTCATTTTCTGATAATTGAATCGCCACCATCCCCAAATATTTCGCCATGGTGTTGTGGTAGCGGTACTCCGGATCGACAAACGTATCCATCCAGTGGATAGAGTCATAGTTCGAATGGTCGTGGAACACCGCATCGGTTTCTGAATTCGCAAACCGCATATCCACAGAGGGAATTCCAAGGTGGTGCTGGAATGAGGTAAAATCGGACCCAGACCCTAACAACCCCACTTCACCGTTGCTCGACTGGTTTTTCCAATATTGAGCCAAACTGATCCTTTGCCCGTTGAAAGACACCTTCTTTGCAGTTTCCACCAACGTTTCTTTGAGCAACGGATGGCCATTCGCCATGAAGTACGACCCTATCACCCCCACATCAAGATTCAAGTAACAAACCGCTGTCCCTTGGAGCTTGGCGGCTTCATCCTCTGCATACGCAGTGGAACCTAGCATTCCCATTTCCTCGCCATCCCATGACGCAAACGTGATCGTTCTAAGCGGCTTCCAACCCTTCTTAAGCAACCTTCCGTACACTCGGATAATCTCTATCATGATGGCAGAACCAGAGTTGGGGTCTCCAGCACCGCCAGTAGTCCACGAGTCTCTGTGGTTCCCAATCACAATCTCCTCATCCGATATAATCCCGTGGATTTTCCCTATTATATTATGCACTTGGTCCACGTAGTTACTTTGTTCGTTGTACAAGTTGAGTTCAGTGTCGATGGAGGGACCGGGAGAATAATCAAACGATTCAAGATTACCGCTCCATCCAGGCATTGAGTTGTTGTTGAGGGTGCGCAAAATCGGCTCTATGGCCTCGTAGCTTATGGGTAAAGACGGAATCTTAGGAAGGAGCGGACTTGACAGATTGGACGGAGCGCCAGGTTGGTCGGTGAAATACATAACGGAGCCTCGTTGGATGGAGCTAGGGTTTCGCGCCGGGCCGTATGGATACGGTTTGAATCCATTTTTCACCGTCATGTCCCCATCATCGCCCGGATCAGAATAAAGAACCACGCCGATTGCCCCGTACAACTCCGCGTTTTTCACCTTCAACCCGCGGAAGATCCCCCCATAGCGACAGATAACAATCCTTTGGCTGATTTGAATTCCATGAGCTAGTAATAATTCAAAGTCTTCTAGCATGCAGTAGTTGGCGAAAATGTACTTCCCGGTGACATTGCCGCTAGCAGAGTACCCGTGGTGGCCGGGGATGCCATCCTTCCGTCTAGAAGTTTCATCTTCAGGTAGCGTATCCTCCTTCAAATTAAGATCCTCCAATACTCTACCCTTCTGATCCACCAACTTGAGGTGGTTTGCGACGTGGTGACTCGTCCACACATTGTAGCTCTTTCGTGTTACGTCTAAGCCGTACTTCCGGAACTTCTCTTCGGTGAACTCCGCCATTTGAATGTTACCGGCCAAATGAGGGCCCCTGGTGTACTCCTCAAGCCACCTTCTGGCGTGGTTTGTCTCGGATAACTGGTTCAAGTATACCCTTTGCACCTCGGCAAAACTGAGCCTGTCGCCATGGAATCGCTTCAAGTCACGGCTAAAGGAAGTACGCTCGAGAAACGTGAGGTGGAAGCCAAGAATAAAGAGAATTCCAAAGAGGCATATCAGGAGGAAGCGTTTGTGGTTGTGTGGGTGAGGTTTAGGCGTCCCCGGTGGCAGTTCTGGCAATGGCGGTTCAAGTAATGGCGTTGCTTCGCCTGCTTCAGGGGGGGTTGGCATGGTGGTGGATATGTTGTACGGAACTTTCAGGTTGTTTTCATAGGTATATAATAATATTGTTTATTGTAGCTGGTATGATTCAATTGCGCTTTGTGGAAGAGTTGTAATATAAGTGAGAGGGTGTGATATTGCCCCATAATTGCTACCCACATCCGGATATGATAGAATATAGCCGAGCGCGCCGCACCAGCACTGACATCCCCACCTTACTCTGGATATGGCCCTTGAGATTCTTCTTCGAATCGTAAACTGGGTTGTGTTCTAATACGGATGTTTAGGATTAATTTAATCACTGTGTTTGAAGCAGTAATGGTTAGTATTTAATAGTGATAGCCGGTGTGGTAACACCTATTGCTGGCCTAATGGATCTAGGAACATGTGTACCGCGTGGTACTGGTACCGGTTCTGTGGAATTTGACGCCCACTCTGAGAGTTCATGAGGATAGTTATAGGTGGAATATGTATTAAGCAGGTATTGGGCTGATCGTCTCGTTGTAGGCCCTTCAAATCCCCCTCGTAGCTCCATATTTGATATCCAGGTCACTAACATTATCCGAAATTATCCGAAGGGCAACCGTTAACCATGTTGTATATTTGTATATGTGGACGTATATAGATAAAACATTATCTCCCAGGAACTTTCAATCACCTTCTGTCGATACCTGGAGATCTAGCCTCACCATACATGTATCAGTACTCCGTAAATGATCAAATTAAGACCAATCTCAGAATAGAAGCTACATGTGAATTCAAAATGAAAGGATTTCTCACTTTCCGATTAACCAAACCAGTCTACAGATAAAATTAAGAATATCAATGTTATTTTATAAGCCCCTCTACCCCCTATTTCTTACCAAAAAAGTTCATCAACGACGATTGGGTGGTCTTGCGCTTCTTGGACGAATCGCTCGCTTTCTGCTTCGTTGGAGAAGTGCTGGACTTGCGTGACGCATAACTCGAAGGCTCCTTCTCCTTCTTTGCGGAGGTGTTAACTCGCGTAACCAAGTAGCCATCTTCATCCATGAAATTTTCCACTGCTGGGGGCTCCTCTACCGGTTCAATCTCCTCTGCGGGCTCAGGTTCCTCCACTTCGATCAACGATGTGTCGATTTCAGCACCCACCGGCTCAGATACTAATTCTCCACGGGTCTCTTGGGTATCCTCAATGACCACCAGAGAGCCCTTCTGGGAACTGCTCTCATCCCAGCCGCAATCGTCGTCGTCGTTGAACATGCCCTCCAACTCCTTCAACTGTTCGTCCCGCTTGCTCGGGGCAGCCGGAGCGAGATCTTCGGGCTCAACCTCCTCCACATCCGCAATTACCACCCGTTCGCTCTTCTCCGTCTTTCTAGATGTGTACGCCGCTCTGGTTGGCTCTGTTTGGGCGCGGGCGGACGGCCTCGCCACAGGGGAAGGCGCTACCTGAACCTTTCTTGAAACATATCTCGACGGTGCCAGTGTAAACATCGAAGGTTTCTCGGCTTTCTCAACTTTCTCGACTTTCGTAGACTCGGGAGCGGTGCTGGCTTTAACCGCCGGACGGTTCGGCACCCTAGCTGGCGGCACCCTGGGGGCTCTTCTGGATGCATTGAGCTTCTTTTCTGGACCCTTAATGAGTCCCCAGGCCTTCATATGTTCGTCAGTGTACTCAAATGCGTTCATAACCGCTGGGTCCGGGAGTAGGTTCGCGGTGATGTCAGCAATAGGGGCTAACGAGTAGATGTGGACGGAGTCGATTCTCTCGAATTCCGCTTTGATGGATTCTAAGTTCGCATCGTCATACAACTTGATGGTCAAAGTGCTGGACGGACCTGCTAGTTTTCCGGAAACCATGTAGGAAGCAAAAAGCTGGTCTGTATAGGAGGCCTTGTTCTTTTCGTAAAAGGAATACAACAAGTTTTTGGCATCGTGGACCGATGTCGCGAGCTGGCGGGAGAGCAAGCGGTAGGATGCGGATTGCTTGTTGACAAAAAGCCAGTTTGAGAGGAACTTTTCACTTTCTAATTCCATACTGAAAGTCTTGGTGTGAAGGTTGTATATGGTTGAGTTGCTGGTTTTTCAGATGCGCGTTAAAAAAAATGCGACGCGTCGAAAAACGAAAACCGCACAGTGGGAGAGACCTCCAAAGTATGGCCCCAACTCAGTCAAAATTAATATGGGCGTTATAAGTAACTCAGATATTGCAAAGATATGGTATAAATACATTTTAGAAGGTGGTAGTTTGCTTTCTGTTTCAAATACAATCTATAGGGCTTTTGGCATGGCACACGATATACTCAGATTCCAAAATACCCCCTAGCTTGCCTCTTGAGCTGGTTGGAACTTAACTATTTTTTGACCTATTGCTAACTTTAGAAGAGGTGGGTACAAGTGTTACATCTGTGGAAAAGGTTTCGCTCCAACATTGGGAGAAAGTGGAGTATTAAATCCAGACCGGCTATGAGCTTGTAACGGAGGAAGCTATCTTCCTATCGTATACCACCCATTGAAATGGTCAGAATAGATTACAGCACCGCCTAGAGTGACTGATTATTCAAATATTTTACAAGGTTTTATATGATAGATTTGCATTCATGCAGCCTAGGCACCAGACTTTTCTTATAAACCTCATTTGTTGTTTATTATTGGAGCAAATTTGTGCCAACCGGTTTGCTGTAAACCATATTCTATCAGATTTTTGGGATGCACGTTCCCAAAAATTTGTTACCTAACCATTCAAGCCTATCCCCTCTCTACCACTCTATTAGCCTTTCTTCTACGTATGGCACATCCTTTAGAAAACAAGCATATGAAAACCTCGAGACGTCACTGAACTACAATCTTTTTAAAATATCTTTGATAAAATACAAATTACGAGGACTTTTCCTTCTGAGCGTTCAACAACTGGGTAGACTTGTACGACAAGTGCTTGGTCTTTTCAACAACCTGCTGGTGGACGCTGGCAGCAGTCTTGGTGATGGTGGCGGTCTCGCCAACGACCTCGATGGAGACGTGGTTGGAGGCAGCAGAGAAGGTCTTGAGCAAGGCAACGGCCTCAGCGGTGGAGTCTAAATTCAAGAGACGGGCGACCTTGGCGACATCGGCGACAGAGTAGATCTTCAGGTAGACCTCCAAGACAAAGGCCCGGGCGTTGTCAAGGAAGGAGCTAGACGAGGATGTGCAGTTGGAGAGGAAGAAGTCGGTTTTGATTATGATCTGACACTCGACGAGGTACTGCTCAACCTTTTGAATGTCAAAGTCGATGTACATGGACTTGACGAGTAAGGTGAGCGGGTCGTTGTACTCATACGACTCCTGGGCAATGATTCTGACCAAATCCCTCATTCTCTTGTGGTTCTTGGTGGAGATTACCGCCACCACGAGGTAGCGCAAGATCCACGGACACGCCGCCTGGATGGTCGACACGTACGACGACTGGAAGAACAAGTCACACATCAACTCCAAACCAGTCTCGGTGTTGGTGAAGGGGAACAAAAAGTGGTGGATGATCCAGGTTCTGTGGTGCAACTGCGTCGCCGGGTCCGCGTAAGACCTCGAGTCAATGATGTCGCGCAACTTCTGCAACTCCTGCAACGCCTTCTCCCACTGCAAGAGGATGATCTGACACGAGAGATAGCCCCAAGTCGCGGCAATGAGAGATTCAGAGTCGGTGGAAAGCAAGCGGAAAGTGTATAACAAGTCGGAGGCGGTCTCGTAATCACCCTTGTTGTACTTCAACAACCCGTACTGGTACAACTTGTTGATCTTGGAGGCGTCAATCCCAAAGTTTTTTGCGAGATACTCGCAGTTCTGCGACTTGTCTTCGCTAAAGTGCGCCTTCACGTCGTCTCTGCCGATGACGTCTAAGATCTCCTGAGTCTCGCCGCCCAAGCGCGTGGCCTCCGCCGTGAAAGTCTCTTCCTTGTCCAACAACTCCTGCGGGAAAGCAGAGGTCGGGTTCAACTTCTTGTACGTGTCCTTAACGAACTTGAACATGTTAGTGTCCTTCAACAAGTCATAGATCAACTGGTTGATCACCTGGTCGTCGTACACCGCCTCATTGCCCAAGAACTCAATCAACGGGTAGTCCAAGTGTCTGTCCAAAAACGGCACGAATTTCTGCGTCAAGTCGTATTGGCGCGCCAACGTAAGTTCCTCAGCAGTTAATGGCATAATGTGTGGTGATAGTGGAGAGGTGAATATGTGTTACGTTTTGCTAGTTAATTATATAGCGAAAAAATTTCAACGGACGTCGCGCGTGTGAAAACCATGGGCTGTGCACGCCCAGGGGCAACATTATGGGTGTGGTTAAAAAATTATAGCCATTTTATTAGTAAACTTGATGTTGAAGAAAAATGATTGAGCTGGAGGGTCCGGTGGGGGCTAATAAGGCCGGTGGGAGTATGTGCCAGTGGGCCTGGGCTTGGCGAGTGGAGTCAGGAGGGATATACGTAAGGGCTAGATAATGCGTACGTTGGGGAAAAGTTGGGTGGAAGACACGAAGAGGTAAAGGGTGGAGAACCATCTGGATTAACCATGAAGCCCTGACGTATTAGGAGAAGAACTTATTACGAAAGTCCAAGAAATTAGGTGTAAAGAAGGTGTATTGGTTTCCACCCCTTTCGTGCGTCTCGCAACCAACAAAGAACTATGACATTTGTGCTATTTATAAGCAAGCTCGAAGTAAAATAAACCTTAATGAAACGATAAATTCTTGGTCGTGTAGGTTTAGGTAAATCTAAGACTTTATATTAGTAGCTACTGGTGTATTTAGAACATCGAATCAGCTTTGGATAAAAATGCGTGCTGCCAGTGATATCCCCGGTATCTAGGTTGAATTAAACGTTTAATGGATGATTTTTGAGGAGTCATATCATCCCCACGGGACTGAGTCGTCAGATCGAATAGCAATGCATTATGGTCACTCAGATTCATTGCCTGTCACCAATAAAAAAAGTGAGCCCCGTATGTGTCTGTTCGACATTACAACCATCTGGAGCACACTACAGGTAGCCGCTACCTGGTGCCTTACTGAAAAAAAGTTTGTTACTTATGGCTATATACATAGGGGGTGTGATTAGGAGGAGGCTTCTGGTTCCGGACGCTTGACAAACTCGAGGCCTAAGAACTTTGCCTTTGGCTTCTTGGAGACAGGGATATTGGCGTAGCTCTCTGGTTCACTGTAGAACTCAACCTTACATCTCTCGACGGCAGCTCTAAAGGCCTCATCGCCGTTCTTTCTGAATCTGGTCAACTTGGCGACGTTGGTCTGGGTCAATTCATCCAATTCTAAGCCTTGCTTTTCCAACCTGGCAACAATTCTTGCGACGTACCAAAACTGGATCTCATTTGTGCCGTTGTCCACGAGCTCTAAGATGGACTGTGGTGCATTGTCACCCAATCTTGGCTCCAACTTGATGATTCTGGTGAACCCAGAGTGTCTGTCCTGGTAGCGTTCAGCAATCTCGTTGAACAACTTTGGCATGGTGACACCCTGCTCGAACAATCTTCCCTCGACTTTACTCTTGGCAAACGCGAGGTTGTCCCTCTTGGTGTATTTGATGATGTTTTCGATGTACGACTGGGCTTCCTTCGCCTTGGCGTGGGTGGTGACAATCAGCTCATTTTTAAGCAAGGCCGTAACCAAGTTACGCATAAGCGATCTCTTGTGTTGGCCGGTTCTGTTCAAGTGTCTGTGCGGCATTTTGGATGGCAACACAACCAGAGATCTTCGTTAAGCGCCGATACCTTAAATTTTTCAACCCGATTTGCGCATCTAAACTTCGCGAAGCGGTGCGATTTGGACCACGCCAACCACTGCATTTATTAGAGGTATTGCATTGGCTGCTACAAGAGACGAATGAGTGACTAACGATACAATACGATGGGTGGCAGAATTCACGGTTTTTTGGGAGGTGTGCTCTTGACAGCTTCCATTACCTATTACAATGGGTATCAGTTCAAGCAGACCCAAAAGCTTATCTCACAGTCCTTGCGCGAGTCCAAGACGCTTATTGACGAGAGAAACAAGCCTGTCGAAAGCGCCTCCAAGAGTCTTGAGTTCTCCTACAGACCGAGTGTCTGGGAGACGGTTGCAGACATCTGGAACGATGAGGTCATCAGAGGTGTCAACTGGGTCTACTCCGTCAATTGGGCCAAGCTCACCACGGATGTCGAAGACAAAATCAGCAATGCCATCAACAAAAACTAGACCCTAAGGTCTTATCCCTAAATATGATATGATTATGAATATACTCCGCCTGGGCGAAACCACAAGTGGTAGTGTAGCTTAGACTGGGGGTTACGCTGTGTGATGATATTCCATAGACTAAAAACCTGAGAATATCTCACTTTTAATGGTTGTTGTCCATTTGAAGTACACCTCATCGGTTCGTTTATTCAGGGTATAGGGTAGGCTTCCAGCTGACACTATGGGGTACGTGATAGCAACGGATGGTAGAGTGGCTGTCAGAATAGCTCACCAACGGCCAAAACCATGCTCCCTTGATTATTTTGATAACTGACTTAGTGAAAACTGGACGTATCACAGCACCCTAGATTTTTATCCAATAAAAGTAGGTTCTGTTATCATAAAAATCCCTTGCCTGTTTACAACCGCTGAGTATCGCGGCTATTTAGTTACATCTCACCCTAGACAAGTATTATTCCAATGGTTCTTTTACAAATCATTAATCCAATTATACATCGGGTAGCCACTTGCCCGTGCTTAATCATCCTTCTTTTGGACTTCCTCGGCCTGCTTATGCTTGAAGTAGTGTTTAATCTGCCAGTTCACGACCCCACTGGCTACTGGAGCAATGAGGGCAAAAATAAAGGCCATAATGGCCTGGAAGAGCCACCAAGAGCGGGGACTGGCCCCCAACATGGAACAGCCCAACACCCAGCCGATGTTATCAGTCGTCACCATCTCGTACCCCCACTCCAACTGGCTGAGAATCTTCTTGACGCACAATTCGCAGGAAATAGCTTCGGACGGACCCTCGATAATCGAGGTGATTTCCGGCTTGGTTTTGTTCTCCTCGACGTATCCTTCGGAGTCAAAGTTTCCGGGAAACACGGCTGACACCCTGATGTTGTACGGGATGCACTCCTGTCTCAAAACGTCGGAAAGCGCTCTAATACCGGCCTTCAAAGGGGCGTATTGGCCATAACCGATAAATGGGAAGAACGCCACGACCGAGGAAAACACCACCAAGTGTCTCCGCTCCAGCGGAACGGATTGACCGTCGGACACGGTAGTCATGTGCTTTAAGGCTGCGTGTGCAAAATACACCGCGGTATTGTAGTTGGTTTTGACGCCCGACTCGAGAGATTCGGGGGTCAAGTCGAGAAAGAGCCCTGGGGCGGAGGAACCCGCGCAACACATGACGATATCGGGCTTGCGGGTTTTCAATAGCTCATGCTCAAAAACACCCTGACAGCCTTTATATTCGGAAACGTCGGCGACAATATATTCAATATAGTTCTTTGTGTCAGCCGGGGTTCTCTGTTGGGAAATCTGGTCGCAGACCGACTTCAACTTGGAGGCGGTTCTGGAGATGATAATCACATCTGCACCCTTGTTGAAAAGCTGCTTGGCGAACTCAGCTCCCACACCCTGAGAGCCTCCAGTAATGACCACTAACTTGTCCTTTACTTTGAAATTGTTGCCAAATAATGTCATTTTTGTCTCGTCGTTACCGATGGCTATAAAGAGAGCGGATTGTATCTTATGGTCTAATATTCAAGACCGATCGTCTCCTCTCATGTATGCAGGCAAACCTCAAACATGTGTCCGGATGTTGTAATTAGCTATGCACGCCAAGTTTTTGTACACCAAAAATGAAAAGTAGTTATTAGGATGAAATGGATAAGGCCAATTTAAAGGTCAAGAAAATTTCACTCGAATCGACGCCTATAAAAGATCGATGTAGTTTAACCAACGAAGTCCTATCGATACCATTCTGCTAATACAGCTCAAACCGATAATATTTCGCAAAAAAAAAAAAAACCTGCCTAGAATTTATCTAGGGCTGCCAAGCTTTCGTCCTTGTCGCTCATGCTTCCAAGTCACTATACGAATTCCACACCACGTTTGGGTATGGTAAGTGCAGACTCTTTCAATATCTGGGAATGAGATAGATTTTCCTGAAGGTGAAAAGAGTTTATTATGTATGAGCTGGAACATGGATTGAACCACCGGAGAAACAAACTGCAGCATCCCCATGGCGACACTTCACATCGGCCCCGTTCCACCCAATGTTTCCAGTGTAGAAAAGAGTCCAGCCTTGCTTCATCTTGGATTAATAACCTCATACGTCAATTCCAATGTCTTTCCCGCTGCACTCCCCGGAGATTCATGGGATACGCATGGAGGAACGGCTAAAAAAGATAAACAAACAAGCCCGCATCCCTCATTCAAGCCGCAGAAAACTGCATACAGTATCTGCGAGGGCCGCAGAAATCACATGCTCGGTCGGAGTACGCTACGCAATGTTTGCACGAGCACCATCGCGGCCCGCCTGCAGCTCGGCCGGATTAAGTCACGTGGACATCCGATTCGTACCGATCGCGGCCGCTCGACGCACAATGCCCCGATCATCCACACGGATGGACGTATGGAAAAAGGGTTAATGGCTCTCTCAGGAATAACACGAGCACCCTTGCACCTATCAGAGCGGGAAAGCTGGAGTGACACCTACCGCTTGCATTACCGGTATTCCGGAGCTGCACATTTACCGTATCCGTGAAGGGTGTAGGAGAGTGAGTTATTCCGGCATGTAGCCGGCAGAAGTGGGGCGCCCTTAGCAGCTTTTGGGCCGCATCTGGTTCTCACAACAGAAAAGCTTTTCGCATTCTCAAGACCTGACACTTTCTCACTCCCCTCAACTCTACATATTCGATGTGATTATTCTGTCCACATACGCCATTTAGAGCGAATTTAAGCCCTTTGCATCTTTTAAGGGTTCAGGGATGTGTCAATTTAGGTGATTGACTCCATGCAATATTCCTAATGGGGAATACTGCTTCGGACACTATAAATCTAGAACTGGGCTCATGCACGAGCTCCAGTAGATCCCTATTTCTCCCACTTGCCCTACGTTACCTCTATACTACACACCACAGGTCTCATAATAGCCCCCTTCGTCCCCATGAGGCAGCTATTTCTCCCGGAGCCGAAAGAAAGCCCGCTTAGGTAAGCCGTGGTGCAAGCATGGGTGATGCAAGCAGGAAAAACCAAAAAATGAATGACCTCTCGCAGCACGTCAGGCATCGGGCACATGTGATTCGTCGGGTTTCCACTATTCCAGCTCTCGGCAGAAATCAAAGTCGATTTAGCCCTCCGAACTTTCCGGGGGTAGTAGAGCTTATCCGGGGGAGGGGCACTTGCAACGTTTCCTATAGCACATTTATCGTATGGGATAGTCCCTCTCCGTGTTTTAGACCTTCCCTAAGTGGTCTGCCAACTCCGGACAGGGAGGAACTGAGCGGGCACCTGACTTCAGGATTGGAAAAACGACGGGATTAGTCTGACATGCAAAGTGATATACATACTACGCTGTCAATTGTACCTTACTGCTGCCCTGTCATCCCTGATCATCGGGCCGAAAGTCTCCTCCAAATGGCCAAACCCGTAGAAGGCGGAAATATTTCACTCCGAGTTCCTGCATATAGTGTATCCCAGACGAAAGCCTAAATTAAAATTTGCATTTGTCCCTAGCTTGGCGTCTGCTTGCTTGGATGACCATGTGCTACGGTCTCCTGTACACATGCCAATGGATCATCTTTTGGGTATGGGACGAACGGGACTACAACAGTGTACTATTGGTTACAATCCCTTCTGGGATTCTTTTTACGCATAGTTAAAAGCTCGTTAACGCCTTTAAAGGGGATAACCCGATTATTTTTTTCCACGGAATCATATGGTTCCCTAGCCCTGCCTGCAGTCATTCCACCATTTCCCTACGTAGCATGTTAATGACAAACTAAACTCGACTTTTGCTATTTTTCCACATCTTACAGTATTAATAATCGCATGTTTCTGGATAGGTCTAAAACCAACTAACCTCCAGACTCGTGGCTATAGGGCTTAGAAGCGGACGTCATTCAATGCGTGCTGTATCAGCTCCGAGCTGAGACTTTCCGAGGGTCGGTTTGAGAGTGGTTGAACGTGCCTCTGTGCACTTTCTTTCCGACCTTCCTTGAGCAGCACGAGGCTACAACGGTCACTGGGCATACTTCCACGTACTAACGGAGCCGCGGATTACCCGGTTCGTTCCATTGGATATGCACGCGTCGGCGCTTCTCCGGTATATGCAGTACTACGACATCCACACATTTCAGCGTCCTTAATATGATACTCATGCCGAAATTTCTTAGCATTAGCAGGGAAAACCGCCTGAACTGTGCTTCGGCCCCAATTCCTGTCAGGGAAAAAGTTATATAAACCTGCCCTTTCTCCCTGAAGTTGACTTGTTTCCCTTTCTTTTCTCTTTTTCTCACTCTAGTAGTTATACACAAATATATATATTATGTCCGCTATCAGATCCATCCGTTCTGCCAGACAGACTTTGTCTGCTCGTTCATCTTTGATGGGCGTTCGTTCTTACGCCACTGCTGAACCAGTATGTACAACACACGGCAATAGCTATGGGTTGGAGGTGCCACCGGCGCGGAAAGGCGCTGATTTGCAGTTTTAGCATGTGATCATTTTCAGCAACTCCGCTCCTAGCGCATCGCTACGACAATTTTAGCCATCTAGACGTGTTTACTAACATCATATAGACCTTGAAGGAAAGATTCGCAGAGTTGTTGCCAGAAAAGCAGGAAGAAATCAGGAAGTTGAAGGCTGAGCACGGAAAGACCGTAAGTAATTATCTATCCCCTTGGAGCGCCACGCTTCGGTACTGCAAAAACGTACAAATTCTAACCCATAAATAGGTCATCGGTGAAGTCTTGTTGGAACAATCGTACGGTGGTATGAGAGGTATCAAGGGTTTGGTTTGGGAAGGCTCTGTCTTGGATGCTGATGAAGGTATTAGATTCAGAGGTAGAACTATCCCAGACATCCAGAAGGAATTGCCAAAGGCCCCAGGTGGTAACGAGCCATTGCCAGAAGCTTTGTTCTGGTTGTTGTTGACTGGTGAAGTCCCAACTGCTGCTCAGACCAAGGCTTTGTCCGCTGAATTCGCTGCCAGATCCGCCTTGCCAAAGCACGTCGAAGAATTGATCGACCGCGCCCCAGCCCACTTGCACCCAATGGCCCAATTCTCCATTGCCGTCACCGCTTTGGAATCCGAATCCCAATTCGCCGCTGCTTACGCCAAGGGTGCTAACAAGAAGGACTACTGGAAGTACACCTACGAAGACTCCATTGAGTTGTTGGCCAAGTTGCCAAACATTGCTGCCAGAATCTACAGAAACGTCTACAAGGACGGTAAGGTTGCTGCTGTCAACCCTAGCTTGGACTACTCTGCCAACTTGGCCTCCATGTTGGGTTTCGGTGAGAATGCCGAATTCGTTGAGTTGATGAGATTGTACTTGACCATCCACTCTGACCACGAAGGTGGTAACGTTTCCGCCCACACCACCAAGTTGGTCGGTTCCGCTTTGTCCTCTCCATTCTTGTCTTTGGCCGCTGGTCTTAACGGTTTGGCTGGTCCTTTGCACGGTCGTGCTAACCAGGAAGTTTTAGAATGGTTAACCAACATGGACAAGGAATTGGGGGGTGACTTTTCCACCGAAAAGATTGAAGCTTTCTTGTGGGAGACTTTGAACGCTGGTCGTGTCGTTCCGGGTTACGGCCACGCCGTCTTGAGAAAGACGGATCCCCGCTACACCGCTCAGCGTGAGTTCGCCTTGAAGCACTTGCCAGACTTCCCAATGTTCAAGTTGGTTTCCCAGATCTACAAGGTCGCTCCAAGAGTCTTGACCGAGCACGGTAAGACCAAGAACCCATGGCCAAATGTGGATTCTCACTCCGGTGTCTTGTTGCAGTACTATGGTTTGACTGAAGAATCCTTTTACACTGTCTTGTTCGGTGTCTCCCGTGCCTTCGGTGTCTTGCCACAATTGATCATCGACCGCGCCGTCGGTATGCCAATTGAAAGACCAAAGTCCTTCTCCACCGAAAAGTACATTGAGTTGGTCACCGGCTTGAAGAAGTAAGCTCATTTGTCTAAAATGAATACTCTTCTCACTCACGAATTTTCTTCTCTTTGTACAACGTTTACGGTTTATAACTTATTTTTTACATGATCATCGGTGTTTCCAAGGAAATCCCAATATATACATAGCTTGATTATTTAACGACCCCTTGTAGGTGTTTACTTGAAACGTATATGAGGGCATTTATGATAGCAATTTTTCAATAGCCGTGTACAGGATTTTTCAAATCCTTAAGATTGGAAAAGACATGGTATGCGGCTAGCGGAAGGGACATGAAACACTTATAAATTCCATCTCAAACTGAATCCTCCTTGCACTTCATACTGTCATAAGTGGGTAAATGGCCGTTTAGATAGCTTTCGGGGGTTCAGGTGCATTTATGATTCTAGTTTTCCGCTCTGTAATGTTCATGTTTCATATACCCTTTGAATATCTGCTGGGAGGCAATCGTGGCGGTAGTGTTTGAAATCCCCCAGAAGGGTACTTCAGTTGTTCAACATCCACCCTGGCCTAATGGTGTGATTCGAGACTGATGATGGGGCAAAGGGATATTTAAACAGGAATCATTGCCCGCATTAAACGGCATTCCAAGGTTTCTCTAATCATCGGTCCAAACAAGCCCTTTACCTCTCATCAATAGATCAAATAATAGCACACAAATATGTTGTTTTCGCTCAGTTTCTTTGTCATCAGAAAGCTTCCTCGTCTCTTTATTGCCCTCCTCCTCTTTATCTCTATCTTTCTTCTTACCTTCCTCCTTTTTGGGGGCACTTCCGAATCCAGTGTTTACTTCAACTCATATTTGATCGAGTATAGATTCAACCCAGACGCATCGGTATTCGGCCTGATTCAAGACACTTATACTAAAAAGGATTTAAAGGAATTGTTATCGATGAAGGTGAGAGCCGGTTATTTGGGGATTTGTGTCGACCTCAACGGCACAACGCTCTGCGCCCCTCGAGGAAACCTTACGGCCTTCGACAAGTACAGTGGAATTTCCTCGTTCAAGACAGGAAACAATTCCACATTGCCGAGTGCCCTCAGTCTTGTGGAACTAGCTGGTCTTTTCTCGAATAGAATTGTCCACCCTTACATCTTGATAGCTACCGATATTTTAACCGCATTCTCCTTCATCTTCATTTTGTGGTCCATGTTCCCCTTCCTTCCCGCAAACAACCTATCCAAAAAGATTTTGTTGGTGATAAGTCCCACTATTGCCCTTCTTTGGGGTTTGGGGGGTATGTCTCTGCATGTCGCCTCCAGTGCTGGCACGAAATTGGTTGAATCGTCGTCAATGTATATTATCAGTGGGGCTAAAGGACCCAGGGCTACTTCTTTAACCTGGGTATCCTTCGCCTTCCTAGTGGCAGTTGCGATTGGCAATATTTTGCTATACATAAAAGAATTGCAGGATAAGGTGAAAGAAATAGAACCAAAGGTGTAGCCCCTACGGGCTTAAGTGTGAATTATTCCATTTTCTGATTTACTTCAACCGATATCGTATCAAAATCATCTCTCTTGAGTATTTGGCATTGATAACTGTAAACTATATGTATATAACGATGAAAGAGAGGTATGAGGATAGAAGTACCTGGGTGTATTTATTCCTTCATATCTATTGACATTCAGAGGTTTATATTTTTACACATATGTGAATATCGATTTATATATATATATAACTTTTGGTAATAACAAACCCAGTAATATGTAAGCATTCAAAATTTTATACATATATCTTTAGGGAAATAAAGTATTAACATATACATAAGCATCATTGTGGTAAGCCATAATATTTTGCTTGGCAATAGAGCAATGCTACACATATAATGTTTAATATAGTGATGGCTTAAATGTGCATACACCAGCGATTTCTCTATTGTTATATCCAGGGAATATTTCATTTTTTCGCTACATCTCGCTGTGAGAAACCCAGCTTTAACCCTGTTTCGAAAATTACGCTTTCCAACGCCTCGCGTGTTTCGTTATGAGCACGCACGGTGGGGGCTTGATGGATGTTTCCGAAATAGTTACATTAGTACATGTCGTATTTTAGCTTTACAATCCGACCAGATCAATCGCCAGACTTGAACCAACGGTCGAGCTTTACTTATAATTGCCCACCAGATTGTGCTTGAAATCAGATTTGACGCGTCTAGCCATTCCTGACTCCCCCGATTCTCGCTCTACTATAAGAGAGAACCTCCGCCATGTCTGTCTCCACTCCTCTCTCACAGGTCCAAACCCCGACCCCAGCGCAGTTGGTATCCACGGTGAGGTATGGCTCCAATAAAAAATACGACTTGGCAAAGTTGCTAAACGAGTTTCAGCTGCACTTGGGCACCAACTGGGCCAAATACCAAGTTACATTGAGTAAGTTCTTAGTCGGGAAGCTAGCAAGATCAGAATTGATGGATGAGCTTAACTCGATTCTCAGCAAAGAGCTTATTGTGTACCACAACCGGCTTTTATTGATCATCTTGACCAATTCTGCCAAGGAAGGACCCTCGCACTTGTCCAACGATTTGCAGAACGTGTTCTGGAACAAGCGGTCTCAGAAGGGCAAACCCAACAAGAATGGTAGTTACGAGAAGCTCAAGGCAGATATTATGGCTTTGCTGTTGAGGGAACGACGCCGTATTAAGAGCATTACTCGTGAGAGTGGCAAGAGGGGGATGATTACGTCGAGCATTACGCTTACAAGGCAATCGTTGTTGCCCAAGGTGCCATACGTGCAAGACAAAACCAAGCAATTGACTACCCCCAACAACACCCTGCAATGGTCCCAAGAAGTGGTCAACGGGTACCAGACCCCGCTATCCACAGAGACCTATGGGTTGCCTGACCACGATTCCCTACGGTCGCGCATGACCATGACAATGAGAGAGAACGGGTTACTAGGACAGGTGAACGACCATGCCATTAACATTTTGATATCCGGGTTGGAGTCTTACCTAAAAAATATCATTGAAAACGCCGTAGACACGTCGCGGTACCGCTACACAAAGTACAGTGACGAGGACGTGCTACTAGGACCCGGTGGCATTGGTCCCCAGCCACCTCGCCGAAAGAAGAGAAAGCTTCTTTTAACTGCAGAAAACCTACACAACACTCTCGAAATCCAGCCGCATTTATCAGAGCCCAACGGTGCTCTTTTTAGACTACAGAATGTCATGTTGCAGAACGAGGACATGATCAGCCCATTGCCGTACGAGATTCCCGAAAAGCCCGAGGCTCCCGGAGACAAGTTTTTGACCTACGGCCTGGCCCCGAACGGCTCCGCAGAGACTTCTGACGTCAAACTGGAAATAAAGCTGGAAACCGCTGTCGAGCTCCCTGCCCAGGGTAACGTGGGCACCCGAAGTGAGTTGAAGTGGATGTTGCACGAGCTTTTGTCTTCGACCTAAAAAACTACATTCCGGTGACTGCACTATATAGCTTATTAGATTATATACACAGCCTGCGGCTCGGGTTAACCGTAGGACCCTGGGGCTACGCCCATGAAGAACTTCCGGGGAGATCGGTACAACCCGCGTCCATCTGAAATAAGTCCCAGCCTATTTATTGTGTTTATACAAACAACTGGTGTCTTTCAACCTCTCGGCAAGCTTTAGCAACCGTAGCGCGTCATCAGCGTGGGTGTGGATGCCGATGATCCCCAAAAGCTTACTTCTGAAGAAACAGTGATTCAACAACCTTCCAAGATCGTGCATTTCAGTGTTGTCTAGGCTTTTTGTACTATTGTTTTCCACGGCAACAATTCGCTGGTGGATACCAGCCTCCTGCCCTGACACAGGCAACCTGGAAATGTCCAAGAATTGCACCTTGGAGCGGATTTCCTTGCCTGTGTCGGATTTGACGCCGTACACGTGGATAAAGGCCAACTCCACCGCATCTTCGTAGATCTGAGCATGCAGCAAAACGTCCGACGCTTCGTTCATCAACACCTTTCCGGCCTTCTGGAACTCCATTTTCTGCTGGTCAAACACAACCTCCTGGTCCTGGGAGAGCAAGTCTCGCCAGATGTTTTCAGCCTCGCTGAACTGCAAGTACTCAACGCCAAATTCGAACTTCCACCCTCTTCTCGCGTACTTTTCTGCCCTGCGACTCATGTTTTGGACGTTGAACCGCACTACCTCCATCAAGCTATCTAGTACGTTGCTCCCAAAATACAAGACTGCAACGTCGTTACCGGCGAGGGAATCTTCCACCAAACACGAATACTCCTGAACAAACGCGTCCTGGGGAAACTCTATGGGAAACACCTTATCAAACGTAAAGTGTTCGGAATGAAACTGAAGTTCGCTGGATGCTTGTGCTTCGTTGGTAATGCGCATAGAAGGAGAGGCCTCGCCTTGAAGCTTCACGTATGACCTCAATTTTCCGCCCATATCCTGGATGGAATTTTCAATCCGTCTCTGCAATTTTTTCTCATGGTTGAGCTTCTCCAAGGCAGACGCGTGAATCTCCCTCATGCGATTCACCTCTATCTGAGTCACAGAAATCTGTGAGTCATAATCTAGGATTTCAGCCTTGACCCGTGCAATCTGTGTCATAACCTGGTGCCGTGTTGCCTCGAATGAGCCACGATTTTGGAGAATCGATTCCAACTGTTCCAACACCGTCTGGTTCTTCTGTTGTAATGTCCTGACTTTTGCCTTCAAGGTCTCTGCAAGGACTCTCCCTTTAGCCACCTCTAGCCTGTTTTGGGTTAACTCACCCTCAGACTTAGCCATCCCTGCTTCCTGGTCCACTTGGCACTGTCTCAATTCCGCTTCCAACCGCGTACGAAGTGCATTTAGCTCTTCTACCCTGGCTAACTTCCCATCGTATAATGCCTGCTGCGCTTGCTTTGTCTTTTCCCGCATGGCCTCGATCTCTGCCTGCGTTTCGTCGTCTCTGTAGTCCTCCACCTTGGCCAACTCCTCAAGCAACTCCTTTTCCATAATGGCCGAGTCGCGCTTCAAGTGTTGCTCCAACTCCAAAAGCTGTACCGAGCACATTTTCTCTTGGTATTCGAACTTCTGTGTGACCTGGCTGGCGCATCGGTCCACCTCACCCTCTTTACTCTTGATGTCGTGGGCCATGTCGTCGATTTCACGCAAGATCTTCTTCTCCAATCGTTTCAACTCGTTAATTCCAGCGTGCTGTGTCTCTATCGATCGCCTGAGCTCGTCCATACTCTTTTCTAACTCACGCGAAACGGTGAGTTGGTGCTGGATGTCGTTGGAGTAGCGCTCTTCGATCTTGGACATCCGCTGCTCAAGCTTTACGTCAGACACAAACGCAACCGACTGGGAGTGTGAGGGTGAGCCCGCAGATGCCCCAGCTCTTCGTGATAGACCCACGAGTTTTTGGACGTGGTTTAGGTCCGGATTAGGGGCATTCTCGATCAAGGCGATGGGGGTGGATACCGATCTGAGCCGGTGTCTGGCTAAGGCATTTGAATCGGACCTCTGGGTCAAACCGTATTTCGGTGGCTTTTCGGAAAGCCGGCCGTGTGCTGACTTGGAAGGGATAGGCGGTCTGGAGTTATCAGTCACCTCGCTGAGTGGCGGCCTTGTTTTTCCTCTCGGCGAGAACGCTGCTGGTACGGGGATCTTAGACATGAGGAATATGTAAGGAAAGTTAAGATCGTCTCCGGAGTGGTTGAAATATTGTGATAAGGAAGAGGCGATCTTTGTATGAAACGTCTGCAAAACAAAACCGATAACGCGCGTGGAAAAAGGCTGAAAAAATATGACGGCTGCAGGAAATGTAAACAAAGGGAGACGTGCGAGAACAGGGTGTGAGTATGTGACTTGGGTGTTATATCTGGCAGTGAATATAGTTATATAGCGTTAAAACACTACTATTTGGATAAATTCGGATAGCTATTGCACTATTGAGGTATTTTAAAGCTTGTGGGGCAGCAAGTATACATAAATAATAGATAGCCAACATAATACAGATAGAGCAACAAAGTTAATGTAATATATAGAGCAGAAAACTAACGGTCATCTATACGAACTTGGCACAAGATATTTTGAACCAGCCTATCCTATGATGACTATACATTCCTGAGCTTTCTCTCCATTAGACCCAGAGGTAATACACCCGTACTAGAAATAACTGGAATAGGCTGACAACACTGGCGCCCCACCCAAGTGGCAATACAAGACGTTAGCACCCTTCTCAAACTCGTCGTTGCGTACCTTGTATATCAACCCTTGCATTGACTTCCCCTCGTAGACTGGATCGGTCAAACACCCCTCGGTGGAGCCACATAACTTTATGGCCTCAATAGTGCCCTCGTTAGGGATCCCGTAACATGGGTGAGCAAATCTCTCATCCAAATAGATATCGTCAAGGGTAAGCTCCACGTCTAACCCCACAAGACTCCCTGTGCTTCGGGCAATTCTCAACACTTGTTGTTTGGTCTTTGCAGGGGTGAAACTGGCATCGATACCGATCACATCGTGGTGTCGTCCGTATTTCGCAAACCCAACCACAATCCCGGCCATAGTGGATCCAGTGACGGCACAAACCACGATCTTGTCAAACTTGACCCCCAACTCCTTTTCCTGTTGCAACACCTCATCCACGAAGCCCACAAACCCCAAGCCACCGTACTTGTGCTCGGAGCAACCGGCAGGGATTGGGTAAGGCTTCTTACCCTCCGCCTCCAAGGCCTTTAACGCATCCTTCCATGAATCTCGGATTCCGATATCAAACCCAGCGGCGTTCAATCGCACGTCAGCACCCATGATGCGGGATAACTCAATGTTGCCCACTTTGTCGTAGTTCAAGGACTCTTGCTCAGGGATAGGGACCCAGTTCTCCTGCACTAAGTGGCAGCCTAACCCCAACTTAGCAGCCACGGCAGCCACCATACGGGTCTGGTTGCTCTGAATACCACCAATGGAAACCAAGGTGTCATAGCCGCCATCGAGAATCTCTGGTACGATGTATTCTAATTTACGGAGCTTGTTTCCACCAAATGCAAGACCAGAGTTCACGTCTTCACGCTTGGCGTAGATGTTCACTTTTCCGCCAAGGGCCTTGGATAAATTGGGAAAGTGGGTGATTGGAGAGGGTCCGAACGTAAGCTGGTATTTTTTGTACTGCTCAAGAGAAGGAGACATACTTATAGGATGGTTGTAGGGAGTAGCAGAAACAGGAAGTAGGTTTGGGCGTATTTATATTAGGCCAATTTCTGGCAATTTATATCAGGTCATTTATCGGGCAGCAAACCCTATCGATCTTTAGTGAGACCAGATAGCCAAGGATTAAGCAGAGTTATACCGGACTTTAATGTCCGATGATGTAGCCTCCTTTCCCTTTCTCACGAAAGCTGTAGCTAACCGGTACGACGTTCATCCGACAATCTGAAAAAAATAGAGATGGCCAAATACCACATGGACAGATAAAGCAGCCGGGGATATAAGCACAATATAAAAAGAACACACCCTTTTAGAGAGTAATCTATGTCGTTTTAGCATGGATACACGTAATTCATTGTTTGTTGTATGGGCCGCACCGGCTCCACGACTCGAGGATTGCCCAGGCATAATATTCCCCCTGAGGCGGAATTCTAAACTTGGTTTGTTGTGGACAGTTTGAGGGACCTTAATGGTATCCCAACAGCTCTTAAATGACACTGTTCTTTCGTTTTTGCCATCCATCTGCTTTCCTTTTATGTGAACGTAATCTCATGGTAAATACCTGATTGACTATGCGATAGATCCCTTGATCGAAAGACGCGGTATCAATTGAAGTACGATGGAAGGTTTACACCATTTACGTAAAAGCCCTTGATAGTTGTAGACTTAGAGGCAGCTACCAAACTGGGTTATTCTTAGTCATGGGCGTAAATCAAGTTCATTTGTTACCGTTTGAATCAAGAAAGTACGGGATGTATGATCCACGGTAGACTCAAAAGAAAAAAATAAAGAATATGACCAATGGGGGGGGGGGGGGGGGGGGGGGGGGGGATTTACATAGAGTATTGAGAAAGAAAGGAGGTAGTGGAGGATTATATACCTGGAGGCGTAAAATTGCACACCTTCAATATATCCAGAACTGCGTAACATGACATGGCCTGGTCTATAGTTTGTCCCGTGTTATCCAATAGTGGGTTAATTACATATACACCTATATATATAATTATTTATCGGAGTGATACACGATCAAAGTGTAAGACAGTAGTTTCATGTGGGATGGTTGGTCTTTCAAGCCAAACTGACATTCGATTAGTTAATAACGAGGAACGAAATTCACGAAATGCCAGCTTTACCGCATGAACCTTATTACGTAAGAGATGTCTTTAGAACAGTGTCAAAAGCTCTAAAAACCACGCCTCAAGATTATAAGATGAAGCCGTGAGTAGTCTGGTGCAGCTCTTGTATTAAGTAGTCCACTAATACATGAGCTTAAAGTAATTCATTTGCTCTCGCCTATAAAAAAATGAGGAGCCAATTTGGGCCGTTAAGTCACACTGCACTGAAAACTAGCTGTTTACATGCATGAGGCCCGTTACCCTCAGAAAATTTGACATCTGGTGCGCTTATTTGAAGACACCGACATTAATGGAAGTTCATGTATTACCCTGCCTAACGTACTATTTTAGCTCTTCTCGCTTGATGGTTTCTGGAGCCCTGCATCGAACGCGGTCATATGCAAGAGAAGCATCGCGTCAGCAGATGCTGGGAGGGGAAGGAACGCGGACCAATAATTCCCAGGATTCTCTACACAGATTTGCATCCATTGTTTTGTGTGTAGCGGGGTACCAGCTTCCTCCATATGAACATGCCGGACAAATCTCTTGAGATGAAACTCCGAGGACTGCCGCAAGGGCGGGACGCACGTAGGACCAGGTATAGCCAGACTCCCAAAGCTAAAAAGCGCTGCTAGGAGGATTCTATGATGACCTCACACATACCAAGCCATGGAATTCTAAGCCAGTTATACTAAGATAAATACCATAGTCCGAGTCTTCCATGAAAATTTTGCTGACTCAGCTCGGACAAATATCGAGCCACGCATGCAGGTCTAAATCCTTGGCTCACTGCAGGACAACTAATCGGTGAGCGACCTCCCTCGGGACTCAATTAGCTCCCAGTGCCAGAAGCATGGACGTGCAAAAAAAAATAGCTTGAGCAGAAATAAACTGAATGCATAGTTGTACCTAGATTATTGGGCCGGAGAGAAAGAAATGAACCAAGAGGCAAGAGAAAGTAATATTACCCCGCTACGATGCTCTCCCCAGCGCCCCTCGGAGTTGCTCTGGAAACCCTTCCGACCTCTGCCGTCCTGCATCGAAAGCCCCTCTACCACTGCATCCGGCGTCTGGCCACCTGCTGCCCGAAATCGACTTTGCTGTTGTGACTTTTCCTATAAGATCCCCCACTATCTGCTTCCCCGCTACTCATCTACCCATAGATCATACTCAATTATCCCATCGCAGTTGACCAAATGACAATACTTAACACGGAAGAATCGCAGCGGTTAGAACAGTCCCGCACTAAAGAGAAGCACTGGAAGCGCTGGGGCCCGTACGTCGGGGAGCGCCAATGGGCGACGGTGCGCGAGGACTATTCGTACAACGGGGACGCGTGGTCTGACTTTCCGTTTGAACACTCGCGCCTGCGCGCGTACCGTTGGGGTGAGGATGGGCTCGCGGGTGTGTCCGATAACCACCAGCTTATCTGTTTCACGCTTGGGTTATGGAACGAAAATGACAACATCTTGAAGGAACGCTTGTTCGGGGTCACGGGGCCCCAGGGGAACCACGGGGAGGACGTCAAAGAGCTCTACTACTATCTCGACAACACTCCGACCCACTCGTACATGAAGTACTTGTACAAGTATCCGCACAAGAAGTTTCCATACGAGGCCATAGTGGCCGAAAACGGCCGCCGCTCACGCAAAGAGTTGGAGTACGAAATCATGGATACCGGCGTGTTTGATGACAACGAGTACTTTGATGTGGTGTTCGAGATGGCAAAGGATGATAAGGATCCGGACGAGTTGTACTTCCGTGTCACCGCGTACAACCGTGGCGCGGCGCCCGCGCCGTTGCACGTGTTGCCGCACATTACGTTCAGAAATACCTGGGCCTGGGGGCGTGAGGACCCGGAAAAACAGCCGATTCCGCAGCTTCTGAAGGAAAATACGGACGTTACTTCTGTAAAGGTGGACCACTGGAAGTTGGGCGGCCGCCGGATGGTGTTCGCCCCGGCACCACCGGTGGCTGACAACTTGCCCGATGTCGAGCCGAAGTTGCTCTTCACGGATAACGAAACCAACACACAGCGCCTCTACGGCCAGGCGAACAAGCACCCGTTCGTGAAGGATGCATTCCACGATTACGTAGTGGACGAGATGGCCGGTGCGGTGAACCCGGACAACATCGGAACCAAGGCCGCTGCATGGTTTGCGTTTGACCAGAACGGTGGGGTTCCCGCAGGCGACTACGTCACCATCCGATACAAGCTCTCCAAGATGAACGGGGAGCCCCAGGAGATTGACGAGGAGCAGTTCGATCAGGTGTTTGCGCTACGCGAGCACGAGGCGGATAACTTCTACTGGAACATCTCGCCAATGCCTATCACGGAAGACTTGCGCATGGTGCAGCGCCAGGCGTTTGCCGGTTTGCTCTGGACCAAACAGTTCTACAACTATATCCAGGACCAGTGGGTGAATGGTGATCCCTCAACGCCAAAGCCGCCTAAGAACCGTGCTGGCGGCCGCAACCGCGAGTGGAAACACTTGTACATCGATGACGTGTTGTCCATGCCAGATAAATGGGAATATCCGTTCTTTGCCGCGTGGGATACCGCCTTCCACTGCATTCCATTGGCGATGATTGACCCCGAATTTGCCAAGAAGCAGTTGGACTTGCTCACTAGAGAGTGGTATATGCATCCCAACGGGCAGATTCCTGCGTACGAATGGAATTTCGGAGATGTGAACCCGCCGGTTCACGCGTGGGCTGCGTTTAGAATCTTTAAAATCGAGAGAAAGATGTACGGGAGGGAGGATAGGGACTTCTTGGAGCGCGTGTTCCAGAAGTTGTTATTGAACTTTACGTGGTGGGTCAACCAGAAAGACTCGGAAGGGAACTCGGTGTTTGAGGGCGGGTTCCTTGGGCTTGACAACATCGGGATCTTCAATCGCTCTGAGCCGTTGCCGACGGGCGGAAAATTGGAGCAAGCAGATGCCACCGGCTGGATGGCTTTCTTCTCCTTGCAGATGCTCAACATCGCGCTCGAGTTGTCTAAAGAGAGATCGGTGTACGAGGACATCGCTTCCAAATTTTTTGAGCATTTCTTGTTGATTGCGGATGCCATGACGTTCAAGTACGACGAGCTGTCCGATTCGGTTGATACGGGTGTGATTGCCCCTACTGGGCGCTCTTTATGGAACGAAGAAGACCAGTTCTACTACGATGCAATCTCCTGGGGCCAGGGTTCGGCATCGACGCAGTTGCCCGTGCGTTCGCTTGTCGGGTTGATTCCTCTTTACGCATGTCTCACGCTCGAGCCGTCGATGTTGGAGAAGTTACCCAGCTTCAAGAAGCGCGTGGAGTGGTTTATCGCCAACCGCTCGGAGGTGGCCGCGCGCAACATCGCGTCCATGGAGAACAGGGGTGTGGGCGAGCGCTTGTTGCTCGCGCTCGTGGACAAGGACCGTTTGGTAGCCATCTTGGAAAAGATGCTCGACGAGGACGAGTTTTTGTCGCCGTACGGTATTAGATCGCTTTCCAAATACCACGACAAGCACCCGTACGCGTACTACAACAACGGGAACACCTATGACATCAGTTACCTTCCAGGCGAGTCCGACAGCGGATTGTTTGGGGGTAACTCCAACTGGCGTGGTCCGATTTGGTTCCCGGTCAACTTTTTGATCGTGGAGTCGCTCCAGCGGTTCTTCCTCTACTATGGGTCTGATTTGAAGGTCGAGTGTCCTAAGGGCTCTGGCGAGTATCTCAACCTCGCGCAGGTTGCCCAAGAGATCGAGCAGCGCCTCATCCACTTGTTCATCCCTAACGCTGAGGGCAAGCGTGCTTGTAATGGTGATGATGTGACTGCCTCTGTGGACCCATTTTTTAAGGACTACATTCCGTTCTACGAGTATTTCCACGGTGACACAGGTAGAGGTTTAGGTGCCTCGCACCAGTGCGGGTGGACCGCTTTGGTTGCTAAGTGGATCCACGACGTTGGAACTTCGTGTAGAGCTCCAGACACTCCACGGCCTCCAACTTCCGCCAAGTCCATCGCCAACTTCCAGGAGATGAACCGTGATCACTTGATGCAGTATGTGCCAAAGTCTGGACCATTTCCTGGTAGCTTGACTAGACGCAAGTCTGGCAAATCGTTGATTAACCTCACCGCGCAGGTGTTGGAAATGAGCGAGGAGGAGAAGGGGATTTATGGGAACGAGAGCCAGCCGTCAACCCCGGGCAAACACCTCCACACAAGATTGCAGGCTGACAGTCAGCACAACCAGCAGTTTGATTACTTTGGTCATCCATTGAGCAGAGAATCGACGAATGTTAGCTTTGATTCCGAGGTTGATGGTGACGATGGCGGTTTGTTGGAGATGATCAGAAGGAACTTGCAGTTGCATGCGTCTAGAGACGCCGTGGTTTCTAGCGACGAGTTGGAAACGCACAATTAGTATTTTGTATTTTTTAGTAACTGAAATTTTAAATAGAAGAAGTAGAAATGATTTATTAAGAAATGCCTGGGCATGGATGGACGACATCAAGGAAGAGGGGGGGAGTGAGGCTGAGATATATCTTTTGATTGACGTCTGTTAAAAGTAAATGAAACATATCATTATCAATATTGGGCGAGTTAGATGACCTCTTTTAAACATTAAAGGCGAGGAATGCTATGACAACCAACTAGCCTTCACCCTGCCAAGAATTCGCACCGGATTTTTTAGTTTGGACTGATGATACTCACTATGGCAAAAAAAATACTCCTGACAACTATCCTACTTACGGTTCAAAGCAAATATATTAAATTGTAAAGAGAAGCGAAAGGTAAGGGGGGTTAGGTAAACTTGCTGGCGATAACAAGCAAAATCAAAATCACCAACACAGCGATAATGGCGTAACTGATTAACTTATTTGCAGCTAAACGTCTGGTCATGGACCGCAACGTTCTAATACTCTTGTCAACATACCCGTCTGCATCTATCAACTGGTTCCTGGAATTCACCAACTGCTCCCTCTGTCCACGGAGGTCGTTCAAGATCGAGGACCCGATTTCCTCCGTCTCCAATGCCACGCGCTGCGAGTCTCTCAAGCGGTCGGAGGATCTCTCCAAGGAAGCATTGTTCTTCAACAACTGCTGGCGTTGGTAGTCATGCGAGCTGGGGTCGGAGCTTTCCTGTGTGCGGCCCAGAAACAACTCGTCACGGTTCGTGTTGTCCTGGAGAAACTTCAACTGCTTCTTCGATTTGTCTACCGTAGCCTTGTACGTTCTCAACTTGGCGTTGTATGAGGATCTTTCGTTCGTGGACATGTTCTGGATCTCGAGGTTCATTTGGTCCAACTAAAGCGGTTAGTATTGAAATGGTACGTGATGAAAACGACTTACAATTTCTAAGCACTCATCAGTGGCTCTTTCAACATCCCTCATCGCAGTGCGACGCTTATCTATATTGTTAGCTTTGCCTTAAAGAGTAAAGGTTCTTTACGTACCCCCAGCTAGATCGCTAATCTGGCTCAACTTCTGTTCCGCCTCTTGGTGGGCCAATTCGTACTCAGACTCATAGGTCTGGAATAATTCGGACATGTGAATGTGACTATACTGAGTGACGTGGTAAGGTGCTATTTTCCTAGGCTGGATAAGTTCTCTTACAGCGACGTCACACCCGCAGGTCCTGGATAAGCCAGGAGACAAGACTAGTGGCAATAAATAAATAAAAAGCGTGTTGATACCAATTAATTGGTACCTACACTAAAAAATGGAATCCAGTTTTCCACAGCCCTGCCCGATGGAGCTCTAACACCGAGGCCGGTAATCTCGCGAACATTATTTTTCACCATGCAACATATATTAGTGGCAAGCGGCAAGAATTTCTCACCCGCTTGCATATAACCATCTATCATGCTTAGAACATTGCTCGCCTCATCCATCCGTGTTGCCAGATACCATACTCTCAGGACGCCTGTGCGAGGCTTCGCCGTGACCAGCATCAGACTCCATGGTCACATCCACACCCCAAAGGCGGGCGAGGAATTAAAGATCACCTTCATAACCAAGGACGGGGCCCAACACACATTTGACGTCTCCGAAGGCGATTCTTTGTTGGATATCGCCCAGCACTACAACTTAGACATGGAGGGTGCCTGTGGTGGCTCGTGCGCGTGCTCCACTTGCCACGTTATCGTTGACCCGGAGATGTACGATGAGATCCCAGAGCCAACTGACGACGAAAACGATATGTTGGATTTGGCCTTTGGCTTGACCGAGACCTCCAGATTGGGTTGCCAGGTGTATATGACCAAGGAGTTGGACGGTTTGAGAGTTGCTTTACCAGCCATGACCCGTAACATGACGGTCAAGGACTTTCAGTAAAGCTGATGATTATTTATTACCCAAAGGACGAGCCTCTCCGACAACCTATGGTTTTTGTTTTCCAGTCAGGCCAAGTGCCACAAAAACAATCCCATTCCACTGTATATAATGTAATTTAGTTCAGATCCACTTAGATTACTTGTTATTTTTTGTAGAGCTTTTGGGCCTCATCAATGTGTAAGGGGATCCCCCCGGGGAAAGTTTCGCGTGCGCAAAACGGTCCCAGTGACTCGGGGTGAGTAAGAGTCTTGCGCATCCGTAGAAGATAGGAAATCACAATTCCTACATAATCGAGGTAGGTGATATGATTTGTTGAATAGGTATAATAGACCAATACCAATAATATCAGGAGTTTTTATACACCTGTAAATGCAGATTATACCTTGTCCCCTCCGACTCGTTATTTTCCTTTTGATTCTTATTAAAACGCGCACTTAGCTATTCTCTAGCCCTAAGTAATCCTCTATGGCATTCGGATGCACCGGAAAGTTTCAGTAGAAATGGTATAAATTGGTAAAATACTATTAAAAATAGCATGCTGACATTTATACGGCAGCTTCTCAAACAAAAACCTTTGTACCAAAACTTACATTTACATTGATTCATCTCAAAGCATTGCATTGAAGAAAAAAACGGCAGCCAACCTACTTAAGAGGTCAAGGCCATGATGGCGTTAACCATGTCACCATTATGGTCTCTCAAGGCCTTGACGGCGTTAGCTCTAGAGGCACCGGTCTGTTCGACGATGACTTCGATGTCACCAGCTTCCAAGCCAGACTCGTCGACAGGGGCAGAACTGTCAACTTCTTCAACCTTGTCCTGCAAAGAGGCGGCTTCGAAGTCAGCAAGGATAGCTTCCTGGGACTTGTCAACTGGTTCCTGGTTGACAGCGGCAGCGGCCTGGGCCTGAGCCTGCAACTGAGAAGCCTGAGCGAATCTCTTGTTCAAGTCATCAACCTTGGCTTCACCAAAGACAACGTAAGAGCCAGCTGGGGATCTGTAGACGTCTGGGTTGTCAATGGCAACAATAAAGCCACCCTTTCTCTTGAAAGTAACACGGGAGATACCCTTAACCTGCTTCAAGCCCAACTTGACAATGGCCTTTCTGGCCTTGGATTCGTTCTGGGCGAAAACAGCAACATCGGCACCCTGTGGGATTTCGTTACCGTGGGAGTGGGAGTGGTCGCCATCGGCGTGGGAGTGGGAGTGTTCAGCGGACATGTTTAATGATATGGATAATGTGATAGGAAAGAATTGAGAAAAGTACAACCACTTTTTCTTCGTTCATATAAGCATGACGAGGAAGAGAAACTTAGGGCTCAATGGCAAGCTTGGAGACAGGTCAGAGATCGGTGGACGTCGAGAGTACAACGTTACCCGGCATGAGGTGAAAAATGAAGATACATGCAGGATAAGAAAGGGGAGGGCAATCGCTAGCGTTGCTCGTAAAGACTAAGCCCTTTTTTTCCTGTATCAGGATTGTGTATTTAACGGTATGAAATTTCAGAATTTGGAACGGAACCCCAGAAGTTTTTGTTATTCGTATTGACACGTGCAACTGCAGTGGGACAATGTGCACGGAAGCCTCTGGGAATCCGGGCCGGAAGGTTAAGCACTAAATTATGTGGTGTGTCTGCTAAATATGCTGTTAAACCAGAATAGAGAAGTGTTGTTCATTGAACAAGCAGGACATATCGGTATATTCGCCCCATGAGAAGCTTGTTAGGAACCTATTCGTTAGTTCATACGAAGGTGCTTACTTAGAATAAAAAGTTTTCCATAACTAATGTATAGTTTTGGAAGTAGATCTCAAAAATAAAAGATGAATGGGGGAATAAAAACACTCCAGGGTCCAGGGTCCAGACGCAGCAGTTGGCCACTTTTTTTTATTCCACAGAACCCCACAGTTTTATCAATTTGATGATAAATTTGATTTAATTTTGAAAATATTGCTGACCCGAATACGTAATTGAGGTTTCTTCCTGGTGCAGTGTGTTGGCGACTCCGATCTATTGCCCCTCCCTAGCCAGTCACTAGCTATGGCGCGAGATCCGGTATTAGCTGTTCTGAAGAACCATTGGAACCCCTTAAATTACCAAAATTCAACTAAAAAATCCCTTTTTTCCGTAACTAAACACTCACGGGGGCTCTAAAGGCTCTAGATGTTCTTTCGAGTTTAACCGCATGGTGGTCTAACGTTCAGTCAGATTTATACTAACATGGACGGCCTGCATACGGCAGCGGCCGGAACAAATTTGAAAAGCAAGCCGAATATGCAGTCCCCATGCAGCCCCATTAGGTCAGTAATTCATAGCGGCTCAAAACATAGCCTAATCCCTGACGCAACCCAGCGTTTTACTTAACGCAAAACGGTCAGCTATTGAAGACAAAGCTCCAAGCCGCTAGTCAAACTACAGAACCGTTGCTATTGCTCATGTCTTTGCAGGAGTTTTCTGAAAAGCCCGAACTTCCTCAGCGGAAGTTCACGTTCAAACAAAAGTGCCATAACTTTGCGTATAATCACAATTTTGCTGGTGTGGGCCCGCCACAACACATCATCGACGAGGAAAATGCTAAGCCTCGCCGGATCTTTCTCAACTTGCCGTTGCCAGACGATATGGTGGTCGACCAGACGTCCAAAACGCCGTTGAGAACATATCCCCGGAACAAAATCAGAACCACCAAGTACACGCCACTCAATTTCTTACCGAAAAACCTTTTTTTCCAGTTCAGAAACGTTGCCAACTCATATTTCTTGTTCTTGATCATCCTTGGGCCGATCCAGATCTTTGGTGTGAGCTCCCCTGGACTCGCCGCCGTGCCGTTGGTGGTAATCGTGTGTCTCACCGCCATCAAGGATGCTTTCGAGGACTACCGTCGTGTGATCTCCGACATGGAGTTGAACAACTCACCCATCCACATCCTTGTAGGATTGGACAACCCAAACTACCAGGAAACCAAAGTGGGCGCCTGGCGGCGCTTCAAGAAGCGCTGCAGCAACGCCATCATGAAGAAGCTCATGGCCAAGGGGAAGCCGGCAAAGGGTAGCCCACCAAAGACCGGGAGCAGCGAGCATGTTCCAGACGTGCGCAGAACCTCGGTCGCCTCCGACAACATTGTTCGCACTTCCTTGGACTCCAGGACCACCAGAAAGGTGTCTCCTGTCCACCCCCACACCGTGGTGAGCCCTGTTTCGGATCCCTTAGAAGCTACGACCCGGAGCAGTCTGTTCAAGCGCCGTAACTGGAAAGACATCCACGTGGGTAACATTATACGCATCAACAACAACGAAGAGGTGCCTGCAGACGTTGTCATCTTCGCCACCTCTGGCGAAGAAGGTAACTGCTTCATCGAGACGAAGAACTTGGATGGTGAGACCAACTTGAAGAGTAGAATGGCATTGCATTGTGGTGAGGGCTTGCATTACTCTACCGACTTTGCCCGTGCCCAGTGCTGGCTCGAGTGTGAGGGGCCAAACCCGAACTTGTACGCCTTCAAGGGGGTCTTGAACTATCTTGACTACTACAGCGAGAAGAACCAGTTGATGGAGACCCCCGTGCCCGCCAGCGAGGTCGTTACCAATGACAATGTCTTGTTGAGAGGCTGCACGTTGCGTAACACCAAGTGGGCCTTGGGTATGGTGGTGTACACCGGTCCGGAGTCCAAGATCATGCTCAACTCGGGCATTACCCCGACTAAGAAATCGCGCATTGCCAATGAGTTGAATTTGTCCGTGATTTTCAACTTTGCCGTGTTGTTTGTCATGTGTTTCGTCACCGGTGTGGTTAACGGTTTGTTCTACAACAAGAAAAGAACCTCCCGGTTATTCTTTGAGTACAAACCGTACTCCCCCACCTCCGCCGGTAACGGTACGTTGGCCTTCTTTGTGGCACTTATCATCTACCAGGCTTTGGTTCCGATCTCCCTCTATATCTCCATCGAAATTGTCAAGACGTTGCAGGCGTACTTTATCTATTCGGATGTCAAGATGTACTATGAGAAGCTTGACTTCCCGTGTACCCCCAAGGCGTGGAACATCTCAGACGATTTGGGCCAGATTGAGTACGTGTTCTGCGACAAAACCGGAACGTTGACGCAAAACGTCATGGAGTTCAAGAAGTGCTCCATCAACGGCAAGTCTTACGGTTTGGCCTATACCGAGGCGAGACAGGGGATGGAAAAGCGTGAGGGAAAGGACGTAGTGGCTGAGTCCCTCAAGTGGAACAAGCGCATTGCTGCCGACAGAGCCGACATGATTGACTTATTGAAAAGTCACTCTAAGAACTCCCAGCTCGTAGACGATGAGGTCACCTTTGTTTCGTCTGAGTACGCCGTGGATATCTCCGCCTCCACCCCCAGTCCTAGACAGAAACAGGCTAACGAGGAGTTTATGACTGCGTTAGCGTTGTGCCATACCGTCGTTACCGAGGACGATCCAGAATACTTGGACCACAAGCTTTTCAAGGCCGAGTCGCCAGATGAGGCTGCGTTGGTCAGTGTAGCCCGTGACGTGGGTATTGTCTTCTCCGGGCGCACCAGAAAGAGCTTGACGTTGCATGTTTACGGCAAGGAACAGACTTTCACCCTCTTGGCGGCTATTCCGTTCTCGTCTGCCCGAAAGAGAATGAGTTCTGTGGTCGAAGACGCCTCCGGACGGATCTTTTTGATCTGTAAAGGTGCCGATAGCGTTATTTTCGAAAAGTTAGCTGGCTCCACGATTGACCAGGATATGTTGTCTCGCACTGCTTTGCATTTGGAAGACTACGCTAAGGAAGGATTGAGAACCTTGTGTATCGCCCAGAGACTGGTTTCGCGCAAGGAATATCAAGACTGGAAACTCAAGTATGACAAGGCCATCAACTCCATTGATAGCGACCGCGATGTGAATATCGAGCTTGTTTGCGACGAGATCGAAAAAGACTTGACCTTGTTGGGGGGTACCGCTATTGAAGACAGATTGCAGGATGGTGTTCCCGACTCTATTGCAATTTTGGGCCAGGCCGGAATAAAGTTATGGGTCTTGACTGGGGACAGAATCGAGACGGCTATCAATATCGGGTTCTCGTGTAACTTGTTAGAAAATGATATGAAATTGTTGGTGATCAGGCCAGACGAAAATATCACTGATGGTGCTACTCACATTGATTCGTTACTCACTCTGTACTTGCAGGACAACTTCCAGATGACCGGCTCCCAGGAAGAGTTGACACTTGCTAGAGAGGACCATTCGCCAGCCCGCGGCTCTTTTGCCGTCATTGTTGACGGTGCGGCCTTGTCGATTATCTTTTCGGGTGATGAATTCTTGAGACGCAAATTTTTGTTGTTGGGTAAACAGTGTAAGGCGGTTCTCTGCTGTCGTGTTTCTCCTGCCCAGAAGGCTCTTGTGGTCAAATTGGTCAAGGATTCCTTGCAAGTTATGACCTTGGCTATTGGTGATGGTGCTAACGATGTTGCCATGATCCAGGCTGCCAACGTCGGTGTCGGTATTGCAGGTGAGGAAGGTAGACAGGCCGTCATGTCCTCTGATTATGCCATCGGCCAGTTTAGGTTCTTGACCAGATTGATGCTAGTTCACGGTAGATGGTCGTACAAGAGACTTGCTGAAATGATCCCGTGCTTCTTCTATAAAAATACGGTATTCACCGTGACGTTGTTTTGGTACGGTATTTTCAACAACTTTGACGGGTCTTACCTTTTTGAGTACACTTTCCTTATGCTCTATAACTTGGCTTTTACCTCGTTACCTGTCATTTTCTTGGCTGTGTTGGACCAAGATGTCTCTGATACTGTCAGTTTGTTGGTTCCGCAGTTGTACCGCTCCGGTATTTTGAGAAAGGACTGGTCCCAGTACAAGTTTTTCTGGTACATGTTAGATGGGTTATACCAATCCGCCATTGCCTTTTTCCTCCCGTTCTGCTTGTACCGTATCGGTTTTAATGGCATGAACGGTTTGCCCCAGGACCATCGATTCTTCATCGGTATCACTGTGACCAATATTGCTGTTGTTTCCAGTAACGTGTACGTATTAATGCGCCAGTACCGGTGGGACTGGTTGACGTTATGTATCAATGCCTTCTCGATTTTGATTGTCTTCTTCTGGACCGGTGTATGGTCTACAAACGTCTCCGGCGGCGAGTTCTATAACTCTGCCCCTCGCGTGTTTGGCAGTTTGTCCACCTGGTGCACTTTCTTTGTGGGTATACTAGCCTGTATGTTGCCAAGGTTCTCCATTGATTGTATCAAGGGTCTTTATTTCCCCAAGGATGCTGAAACCATCCGAGTGAAGGTAAACGAGGGGTACTTCAGTGCGTACCCCGACGGATACGATCCTACCGATTTTCATGACGTCGAGGCTCACCGCCAACAAATAGGGGTAAACCAGAAGACGGATGACTCTTATTCTCATGAATCCTCTGTGTATCAAGACCCGGTTCTTGCCAAAAATGCCAATGGCACTGGAGACCCCGAAGCAGCGCCACTGCCAGCGGGTGCTCCTACTCGTGAGCCTAGCGTGTTAAAAAGAACTTTCAAGTCCATCAGAAGAATTGGACGTAAGAGCTCGGGTGCTGGGGAGAAGAAGTTAACCCCGTTGGATCAAATGAGGTTGAATATGATTCGTGACGGTGAGTACTTGTCCAGCAGAACCTCATTGGAGAGGGTCACCACCACCCACGACTTGCCAGGTTTCTCACAAGCCGAGTCCTTAATGAGATTGCAGACGAGAAACACGTTGTCTTCTAATGCCAAGGCCCAGATAACTCCTCAGCTCTGACTCCATAGACATCCCGCGCACAATTAGTTGCTTTTTTCTTTCTTTTGATGTTTCTGATTATCTTTGTTTTCCATATTTCGTTGTTTATCTTATAGTATATCTTAAATCCTAATACCCTCAACCTGTACCTTGACGTGGATCTATCACGGCAGAGGTTTATATTAATGACTATCAGGAGGCCTTCCGAGTCCACACGTAACGTTTTAATAAAAAATACACCGAGAAACTTCCACAAAATTCAGAGGGATTCAAAAAAAAAGTTCACCTCTATGCCAGCAAATCTGAGGTTGCATTCATGATTGAGGAATAAATGGAAATAAACTGGACGGTGATTTACACATAAACTCTTAATCGGGTATGGCTATAAGCATACACGTGAGTCCTAACTAACTTGTAACTATGTATGTGGAGAATTATATCTGGGTAGAATTGGATCTAGATATATAGAGGAGTTTTGAGGCTATAACCTGGGATATTTATAGTTGATGTGAGCGCTGGGCTCAATGTCAGCCATCAACGTGAGCGCCAGACTCGGCTAAGGAAGGAATAATTCACGTCATCAGAATGGCAAAAATAGACGGTTGATCTCTAAATGACTCAGCTACCTAGTGGTCAGTTGCACGGGAACTGCCATTCAGTTGTCATATTCTTAATGTATCGGAATCATTCAGCCGAAAACGGCTTGACCTGGTCTTACCACGCCATCGGTCTGAAGTTGAGGCCAAGCGGGGACTTCACCTACCTATCATTGTTGGAGACGGTAAAACAGACACAAGTCCACTAATGTATCCAGAGCATTTCGTTGGGAATGTTTGGATGCGATGTTTTGGGGTAAATTGGGTCGAGGTTTCAAATAGACTGGTTGTGGTTCCAAAGAGAAAACAAATACACCGCTTGGGTGGTTGATTTGTTGAAGAAATTGGAAGCTACCGTCGATCCTGTTTATGCTTTTAAAGGTTTCAAACCTGCTCTAGACAGAGTAGCTTTCAGTCATATTCTGGTAAGTTATTCTTGAGATGAAAAAGAAAACTTAAGCTTGGAGTTTTAGTCCCGCTAATATTGTTGTCTATATAAATTCAGAGCTCTATAGAAATATCAGGCTCCTTTTTCGATGAACCACATGTATAAGTTTTAGACAATGAATCAATCCTCCCAATGCCTATCGGCTAAATCGCACAGCAAACTGCTAAGCCCTAGTTTTTGCAAATTTTATCCCTTTTTTTCTAGTTGATATTCTGGCTTTAATGCTAGTTATATAAAACCTCATGGTTCATGGGCATAACACCGCTAACCAGGTGTGACACACCAAGTATTGAATGTGTATTACCGTACCAGAGTGGGCTTCTCGACGATTATGTGGACGTACAGGTATTTTATTACATGTACAACCTTGTGGATTTTTCAATTACCGTCCAAGCATACCAGAGTATCCCACTGCGACCCAGCCTCCACATGCATGCAAGACGCTAGGAGAATCTCTGTAACAGGGGGTAACCCTCACTTATAAACACCCCTATCTCTATCTATCCAGCAATATTTTTCACAGTCTAGATCACCAACCACTGATAAACAGGATTACGGTATATCGTGAGCGAAAGCCAGGTAAACTAATTTCTATGCATCATAGATACCCACTTGTTCCAACTATAGCCATTATCTAACTTGGTTCAGTTCATTCCTTTCCGAGATTAGGAGGTTTCTCATTTTTCTCAACCATAAAGATAGCCCCGTCTTTTTTCAATGCACATTGACAGGAGGCCAACGGCGCTACAAAAGACAGAGGGTATTCCTGGATATTTTTCTGCAGTAAACATAGAAGTTTTCTCGGGATTATGGGTATAGACGGTGCCCAATATTATGTACCTCGTGACTGGTACTTCTATTTAGGTTCCACATAGAACACTAAATTAGATGTACACCCATGAACCCTGTACCGGCGTGCCGATCATAGCTCAGCCCACAATCTAGGGAGTCGGCAGTGCAGCCTAGAAAAGAAACTTCTTGGATTATACATCTGGTTTTGTTTCGGGGGGATAAGGATTTGCTTCGAGAAAAAGGATAAACAGATAATAAGGTCCCATGTCAGTACATCAATATACATCTATTGGACTCACCCTCAGAGGAATAGTCCTTCAAAAATATTGGCAATCCCGGTTTTCCTCATTAAACCAGCTTGGGCATGTAACAGTTCAGCCAAGCGAATCCTAGTAAAGCGCAAGAAGGCCATTCCAAGGTGTTAATACAGTTCCATGCGTACGAGGTAGCAAATCTCTTCGCATTAAAACACCCTGAGGGTATATATTATATCACCGTACTCTATAATCACCAATGCTGTTCTCCTGGCCCTTTTGGAAATGGTGATGTGCGTTAGAATTGGTGTGCGTCGCCTTTCTCACACGCAGCAATGTAATTCCTGCGATTGATACACGAAGAAAAATATCTATGCATGAATCCATGCATTATGAAACTTCCTGGCACATACAATCAGCGGTAGGCGACATATCGCGTCCAAAACACCATTGGATAATCTGCTGATTATGTGAGGTGGTATCACTGCACCTCATGCGCAGCTGTTATATGCATGTATCGGGAATAGAGCGCATTGGTCTAACTACTGTGCATACCAACTGTCTGCACCATTTCTAAAGTTTTAGAGACCTATTACTTGGTTCGGATCCACCTCGAAATATTTATGATGAGCATTAATTTTGCGCATGTGCTTTGTTTCGATACCTACATGTACAATATCACTTCAGTGGTGCGATATTCGAAACTTTGCCGGCTCCACCACATACACGAATACCCCACTTTTGGCATGTGCGACCACTGGAAATACCCAGGTAGGAGGGGAATCACCCACTTACTACAGATTCGGGGGTGATGGAGGATCTAGTCCACTAGTTTTCTCATCATATTCATTGTAAACGTTGATCGGGGTATATGTAGCTATACAAAGATGAAAAATAGCCCCCACCTCATTTCCTAACCTCCCTGTGCAGCTAAAGCCATGGACTAAAAGTAGGAGGTTAATGGTTGAAATTTTCTTGGCTTAGTATATATAAGCACACCGGCAGCCTCCTTCCGATATCTCAGCCGTGCTGCTGTCCCGGCCAAACCACTTGCTAAGCCTTTGTCAGGCTCAAAAATCATATTTAGAATGGCTCACAGCTCCTCAAAAAGGTTCAATCGTGCTGCCTTTTATACCCCACCTACCCATCCGGAAGAATTTGATAATAAACGTATAAACTCAGTACAACTTTCTTCGTCCAATGACCTTTTGAAAGCTTACAAGAGTATATATCACAACACTGATAAGAATAGCAGTATCCGTGGGTTGGTTGCTCCACTTCAGGTTAACCACCATATGGCTTATGCTCTGGACGACATGATCCCGCCGATAAATTCATCCACAGAATACCAGTCCACTCCGGTTTTACCTCAGTCAAAAGATTGTTTTTACCTTCAGTCAATCCCGTTAAGAACTCCTGTTAGGTATTCTTCTCTCTACCACGCCTGTTATGCTGGGAGTATCGGTCTGGATATATCTCCCAATTCCCCAGAATCTACCCCTTGTATATCGTATAGTGATGATACATGTGATGACCTCCTCCTAGCAACCTCCACGCCCGTTCTTTCCCAGAACCAGGAGTATCCAACCCTTCTGAATGCGTATCTGCAAGGGAATCTACCTGTTTCGCCAATTAACTGTCTAGATTTTTTCCAATGTTTGGAATTATCATCGAACAACATGAATTCTTCACAGTTTTTTGTAGATCCAGTTGGGTTATCCACATCTACTACCGAGCGTATTGAAACGTTTCCAACAGCTGTACCCGGAAATAACAGTATGGGTGTTATGACACTAAGTCTGTCTGAAAGGGGCCCCGATCCTCCTACGATTAAGTTAAACGTGGCCAGTCCTATGGGAGAGGGAATCTCCATGCCACGGCTTAGGCCAAGATATCCTCGTTGCAGTCTATCACTGGATGTTAGTATCTCTGTTTCAAGCGATGAAGAGGAAGATTTGAACTCCAAAGATGCATCCTATCGCGCACCAAGGCCAAGTAAAAGCATCTCCATGCCTTACAATGGCAGAAGTGCGAAAGCTAGTTCAAACTATTCCATGTTTTCGCGTATCCAAATTGACCAATATCCAGAATCAAAGATTATTGAGAATAAAGTCACCAGAGGCCGCAAGGCTGCTCTACTTCAGAGCGTACTAAGCACCAAGGGTGGCAAGGAGGCGAATATCCGAAAGCACAAGTGCAAAATCTGTGGGGGAAGATTTCGCCGCCAAGAGAATTTGAAAAGACATTTTATAAGTGTGCACACGGAAGAAAAGCCCTATCTGTGTCTGGTCTGTGACATGATGTTCTCTCGGCCGGATAATTTGGGCCATCATATGAAAACCCACAAACAAGCATGAAAATCTCTCAATATCGGAGATTTATAAGTGAAGCAGTTCAATTACATGCCTCGAAGTAGTTTCTATGTGTATACATACACTACAGTTCACCAGCGGGACCCCCGTAAAGTTTCCCGGCATACCAAAATAAATATGAATCAAGGGTGTTCCCCGATGAGAAAAACTTTGTAAATTGCCATTAGATAAACTTCATCGATGATATATTACATAATAATTATGTTGTTAAAGCAACAGTGCTGTAACATGCCAAGCTAACAGTATACGTTTTTCCGGTGCCGATTTGCAAGTATGTAACACTAAACCTTCTGAGGTATACTAAAATGGCTATAAAAAAAGTTAAGAGCCTAGTATTAGTATTTAGCGTCAAGGATCAATTTGCCAGAACTCTATATGATACGTGTGTATCCGTTGCGGTACTTCCCTGTTCTTTGGTTTCGGCGCGTGAAGCTTCTAGGCACGGAAAACCCTATAGTAGCTTCGGAATCGGAGAGGAATTTCAAGTAAGATTTAACCCGGATACACGGCGGGTTACTAAGAATATTGAAATAGCTAAAAGCATTAAGCGCCAAAGTTTTCAGAACTCTATATGATACGTATGTATTCGTTGCAGCACTTCCCTGTTCTTTGGCTTCAGCGCACGAAATTTCTAAGCATGGAAAACTCTATAGCGGCTTCGGAATCGGAGAGATCTCAGGTGCAGTTTAGCCGGGGCGTATTGTGTATTAGTAAGAACCTCAGCCGCATGGATTAACTCTCTTGGAGTGCGGCTCACCTTGTTATATTTCTATGCCGTACCTGCGGCTTAGAAGGAACAAACTCAGTGCTCTCTGGCATGCACATTTAGAGTAATATTCCAAGCTGTGAGACACAAAAAGCGTATATAAAGCCTAGCTTAATCTTTCTTTCTAGATCCGTTTGAACTACCAGGATATCGCTAATACATACACAAGATGACAGAACTCGCTGATCCTTCCAAGTTACTTTACAAGGCTGTGACTTACCAGACCAAAGCCACGCCCCTTGCGCTCACTGAAGAAAGCATTTCTCTAGTGAAGGCTAACGGTAGTTATAACGTCTCCACTGATGATATACTCATTGAAATTCACTCGGCCGCGTTAAACCCTGTGGATATGCTTTGGCACCGTGCAAGTAATTGGATGGTTGGCTCCAACCAAAAGACTCTCGGGAGAGACTACGCGGGTGTGGTTGCCAAGGTCGGTGCTAATTTGTCTGGAAAATACTCAGTTGGTGACAAGGTTTGTGGTGTGATCACTGAAAAGTTTGGTATCGGAACTGTGGCTCAGTACCTTGTATTGAATCCTACCAAGAACCCAGGTATCGTCAAGGTCCCAACCGATGTTAAATTATCTTTCAACGAATTGGCCGCTTGGCCTCTCGTTCTCAACACTGCCTATAACATGTTGGAGCTCCACGGTGCTACAAAGCCAGTTGGCTCGAGCTCTAATATCTTGATTATCGGCGGTGCCACCGCCTGCGGGCAATATCTTATCCAGTTAGCCAAGGTAGCCTACAAGGTTAAGACTATCGTCACGGTGAACTCTGGCAGTGCTGACGACTTTGTTAAGCTGTTGGGTGCCGATTACACTATTGATTACACCAAGCACAAGAATATTGCCGGACCCGTGGCGAAAATTGTGCAGGACGAGTTGGGCGGTGAAAAGTTCCAGTTTGTGTTCGACTGTGCTGGTAACTCCGATCTATTCCCAAAAATAGACAATGTTTTGAAGTCTAAGAAAGAGGGCTCCGCTGTTGTGACAATCGTGGGTGACAAGAAGCCTGACTACGAGACATACACCTTCACACATGCGCTCTCGTTGGGTTTCATCAAAAAAAATATTAAGAGTAAGTTGGGTTTGGGTTCACTTAACTACTCTTTCAGTATGGCTGGTCCTAACGCGGAATGGTGCAAGAGAGCGATGGGATTATTCGAGGAAGGCAAGATTAAGATCACCGTTGACTCAGCATACAGTCTCGAAGACTTCTCGAAGGCCGTGGATAGATTGGCCACCAACAGAGCCAGGGGGAAGGTGATTATCGAAGTGAAAAAGGATCAAGTGTAAAGTGTTTTTTATATACGTTTAATATTTAACATTTGTTTATTAAGTGAATACCGCATATCCAGCTGCATATTTAACGCTCTCCTCTTTCTGAGTGTGGTATATCTCAACCTCGAGGGTAGAATATCCACTTATAGTAGTATACTTGTTGGCTGTATAATTTATATAGGATAAAGGAGGGAGAGATCGACTTCCATATATAGAGTATCAATTCTTACCACGTGACAGCTACACACTTACTACACGGAGAGTTTCCAGGCGTTTCTCGACACCAGTAGTGATCACCCTATCGTTAATGATATTCGTAACATCTGGTACATCCCAAATAAGGCAGTAACCTCTCTAACCGAGGTAATAGCTTCACTTACCGGGTAATCAGCACCTTTTGTGAGTTGATGGCCTTGCTGTTGGGCAGGTGTATCCAGCCTCTATGGTGCGGCTTCGGAATCGGAGAGAAATCTTGGGTAAGGTTTAGCCGGGGAGTATAGTAGATTAGTAAGAACCTCAGCCGCATGGATTAACTCTCTTGGAGTACGGCTCACCTTGTTATATTTCTAAGCCGCGGGTGCGGCATAGAAGGAGCAAGCCCAGTGCCCTCCGGCATGCGCACTCAGAGCAACATTCCAGGCTGTGAAACATCAAAAGCATACATAACGCCTACCTTGGTATTCTTTTTCTACATCAGTTTAAAATACTGGAATATCGCTAATACATACACAAGATGACAGAACTCGCTGATCCTTCCAAGTTACTTTACAAGGCTGTGACTTACCAGACCAAAGCCACGCCCCTTG